GACTGTGTCAACTGTGTCAGCACCTCGTGAAGAAAGGGCCCTTAAGCTCTGCTACATCAAGACCGGCCTGCATCTGATGATAGGGAGCCAACGTCCTTAGAATAAACTTCGTTAGGGCCTTCAGGCATGTTGACCTGTGGGCAAGACGTTACTAAGTGTCGGGCCTCAAAGCTTGAAGCTTCTCGTACACCATCTTGCTCTACCCTTGCAAGAGTGGACAGCGACCAGAGAATGTTGGCAGCACCTTGAGTGGTAAACCTTGGCGCAAGCTTTACCACCTGGGGCGCACATGCACGGATCAGCACGGAGCTCGGCATGTCTACTCCCTTTGAGACCAGCGTTGCTGTGCCCCAGAATAGCATGGACAAGCCCTGCGGGGAGAATTCAGATGAACGCCCCGCTGCATGAGCTGTGAATTCCTTGATAAACTGTCGTCCTTTGTCCTTGGGCTCTCTAAGAGCAGCCAAAGTTGCTACGCCCCAAATCGTTGCTGCAATATCATGGTCACCAAACGTAGGGAACATCCGTGGGGACATATGTCGTCCGGCCAAGGTCTCCAAGACTTCTACCCCGAGCTTATGGCTTGACCGCCCAAATGCCCATAACAGCTGCGAGCTGTCACGGGCGTTGCACCTCTGCACCGCCACAGCCGAGGCTGCAGCTTCAAAGAGCTCGTCAGCGGCCACCTGCATCGTCGCAGCCGACCAAGCGAGGTTTGCAAGATGGCGAACGGAGATGCTCTCACTGGCACTCAAAGCGGTCCGAATGACAGAGCTCAGAAAGCACCTCCGGCCATTTCCGCCTTGATATCTTTTATCCCGCTTCGAAGTTTTCGCAGATTTCGAAACAGCAACTGCCACAACCGCCAGCTCTCGATGTCCAACATGAGGAAGATAAGTGGTGCCCATACCCATCAGCAACTCCCAGCCTTGCCGCACACACTGCTGCCCTTGCCGCACCTCGGCCTTGTCATACTTTCTGTCCTCCTTCTCCTCCTTCTCCTCCCTCCCCTTCTCCACGATGCTCATGCGCTGCATCGCCGCCGCCCACAGAATGCCATCCAGCATTTGCGAGTCGACTGCTGTGCGCACGAGACTGATGACATCCGACGCACAGTGGCAACGACGCAGCTTCGCTGTCAATTGGCCAGCCGAGGATTGCATGCACCTCCGTGAACTCAGCACATGTCGATGCACGAGGCGCGATGGCAAGACGATAGCCTGCAACATCCTGCAGCAGTCACAGCTGCAGCTCCGCACACATGAAACCGGCTTGGCCGGACATGCCCGCCACAACTGGATGGGTTGCGGCTACTGCAAGTCCTGAGCGAAAGATACTTGCGGAAAGTTTATAGATGAACATGTCCACCAATTCATGTTGAAAGACGAGGCATGCGTGCGTCAATGTGAAGACTAGCGAGCACAACAACTCAGCAGCCACTTAAACGGCACGAGCCTCAGTCGTGAAGCTGCATTTACGGGTGTTGCGGAGAAAGGGCGCGTTGGCGACCATTAGTGAGGGGAGTTTGTTTAACGGTGCTCAGGTTTGGCGAAGCCTTGCAGGTCCACGTTCTGCAAATTTTGCAAATTCCGCAACAACTCGGCCAAAACGTTAAACCCCCTTAATAACCCAAAACCTTAAACCCCCCTAATTACCCAAAAGCTCTAAACCCCCAAAATAACCCAAAAGGCCTAAACTCCCTAAATAACCCACAGGCCCCAAAACCCCCAAAATAACCCAAGCCCTAAACCGCTATCAAACCTGGCCTTGAACCCGAAGAGGGCCAAAGCAATAATGAAGCAATTGAAGGACCGGATAACCCTACATGTGTGTTGTATTTCATCTTTTCGCAAAGAGTGTATCAGTGAATACGAGTGAGTGAGTGAGTGAGTGAGGGAGTAAGCGAGTGAGTGAGTGAGCGAGTAGCGAGTGAGTGAGTGAATGAGTGAGTGAGTGCGAGCTGTGTCCTTCGCCGCACTTTTGCTAGCGTCCAGGCGTGGGATTCAGGGCGACAGCTTCGGGCTTGAGGGCATTCAAGAGTTTCGGGTTCTTTTGTCATCCGGCAAGCGCGCCTGCTAGCACACACGGCACCTGCGCCGCGCCTGCCAACGCGAAGCGAGCCCCCACGCCTGCGCGGGACCGATCGAGGCCCCCAAGTGCTGCGCCTGCTAGCACGAGCGGCACCTCCAGCACAAGCGGCACGCTGTGTGTGTGCGTGAGACCGTGCGTGGTAGCACAAGCGGAACCTGTGCAAGCGGCAGACAGTGTGCGTGAGACTGAGTGAAAGAGTGAGTGTGTGCTGTGTGGGTGAGTCGGCACCTGTGCAAGCAGCAGATGATGAGATGAGTGAAAGCGGCAGATGGGCCGATGTGAGTGAAAGTGAAAGTGAGTGGTGAATGATTGAGTCAGTGAGAGGAGGAAGGAGGGGGAGGAGAAGGAGAAGGATACCTCAGCACGCCATAGCACTGCTGAGGGCTGATGCGCGCTTCAAGCCAGAGACTTGAGTGGGGCACTGCGATATATGGGGCGCGCATGCTTTAGCTTGAATCCCCAGACCAAGCTGCATCTTTGCTACGAGTACCGCATGTTGGACCTGAGGCTTTGCAAGCTTTCTCGATGCGATTTTAACCGATTCCAAGCCGATAGGCAGCTCAAACTTCTTGAGCTTGCGCCAATATCGATAAGAGAACCTGTGTGTTGCTCGCGCTGCTTCAACTGCTGCGCAAGAAATGTTCTGGCCATGCGAAGCGTGGTCTTTGCACATCTTTGCACAGTGCATGAAAGGAAACGACGGAATCTGATCAGATCTGAAAGTTCATCGGGCAGCGATGCCAACTGTCGGCAACGACATGGTCAATTCGCGGTTGTCCTCATCTCCTGCAGAACGCACAACATGGAGAACACACATCACAATACTTCATCACAGACCGTATATGGCAGGATTCAACAGGCCTAGGCACAATGGCCTAGGGAGAACGGATGCAAGCGAATCCACATCAAACCTGCTGCTCCGCATGCCAGTCCTTGAGCTTTCAGCACCCGCCACAGCCGAAAGGCGTAGCCTCCCAGGATCAGAACGGTGGTGCCAAGGAGCCGGAGCCATGCCTGCCAGTGGCCTCCAAAATCGAAAACTGGGGAAATACTGGAGAAGCGAATGGAGGCAAAAGGTGCAGTGGACCACACTGAGGCTGCTGCACTGAGAGAGCATGTAGCCATTAATGGTAAGTCCAAGCAGAGGCAGGACAGGGCAACCAGGGCAAGCGAATGTTTCCGGTCGGGCGTAATTGTACCGGAAGAAGGGAATCCAGCATAATGCCACCTGAGCTAAGGAACAAAAAGAACCCGAAAATGCTGCGTTCGATGTCGCTCGTGTGATGACACTGCAATGCTGCACGCACTGCAGGCTGGCTGCAGCCAGTGCAAAGATCAGCGTAGTGCTGACAGCCCACCAGCTCTGCAAACTGACAGGGGAAGCACTGCGATAGACTTGGGAACATGAAGAGGCATTCCATATGCAGAGTATGAAGAACCCAGCCGTCATGCCAACAACCACACCCTCAAAGCAAGTGCGTTCCCGGGGCATGAAGGTGGAGCTTGTAGATGCCAATATGGCTGCACAGGTCCTCATGGTTTGAACGCTTTAACTATCTCACGAGTAACGGGACACAAAGCAGCCTTCAGACTGTGTCGAACTTTCTGCTTTTGCTCTCGTCCCAGCGACAGCAAGGCAGCCCACCGGGCAGCCCGTGCCGGATGATCCGCACGAAGCACCAAGACCCCAGCACAGACCTCATCCCCAGCGGCTTTCCCAAAGAACTCTCTCAAATGAAGGGATGTGCAAGTACAGTCTCAAGACCCTTTGACGTCGCCAAACTCTCAACTCAGGACTACCCCTTATGCTTGCTCCGGGATCAAGCTGCGATTGTGTAGGAGAACAACACGCCAATGTTCAGGAAAAGAACGAGGCCTTGCACCTGATGTTCGCAGTGTGAAGTCCAGACATGCCGACACCATCCGATCCGCACAAGCCGCTACAAATCTCGGTAAGACATGGCAAGCGTCTAGCAGCAGATGACAAACGAAGCGCAGAGACTGCAGCTTCATGAAGTTAGACGAGGCTCGGGAAGGCAAGTTGCCAGCACTGCTGCCAGAATCCCACAAAGCATCTGAGCGTTGAAGGGGGTCCCAAAGCTGGACACCTGACCTGACACTTCACGGAACACAAAGCTTGACCTTGACCTGAATGCCGTAGCAATGCTGTGGTCTGCTTTCTCATCTGCAGAGGAGCCGCCGAAAGGTGAGAAGAAGAGACCCTGAAGCTTCAGGTTAGAGTCGGTTCACTGGCAAAGGCGGCAAAGGTCTTCAGCTGCCAAGGCACATCTCGAGCCATTGCCAGGTACATCCGAGCCTTCCAATGGGTCAAATGCAAGTTTCCCATCACAAGTTTAGGAATGATCAAAACGCCTGCGAATACATGCCCGTCACGAGCGTCGTAAACAAACCGATCACGGCACCCCAGTTGACAAGCATGCAGACCTCAGCTGGTTGCACCGGCTCTCCAAACTGAAGCTTGCGAGGTCAGGATCGCACCCAGGGGATGTTTGCGTACTGCGGGCTGAATGCTGCTTCCACCGGTGCCGCCTGACAGCGACTTTACTAGGTTTTTAAGCCTTTTGAATGCAGGTGTAGACTATTGTAGTCTCGTAGGGTCAACAAGAGTAGAACATGGCATCCAAGGTTTGATGGAGCGGCAACGAAGACACAAAACTGTGCCTGCCTCGTCTATCTCCGTGTATGGAATGATGCCCACCTGATTGGGCGCTGTATGCTGAGGATGAGCATGGACATCGAGTTGAGTCGAGTGAAGCACGAACCTCATAGTGCCTTGCTTGCTGCATATGCTGGCAGTAAGGGCAGCACGAGCACTAACGAGAAGATTATGTACCTGTGCTGAAAGACTGTGAGCGTGAATCTGCGTGTCGTAGTGTTGTCGGAGGAGGGTTCCAGCATTGCTGCTGCCGAGGTTCAGCAGTGCACCTCATGTTGGAATCGCCACCACAGGACTCGGCATACACATATGACGTATGGGCTGACTGACTTGTGCTGAGACTGTACGCCACTGAGTATGCCCTTCCTTACACATCTCCTTGCGTGCAAGCTGCAAATGAGCAGGGAAGCTGTTATGCCAATCGGCAGATCCCTTTGAGGGTTTTTGCACTCTTCAGCAGCATTTGTCACAGTTCCAAATCCTGCATGTTCACCACCGGCGCACGTCAACAACAGCAACGCAGAGCTTTGCATAAAAGAGTAATGGTGCAGCTCCAGTCCTATAAACGAGAAAGAGCACGTTGCAGACCTGCAGAGAAACCCATTGCTACGACGAGACATGGCCACGGTTCTACGTGCCAAGGATCTGACATGCTGGCCACTGGCCCGAATCCACACCTTGGCACGATGTACTCCCGCCCCTGGACGTGCAACAGCACGAAGACGCACAAAGCCGACAAAGCCACGGGAAGAATGGAGAAAGATTCTCTGCGTGAACCTTCAGGGATGCCAAGAACAGCTGCTAGCGAAAGCCAGTCACTGTATGTCCTGCCTTCGTCGAACCAATGCCAATGATCATCAAAACAATTATCACCTTGCCTCAAGACCAGTGTCGCACCGCAGGCATGATCAGAGAACAAACTATCTTCTCCCATCACTATCACACTTCGATGGCTACAAGCAGCGATCCATTAACATGGGTGACGTTCTGCCACTTTATGTGCTATAGGACCAGAGATGGGAGACGTGAACCACCTGCCGTCGAGGTTCTGAAGACCAGCAAGCCATTCACCCGCTTCAACCCATTTTCCACCCCAACAGATAGGATACCTCGGCACGAGGTCGCGCTGCTCGTGCAAGCAACAAGCAACTTACACACCCACATGTCGCTGCTGTTTCAGAGAAGGTTCCTGTCAGCATGCACACCAAAGCAAGCGAGAAAACCTGCCAAGGCCAAAACACCCCATCGGGCTCGAGAACACCCGCTACTCTTTGCCAAGCAGACTGTGTTGGCACCTGCCTGCGTACTTGGCAGCCAAACGCTTGGAAACATCATCAGAAGCCTGGAAGCTGTCTGGAATCATAAACGGAGCGATTCGCTGCTCCTATGTTTCGAAATCGGTCACAAAGCCCACCCATGAGCTACAGCGCAATTTGTCCAATCCGTTCATTCACACGGTTCACGCTTTTCCGGCACTGGGAACGCCCGTGCACCCAACATGCGAGATGATTTAGCTTGGGAGCGTCTTGCGCAGGTATGAGGCACAGGATGCTACCGAAATTGCAGCACCGACATGGTAGTCGACCAACACATTCCTGCACCATCTTGTGCAGCAACAACAACACAAGAATGAAGGTCGGCATGCCACGCAATAGTCGGAAATTCCAACCAAGTCGCAACCCAAAGAGTACGGCAAAGAATTCGCCGAATGCAACATAAGCGTAGAGGTATACTGAGCCGGACCTGTGGAAAACATGTTCGACACAAGCGCCATAATTCAACTCCAAAGTGCGAATGTCCTGAAGTGCTGCCCGAGGGCACTGGTATACGCGCGGCGAGCTCCGCATAACACAAAGCACTGAAGATGCCTGCCAACACTATCTAGCGAGGCATATGCCTCCTGCCGTGGTCACGATGCAATGATATGGAATGTCACCAAGGAGCAACTCACCGCAGCCATGAGGAACGAACAACCTCAGGCCATAATTGAAGACGTGTGCGTACTGTCTTGTCGATCTACAAGACACTGTGGAGCAACAGGTGGCAAGTGAAATGCAAGGAAGCTGCACACGCCAGGCCCTGTTGGCCTAGCAGCAACGCCAGTAATGACGAATATGCCTGGACACCGCAGCCACGCAAGCATAGCCAACCTTGAACACACATCGGCTGATAGAACATTCCACCTGAACCAATGCTGGCACCAATACCTCAGGACGCATTGCAGAAAAAAATAATGGCTACAGTACAAGAAAACCAATCCTTCAACTCAGCTTCTGAAACCAAGCAAACAGGTGCAGCTGGGCTACCTATCATGGTCAAATCCAGGCCCGTCAGACGACGGCGAAGTGAATCCCTGTCAGGCCTTGTAGGGGTAACGGGTAACCTTTCGTGTCACCATAAACTCCGAAACGTGCATGCAAAACAAATGCACCGTGGATCTCAGCCACAACCGGTTGTCCACTGGCCGTTGGCGGAGTGCAATGGCCAGAGAAGCTGACCAAAATCCTGGCATGGCAATGAGAAACGGAAAGGCGCATCCAAGTTGCCTTGCATCACTGCGGAAACGCACAAGCCTGGCACATCACGACAACACATGGCTGAACAAGGTCTACACGGTGTTCGGAGACCATGTGATAATGCTGTTGTTCGATTCTGCTGCGTGACTCGGAAGCCATACAGTAGGGGTACAAGACAGAAGGCCTGAGAATGTTGTTCCAGAGTGCCAAATGGCTCGTCTGATATCGACACCACGAATAACAATCAGCGCACACAACGCAAACACACTGCTGGAAAGCACTGAATGACTGTGTGCAAACGAGGACATGTCGAACAGCGCCGTCTACGCCTGACTGCGCCTGACTGGTGCGGAATGGCATGCTCTTTCTCCCATCAAGCTCGCAAGCTCCATGTAATCCAGACAAGACCTCAACCCCGCTATCCTAACTCTGACATGATTTCAAGCCAGGTGGCGGCTAGCACGCTAGTATAGCATACTAGTATGCTGCAACATGCTTTCCGAATCGAATCGTATACCATCGTATTCCATAGTAGACCATAGTATACTATAGTAGACCATTGTATACGGCAGTATGCTATAGCATGCTTTAGCATACTATGGTATACTTTACTGAGAATGGGCCCCCCCCCTTTGGACAAAGGGGTGCTTAAGCCCCCCTTTAAGCCCCCCTTGAAGCCCCCCTTAAGCCCCCCTTCAAAGGGGTCCCTGCAAAGGGGGTCCCTGCAAAGGGGGTCCCTTCGGGGGGGGGAGGGGGGGGGGGCTTAAGCCCCCTTAAGCCCCCCCTTAAGCCCCCCCTTAAGCCCCCCCTTAAGCCCCCCTTAAGCCCCCCTCAAGCCCCCCCCTTAAGCCCCCCCTTAAAGCCCCCCTTTAAGCCCCCCTTTAAGCCCCCCCTTTAAAGACCCCCCTCAAAGCCCCCCTTTAAGCCTTAAAGCCCCCCTTTAAGCCCCTTAAAACCCTCTGTTTAAGCCCAGCCCCCTCTAAAGCTCCCCCCTGAAGCCACAACCAAGCCCCACAGATGTGGAGGGTTTAGGCAGCAGTTTAAGGACCTAATACGTGCTGGGCCTTTGGGCAGCAATTACAGAGGCGTAATACTTGCTGGGCCTCTGCGGAGGGTTTAAGCAGCAGTTTAAGAGGCCTAATAGTTGGGCCTTTTTTGGAGGGTTTGGGCAGCAGTTTAGAAGGCGGAATACTTGCTGGGCGTTTTGCGGAGGGTTTAGGCAGCAGTTTAAGAGGCCTGATACTTGCGGGGCCTTTTGTGGAGGGTTTGGGCAGCAGCTTAAAAGGCGTAATACTTGCTGGGCCTTCTGTGGAGGATTTGGGCAACAGTTTAAGAGGCCTAATACTTGCTGGGCCTTTTGTGGAGGGTTCGGGCAGCAGCTTAAGACGTTTAAGAGGCTTAATACTTGCTGGGCCTTCTGTGGAGGATGTAGGCAGCAGTTTAAAAGGCCTAATGCGAGCATCGTGTTTGCAAATGGGGGGGGCTGCGCCCCCCCCAACACCCCCGCTTGTTGAAGCCGGGCAAACTCGCGTGGAAGCATGTGTCCAAAACAAAACAAAACAAAACCTGGGGTTCTCGGCTTAGCCCCGCGCCACGTCACTGCTATGCAAATGGGGGGCTGCCCCCCCCAACCTCCCCGTTTTTTTTCTGCCGAGCAAGCTCGCGTGGAAGCATATGAATCATCTCTGAAACAAAACATGGGGTTTTCGGCTTAGCCCCGCGCCACATCACTGCTATGAACTTTCTACTCCCACAAAAAACAAAAGAAGAAGCGAGCGGGGTGGAATTGCCCTTAAGCGCCCCTTTAAAGAAGTCTCACTTCTCTGGTTTCGAAGAATGAAATCCAAAAACAAAACAAGATTCGAGGGAGGTGGAATTTAGAATACATTCCCTTCTTTCTCGTCGTAAAAGGAAATGAATAGAGATTCTCTGGTTTCGAATAATGAAATCCAAAAACAAGTACAAAAAATATAGCAAGATTCGAGGGGGGTGGAATTTAGAATACATTCCCTTCTTTCTCTTCGTAAAGGGAAATGTGTGTTTAGAATCTCACTTCTCTGGTTTCGAATAATGAAATCCAAAAACAAATACAAAAAATAGCAAGATTCGAGGGGGGTGGAAAAAAAATACATTCCCTTCTTTCTCTTCGAAAAGGGAATGTATGTTTACAGTCTCACTTCTGGTTTCGAAAAATGAAATCCAAAAAAAAATACAAAAATATAAAAAGATTCGAGTGGCGGAATTTAAAATAAATTCCCTTCTCTCCCTTTGTCTCACTTCTCTACTTTCGAACGAAATCAAAAAACAAAACAAGGAGACAAAAAAATAAATGGATTTCTCTCTCTTCAAGATAAATTTAAAAAAGGCTTCAGCCCCCTCAAACCTTTAAGCTCCCCTTTCAGCCTCTTTGAGCTAGCTCCTCTTCAAACTCCACCTTGACCTTCCCCTTTAAAGCCCCTTGAAGCCCCCTTGAAGCCTCCACCCCCCCCTCCAAGCCGCATTTGAGCCCCTTCAGGGTCTTCGTGCGGCTCTCATCGAATTAGATTCGACGCCAGCCAAAAACCAGGCTCTTGGCGTCAAGGCCAAGTTTTCGCACTTCTGCAAACAAAGACTTGGCAAGCCAACACTCCAGCGCATGTCCGCTTACCTCCACTCTTCCCGCTCGCTCTGTCCGGAGTTTGGCTAAACTCCCAATTCTGACAGACCTCAAAAAACCAAAACATGTGGCCTGTCCAGAAAGCTTTTGTTGTCGATGCCCGTTTTTCGACCGTCCAACAAATCTAGCAAGTCTTAGACCTCTGAAAATAAAAATCTTTACAGAGTGTCGGTTATGACCCGGGAAGGGTGTGAGTGCTGCTGGTGTCGTAGGATGTGCTGGTATGTGGAGTGGCTCTGGACTTCCTGTGGTGTCGGTCACAGGACTGAAATGATCGGGATATGTGATGGCTCTTATTCGAGGGGTCGAAGGAGATGGGAGTCCCTCCTCATCTATGTTCATGGCCCCCGAGGCCTTTCAAGTCCTGACGAGACCTCTCGCCTACCCTGAACCTAATAGGGAACAGAGGAAACCACACAACCAATCCCACACAGGGTCCTACACTGGGGCCGGTGCCCTGAAGCCCTGAACAGTAGGGTGTTGGGCTACAACAGATGACAAGCAAGTAGGATGGGATTAAGGTTAGCCCAACCCTTCGTGTCTTGTCCCACCTGGAGAACGAGATGAAGTTTATATGATGGAGTCGAGATAATGAGATGTTAAATGGAAATGCCAATGCCCACGTGCAGTAAGTGTTGCTGCTGCAGCTGTTGGTGCTGCTGCTGCTGCAACCTTCTTTCCAAACAAATCCCAAATGTCGTCCTCTGAAACTCTCGCCAAAACAGCCAGCTTCTGCCAGCACACAAATACAGCAACGACAAGGTCTTCTTGATGCTCCTTGACGCAATGAAGTTGCAAGTATGTCTGAATGTGCAAGCTGTTGCTGCAGCTGCTTGTCGCTCAGCTCTGAAGAGCAATGTCAAGTCCCTCGAAACTCCAAGGAGAACCCAAAGATTAAAGGGACCCCTTGCGCTCACACTCTTTTGTTCTTGAGCCATTCATGCATCCAACGCATGTCTTCGCATGACTGAACATCCAACGCATGTCTTCGCATGACTAAACATGGAGTATCTGGCATGTTTCAAACACTCCTCCTTTCCAGGAGTTCATAGCCCATGAGGACTGGAACTGCATCTGTGCCAGATCTCCTTGCCCCAAAATGTGTGTGACACCACGGGCATACACCACGAGCTAGTGTGAGCTACTAGGCGCTTTTTCTCAGGACAGGAACAACAGCTTATTGCAACAAATGCTCTTGCCCCGAAAGAGCCATACGATATTTCTTTTTTCGAGGTCTTGATGTTTCTTCGTCTCAATAGACTTGACATCACAGCGCCCTGACACTACCTTACCCTAGTACTGGACTATTCCTTCGGTACCATGGGATATCAAGTAGCATCATGCTTCTATGTACACACGCTGATCAAGGATTGGCGTTTGATCTCCTCGGCTCATACATCCCCAACAGCTCCCGAGCTTTGCCTAAAGCGGTGCAAGCCAACACTTTCGTCAGGCCATCTGCAGGTAACTCCTTTCCAGAGCAGTGTTCCAGCTTGGTCTTGGAGGCTTCAAGATGATCTCGAACATATGCACACCGAAGGGCATAGTGCCGCGTTCTTTGGTCTTCAGTGTGGTACCCTGGATCAGTTAGCTGCAAGATTGAGGCAACGTTGTCTCCTCGAAGCTGATGTTCAAAGTGTTTCCCCGCAATGCTTTGGATGATACTCTGTGTCTTGCATCCCATTTGCAAAGCACTTCCAAGAGCGTCAAGTTCTGCCTCCGCTGGCGAAAATGCTGTAAGCGTCTGACGCTGGCTGCGCCATGCGATCAAGTGACCCCCCCAATGCACTGTTATCCCTGTACGAGACTTGCTCCCACCGGGTGCCCAGGAAGCATCACTGCAAGTCGTGACCTCATCACAGCTTCCGACAGCATATCTAATGCCCCAATACTGAGTGTATTTAACATGTCGCCAAATGCCTTTGGTTACACGCAATGCTTCCTCCGGGTTGTGGGACATCAAGCTCGCAGTGGCTCCCACACACGCAGCCAAATCAGGCCTTGTACGCAAGCTGAGCCATAAAAGTGCTCCGGGAAGGGTGTGAGTGCTGCTGGTATCTACACTTGTCGCCGAACTTGCATTTCCCATTCTTGGCCCACGCAAGACACTCCTGTGTACCAGACTCCTTAGCTGGCGTCGAAACTGGAGCAGCCTTAGGATTCGGTGTCGTTCTTGGCGCCTGTCCTTGTAGACCATCATGGCTGTAGTGACATCTGTCGCCAAATTTGCACTTCCCGTATTTCTTCATGAACTCACATGGCTTCTTCGTTTCCTTGCCCCCTCTCTTGCCTTTGTCCTTTCCTTTGCCATCGCCTTTGCCCTTCGCAGCTTGAGGATCAGGCTCATGCTGCCTGTTCGCCTTGATGTGCTCATCAGCGCTGAGCAGCTGCAACTGCTGCTCTATCAGAGTGACCATCTTTTCAACTCCAGCTGCTGTGGGGCGGATGATGTCGGAATCTGTTCGAAGCAAGCCCAAGAGGGTGCGAAACCGATCATGACGCCGCTCCAAAGTCTGTGCCATCGTACTTAGCTACAAACGGTGCCAACTTTGGAAGTGCCAGAGCTGTGGCCCTGGTTCTGGCAAGACGCCAGCGCCTAAGAACACTGAGTCCATTCTTTGCTGTTGTAACAGGCCGAAGTGTACGAACGAACGTGTTCAAGGATTGCATCTCTGCAGTTCCGCCGGGCTGCAGGACTTCGAAGACTCCCTCTAGAAGATCCAAAGCTCTCATGCCCTTGGACTCGTCCTGTTCCAGCACGCTTGTTTTCCATTTCTGAGGACAACGGATCAACAAAAGGATAAGCCTGCTTTCGCACTCAGAATCTCGTGGATCCACATCCGGCGGCGGTCCCAAAGTGACCAAGCCAGCCATCCTCTCGCCATGACGTTGCTCCGCCAACTGAACCTGCGCTGCCACGAAAGTCCAAAAGCGGGTGCTATGGTGCCAGCGACTGTGTCAAGCTGTTTCAACCACGTGCGAAATCTCATTCCGACTTCCCACGGTTCCCCTGCTAAGTGTCATTTCCACATGCGTGGCCGGTGGCTGCGTGGACGCTTCCGTGGTCTGCGTGGCCCGGCTTATGGTCTCAGAATTACATGCTGATAGGGGCTCTGGTGCGTTTAGGGTGGTGGCCAAAACGCACTGAGCTCTTTTTCTCGGCGACTTCCGCCCCCGCTCTTCCCCTCCCCTCCCCGTGCGTTTTGGGGGGCCCCCCCCTTCCCCCTCTTCCCCCCCCCCCCGTCCCCCCCCCCCGTCCCCCCCCCCGTGCGTTTTGGAAGACCTGCAAAACGCACTCTCCCCCCCCCCTCCCCGCCTCCCCACCCGCCTCCCCCCGCCCCCGCCTCCCCCCCCCCTTCCCTCTTCCCCCTCCCCCCTCCTACTTTTTTGACCTGCAAAACCTTCCCTGCACCCCTCCAAGCAAAGCCCCCCCTATTTGGTCTCAAGCCCTGCAAAACCGACTCCCCCCCACCCAAGCAAAATGTGTTTTGGGGGTTTTAACAAACAAAAAGTGGGTTCCTGGCCGGTGAGGCGGGATGGGTTGGGGGGAGGCCCCACACACAGCTGCGCACGCGACACAACGAAGGACAAAAACAACGAACTGGGTCCGGCCAGGCGGGGGCGGGATGGGTTGAGGGTTTAGGGTTTAGGGTTTAAATCTGGTTGAGGGTTTGTATAGGGTTTTTTTCAGGGTTGAAAGGGTTTAGGGTTTACAGGGTTCCCAAACAACCTGAAAAGTACCTTCTTTACAAGTACGATTTTCAAAACTGATGTTTTTTATTTGTTTCGCTTGTTGTTGTCAGTCTTTTCCATGTTTTTTTTTCGGGCGTTTTTGCTTTTCCCGAAACCCTAAACCCCTGCAAAGTGCGTTTTGAAAGTCCCGCCCTCTTCCTTTCTCCCTTACCTCCGTCCAGTTGCAAGCAAAGTGCGTTTTGGAAGGCCTCGAAAACGCACTGCTTCCTCCCACCCTCCAGTTGCAGCTCCAGTTGCAAGCAAAGTGCGTTTTGGAAGGCCTCGAAAACGCACTGCTTCCTCCCACCCTCCAGTTGCAGCTCCAGTTGCAAGCAAAGTGCGTTTTGGAAGGCCTCGAAAACGCACTGCTTCCTCCCACCCTCCAGTTGCAGCTCCAGTTGCAAGCAAAGTGCGTTTTGGAACGCACTCCTCCCACCCTCCAGTTGCAGCTCTAGTTGCAAGCAAAGTGCGTTTTCGAAGGCCTCGAAAACGCACTGCTTCCTCTCTCCCTCCCTCGGGTCCCTAAAAAAACACATCCGTGACAATGGGGTCCGTGGACAGTTCCGTGGCCTGCGTGTACGGGATGGTCTCCGTGGACAGACACTTGCGTGGATATGACACTTAGTTCCCCTGAACCAACCTGTAACACTGTGAACTTGGAATATCAGCCAGGAGTTTCAATCGAGCATGATGAATTGCATTGCGTCCCTGCCCTTAGCTGGAGCAGGATTCTGTCCAGATGGCCCTGCAATGGACTCATCCAGAGGCTTCAATGCCTGTTGGCTCGAAGAGGGTGCTGAGGAAGATGTCAGGCCTGAAGGTCGTTTGGGCTCCTCCTAACCTTGTAGTTCCGCCTGATTGCCTCACCACGAACCTTCCGCTGAGTGTTAGACAGCCAGTTGGAAGAGGTTCGGACAATAGCTCAGACCCCTCGATTGGGACCAGAACAATGGCAGGCAGGGTGGAAGCACACATCTTGAAATCAGAATGAGTATCGACATGCGAATGAAGCAGGTCGATGATCATCATAGCACCAAATCCCGTGTTCGAAATCTTGAAGACAGAGCTGTGAGTAGAACGGAAGTTCCTGATGCTCACATGGTACAGAAACAGGTGGACAAGACCTTCTGCGGTGCAGCACCTGAGAAGTGTCGTCGAGGCTAAGCACCTGGAGTTTAGACCATGGCTGGTAGAGGCAAGAGAATCGATTTAGGACGCGCGCGTGGCATTGTCAATCGTATTCTACTGTGCAAATTGTTCCAACACGTGTACCGGGACCTCAATCTGAGTTGCTTGCGTGAGGTTGTTCATGGCCTCCGAGGCCTTTCAAGTCCTGACGAGACCTTCCTGAACCTGCCACTTGAGCCAAAAGTCACGAAGTGCACAAACTAAACGAATTCTCTCTTGTGAGCTTGAACTCAGCTTCAGAACGAAGTTTGGCAAAAACACACTTGTATGATTTCCTTGGAAATCAACGAGGCACAAACCATCGAGGATGGAATCACACGGATTCCCAATCACTCCGAAGCAAAACAAACCTATACAAGCTGATCCAAAACATGACAAAAACATCACTGATCAGCTACAATCTTCCACACCGCTTTCCAGTGCATCTGCTCTTCGACTGCGAGAAAGGGCCACAGCAGACCTCTCTTCTCTTCTCTTTACAGTCCATGCGGCAAAGCATGGTGGCGATCTTCTTTCAAGCACTTTCAATCGAACACAAAATTCTTTACACCACTAACGGTTCTTCAATTGAACTTTAACCAAGTAATCAACCAACTGTGGAAGAAAGTTTGGTGGTTAAGATGCTGCACCGGAAGCAGTTGGCACACGCTGCCACAACGGTTGCAATTTTGCAGAAATGAAGTTGATGCGTGTTGCACGCCAAGACAGGTCAAGAAGCAGTCTGGAGTGCAAGTTTCTAACAACTGCACCAGTGTTTTAAAATGGTTAATGGAGAACAGAGGAAACCACACAACCAATCCCACACAGGGTTCAACACTGGGGCCGGTGCCCTGAAGCCCTGAACAGTAGGGTGTTTGGGCGACAACAGATGACAAGCAAGTAGGATGGGATTAAGGCAAACCCAACCCTTCGTGTCTTGTCCCACCTGGAGAACGAGATGAAGTTTACATGATGGAGAGATAATGAGATGTTAAATGGAAATGCCAATGCCCACATGCAGTGAGTGTTGCTGCTGCAGCTGTTGGTGCTGCTGCTGCTGCAACCTTCTTTCCAAAAATCCCAAATGTCGTCCTCTGAAACTCCCTTTTGGACGAAGACATGCGTTGGATGTTCAGTATGCGAAGACATGCGTTGGATGCATGAATGGCTCAAGAACAAAAGAGTGTGAGTCCCTTTCATCTTTGGGTTCTTCTTGGAGTTTCGAGGGACTTGACATTACTCTTCAGAGCTGAGCGACAAGCAGCTGCAGCAACAGCTTGCACATTCAGACATACTTCATTGCGTCAAAGAGCATCAAGAAGACCTTGTCGTTGCTGTATTTGTGTGCTGGCAGAAGCTGGCTGTTTCTGGCGATCCAGCAAGTCTGCCCAAACCCGCCGTCAAAGGTCCAGCAAGTATTTGCACCAGGCCCAGCAAGTATTGGCCTCTTCTGCCTAAACCCTCCGCAGAAAAAAAGAGGTGTGCGTGTTATGTCAAACAAACTGATATAGAACTTATCTCTATTTATCTGTTTTACATTTTGGAATGTTGTTCCCGGATTCGCGCATGCATCTTAGCAAAAATTGAAGAAATCGGTCTTGCAGCCTCGCCTGCAACAGATTTTCTAAAGTTGCCTGGCAACTGTTTAAATTGTTTGGAACCGGAACTTTCTCCAACTGGAAAAGAGACGTTCCCAGGCACAGGGTTGTGCAAACGGCTGAGAATAGCGGGTGGGTTTGGGGTGGGGTGGGTTTGGCTGTTTAACCATGCTTTGAATGGAAGGGACCCCCCTTTGCAGAGACCCCTTTGAAGGGAGAAAGGCTGAAGAGGGGCTAAAGACCCCCCTTTGCAGAGACCCCTTTGAAGGGAGAAAGGCTGAAGAGGGGCTAAAGAAAGGCTTAAGCCTTTTTTTGCCCAAAGCGGGTTTTGCGGAAATCGCTTGCCCTCTTCCGAACTAGATTCATGCTGCAAAAAGTCTTTGCATGCACGACAAGCAAGAAGCTTCGAACAAACGCTTTCAAGCTAACAAAACAAAGTGTTGTAGCTTTTAAAGGCGCTTGTAAGAAACGACCAGCTATATCTTTCCAATAGATCAACATGAAACAAGGTGTCTCTTTAAATGGCAACAATACTCTCTAACGTTTATCTCTCGGTTGGGCTTCGTTGCTAAGATCATGGCTATGTTTGTAGAACGGCCTGAATCTTCAAAAGATCCTAGTCTTCTAAAGCCTTGACCTTCTTACGGCTACACGTAAAACGTTGCTAGGCAAAAATCCTTTAATCCGCTTCAAATCTGTGCATCTGGATCCCTGGAGCTTCTGCAGCTTGCTCTTAAGAAGCACACGTTTCGATTGTTGGTTTTCTAAATTAGTTCTAAGTGTTCTAGGGGGATGTCTCGACTCTTGCCATTTTTCCCACTCTCGGTGTAGGGTTGTTCGGTTCGATCTCATGCTCCTCGTCCACTGTGACCCCCGGAGAAGGGTCACGCCGAGTACGGTTGGAGATCGGCAGGATGGTTTCTACATTAGGTAGCTGTAGGGTGGAGTGATCGAAGCACATAAGATTGTGTGTTGGTGATATTTTTGTTTTTCACTCTCTCTTTCTCTGTGTCTGTCTTCTGTGTCATTTGCCAAAAACAAATTCCATTGTAACGGCGAAGTTGGAATCCGTGGTAGATCCTCTCCTTTTTCCTCTTCCAAGAGCAGAAGAATGTTAGAGTATCCTTTTATGTCATTCTCGCCCATGAAAATTGTCTGTCTCTGGCATGCTCTCGTCTCTCTTTCAACTCTCCCCTCAAGCAGGCGCAGCCTGCCTGGATGTTGCCTGACGGTGCTGCCTGGACCAGTCCAACGTGATGCGAGCCCTCGCATCTCCTCACCGACGTCTGTCGGTTTGGGCTTGGACGGGCTGATTCTGGGTATTGAACCCTCAACCCTCACCGGCCAAGGAAATAGTTGCTTGGCCTTGAGTGCGAAGTTTCGACTGGGGGACTCTCCCGCTTCCTGCGGGGCAGGTGGGGTCCCCGCCTGCTTGGGTTTACCTGATGGCTCTCTCTTTTTGCTCATTGCTTCCATTCTCTCTTCATCTCTCTCTCTCTCTCTCCCGCCTTGTTCCTCTCTCGCTCTCTCTTTCTTCCTCCTTCCCTGTTTTTTTTGGGAAAACGCATGTATGAACATGCATGATGGTCAACCCGTTTCAAGAAGCACCCGATGGCTTGAATTGGCAAAGCGACATCTCAACACGGCAATCTCAATCTTGCGCAAGTGGCACAGTCTTTAAGGTTGCGCCAGGTCAGTTCAGGTTTCTTTTTCATTTAGCTTAGAAAGTGTATAGGAACAGAATGAAAGATAGCATTTTGGTCACCTGTTGTGCTTGCAATGGCTTCATGGCTGCAGTGGAGGTGCTTGATTCGTCAACCGTATTCGCATGATGCGCATCGCAGTGCAGGATGCCAAACAAGCGCAAGTCGGTGATAGGGTATACTGTGGCGGCAGGCACGATGTGCGATTCAACCAAACTTCTGCCCAAATGCAACTAAGGAAGGTCAGCATGATATGTTTCTATCCTGTGCTCAGTTCTTGGCGTTTGGCTGCTTTCCGGCCCGAACCACAGTGGTATTGCTTTACGGCACGAGCATGAGTAGTATGCACACACATGCATCAAGTGGAATGGCCAGGTCTGATCAAGTCGTGCACAACAGCCTTAAGTGTGCGAGTCGCGCATGCCACGCCCTCAGTATGGAATGTGTCTACATGTGTCTACATGGATGCCACCGTTTTTGGTTGTTTGCTTTTTCACTCGCGCATGGGCCACATGCGAAGGAAACGAAACATGCAAATAACAACTTCGAGGCACAGTCGGTCGTGCCGTTGCAATCGATAGTTTGATAGTCAAGTATTTTTGAAGGGAGCTTGTTATGCGACTGGCTTTTTCGAAGCTTTCATTCAGACCGTGCATTGTCGCAAGCTCACCTCATTCCTTCTTGCCAGGGTGACATGTCACCGGCTGCTCGTTGTGCTCTTCACTGTGCTGCCACGGTCCGCGATCTTGAAATTGCAGCTCGTTGATGAGATCTTTTTGACTTGACACAAGCCAAACACGAGGTCATAAGTGGCGCGGATGCTGCTGCAAATCGAACAGTTGGAGCTGCTCAAACGTTTTGCGAGAGGCAGGGTGTGCAAGTAGCAGTGGTTGACGGCGTTCGGCAAACGGCATATTTCTTTGTATTTGCTTCAGTTGTCTTGCTCTTTTGCGACCTCAGCTCAGCAAGGATGATGAAAGCTTCTTGCGCTGCGAAGGCTCGAAGGGTTTGGGAGGGCTGGCCATTGGACAGTGTGCAGATCTGCAGCGTTCAGTGTTCGGTGGCTGATGGCCGCTGTCGGGGTTTGCCTCGTTCCGGAGTTGTCGTTTTTGGCCTTTTCGTCCATGCGGGGGCCAGGAAACGTCGATGGCTGCAGCCCGAGATGTTTGGCAGGCGTGGCAGCATGAGCTGATTTTGGTCCTCGGGATCTTTTGTGAGACGCATAGCAGGACGTGCAGCTGGCTTCCCATTGGATGACTAAAACCACTGTGGCCCAGACGAGCAAGCGCCACATTCAGGATTGTTGTGTCAGTATGATGCTCACGAGTCTAGTTTCAGTGGCCTTCGCACGTCTGATGTGCTCGCAGTTAAAATGGGAGAGACCCCAGTATCTTCTTTGCCATGTTGTGTTTGGATTGGCATTTGGAGCTTTGGATACCTAATTAGGGATGAAGAACCTGGGCTCGCAGGTAACTTCAGGGTAGACACACGGACACACACACACAAGAGTACTCATGTTGTTGGCCGCCTACCCGGGCCTACCCATTCTCAGTCGCTGACCCGACTGCTACTGCTGCACCCTTTCCTGCTCTTTGTCTTGACGAGGGACTTCCCACAAACTGCAGCAAGATGCAACAGGGACCTGCATGTCCATCTCGTGTTATTTGCCGTAGTCCAGTTGCATTCAATTCCTCCCGTTCTTTGTGAGTTTTCCTGTTCTTGAGTTCTGCCAGGACGTGTGTGATCACATTCACGGTGCATGCCGCTACATGTCCCACACAGCGGAGGTCCGTGACGAAGCACGAGTGCAATCTTTGAGAATACCCGATCGCTGACAGGTTGCTCGATGCAAGGCCATGTCGTGCTACGCTCTTGCTGCTCATTCGGTCGCAGGCTGGCGCGTTTGTGCGTGCAACCAGGTGCGTCATGTCATAACAATGTTCCAGGCACAGCCGAGATGATTGCAGAGTCCGCAGACAAGGTCACCGGTTTGGTTGCTGAGCTCTCGACACCCATGGTGAACAGAAGTGTAGGCTGCCACCTCATCACGAGACAGGCTCCAGCTCTGCATGTCACAGTTGTGTGGAGATGACGCTGCGTTTCTGAGAGAAGCTTCATGTCCAACGTGCCTGGTTCATGACTGCCTTGCAGCGCTCGGCACATTCCTCGATGCCAGCCACTGGAGCCATGTCGCAGTCAATCCAGTTCGCGCTGTACTCCACGTTGCAACTGCCGAAGACTGCAAGTTCATCCGATATCAAGAGGGCCTTCAGGACGCGACTCGCCCAAAGTTCTCCCCCCGAAAGGGGAACCCAACCTGTTATATTCTGACTTGTTTTTGCTGGTTTGGAGGACTCTAGCCTGGACCCATCATCCAGACAAAGGTGGAAACCCAGAGAGGCCAGGGCCCTAGCACTGCAGATTCGGCTGGACGCCTTCCAATCCATGAGAGACGTGTACGCACACTGTAGAAAGAGAAAGCATGTCATGATCCCGGGCAGGTATCCCACCCCCTCCCCAGCCCCTCCCTCGCAATGGTATTCACCCCGCACCCGGTTAAGGTTTAGGGGTTCGTGTTTAGGGTTGAGCTGAAGGGTTTGTGTTAAAAGATGGCGGGGATCAACGATGGAGCCATGACTCATATCAGGCGCGGAAATCAGCCATTGTGCGCCATTGTGCGCACTCAACTTCTTTAATCTCTTCAATTCCTCAAAAAGGAGATAATTATTCAAGCTAAAGAGCTTACGGATACGGAAGTTCCAATTTTTAAAGGGTTGAAAAATGTACAAGGGCCGGAAATAAGGGAAACTGGAAGTACTGGATGTAGTGACTATTGACACAGCTGCGATCCGACCACTGGTATCCATAAGAAGGGAGGTGGCGAGTTTCAGCTCTGCGTGTGAAGCTTGTAGACGGGCCCTTGAAATTGCTACAAAGAAATACTGAATCTGAAAGGCACTTTGAAGTCTTTAAAACCTTAGAGTGTTGAAAGGCCAAAATCATTTTCTATTTTACGGCCTCTTTGCGTTTACTAGGCGCCTGAAAAACTCAAAGCCTTGAGAAACCCTTCAAGGGAAAACGTGCGGACATATGGCACATAAATGTCCTGCGCACATATTGTTACATGCGCATAGACGTGTAGATATACATATACCTACATATGTGTATACGTAGATGGCTGTCTATATACCATGTATACGTAAAGATGTGTGGAGGTGTAGGTGTATGGATGTGTAGATGTATGGCGATACACATGTGTGGATGTGTAGATGTGTACATGTACATCTATACATACATAGTCTTTTCTGTATGCATATATACACGTAGATATGAGTCGCTTTCGTGGTTTGTTTTTGGCGGCCGGGTTGCGATGCTTGTTGCGGTGGGGTTGTCCCACCATGTCCCACAGCTCCTGCAGGTTCAAAGAGATCAGTTTCGCTTACGAAGTGCTGAGCAACCCGGAAAGACGCCGGGAGTATGACGAGAAAGGAGCTTTTGGAGTGCTGTTGGGTGAACACGCCATGTGGTGAGGCAGTCTTGTGGTGGGCTTGGCCAGGAGACAGGCTGTTCTACACTGGGCCCCCGTCATCTCCTGAAGAACTCGCGGAAATGCTGCTAAGAGGTAGCAGCTTGGGTAGGGTGGTTTTGAGTGAGATTGTGCAAGTATGCAGTATGCAGGCTTTGCGCGCATGGCTGCAGGTGCTGGACGAAGGAAGAGCAAGGACAGGTTTGTGGCGCTGCCGGTTTCCTTGGAGTTCCTTGACAGAGCTTCAAGCAAAGATATTTCAAATACTGCACACCCCTCCATGGCTACCACTAAAGTTCATTAACAGTTGAGTTTCAGCTGAAGGCAACTTTACAGTGGGCACTCGCACTCCATGCTCATCACGCGCAAGGTCGTTGACAGATCTCAAGAAGTACCTGAACTACAAAAAGAAGGTTCTTGAAACGGCATCGAAACGGAAAGGGACGTTCATCCACACCGCTTGTGGAGTCGTAGAGCCCATTTTCTGTGTTTTTTGCCAAGCCGAACTCAGAATCTTGTCAGACTAAGGTCCGACCTGGACAGGGCTGGTCTCTCTGAATATTCAAGTCGAAGTGTTTAAGTGCTGTTGTTTTTGCAGGTCCGATGTTTAGGTCCGATTCTGGCCTGGCACCTCCCACAAGAAAAATAATGTCTCAGGAAAGCCCACCACGTGCAGGAGGAGCTCACGGTCTTCATCGAACGAGGTTCGGGCCATGGGCAGGCAATCTGCTTTGCCGGGAAGGCTCACTCCTGCTGTCCTTGCATGTTTGTCTTGATATCATGATGATGCGACTGTTGCTGGCGGTCGCTGCAGCCCGTGTCTGATCGTGATGTGACAAAGGCCGATGAGCAACCAGGTCTAGAAGTGGGGGACTTGATCGTGGTCCTCCACGAGCTAGAGCACCCTCGTTTCAGACGGCGAGATGCCGACCTCTTCATGAAACTGGACATCAGCCTTGCAGAGGTGGGGATCGTCAGTTCTCCCTGTTTGGCCCCTCTGACAATCTGGAGACTCCTCTTTCCTTGCTTTGGAGGCCCTGGTCGGCTTCAAGCGTGTGATTCAGCATTTGGATGGGCGTCGGCGGCTACGGGGGGAGCCCATGGAGCTGGCGGGGCCATGTGTCAAGGCGAGGCCGTGGGGAGTAAGATGCCTTAAGCGATGAGTTTGCAATGGCTTTGGTGCAATGCTTGCGTATCCAGGCGATGAAGGAGCAGGGCATGCCACTGAAGGGCAGGCCGTTCAGCTATGGAAATCTCTTCTTGGAGATAAATGTCTGCTTTCCTGAGAAACTCGATGTCGCAGTCATCTCTCTCCTCGATAACGTGCTTCCACGGACTGAACATCTCGCCGAAACGGGCGAGGTAGAGGTAGCTCGACTGCCATAGGATAGGGTCCGTGTCACGGGCATGGCTTTCTCAAATTCCCCAAAGAACCAGCTTCATTCGGAAAATTCCGTTCTCAGCACCAAGATCCCGTGAACCCGCCGATAAATCCTGCTTTTTTGCATGCGATCACAGAAGTCTTAATGCACTTATCCGGTCCGTGTTGTAGTAGATTTGCAACTTCTCCGAGGTCTACACTTTCGAGGATGCAGACCCTTTCTGTCACGACTTGCAGGCTAGCTGTGGGACCGGGCCGCGTGTGTTCTGATGGCTTTGCCGGCTTTGCCTATGCCATGAGTCCAGCCAGCTGCCATGGCCACGAGAATCTGGTGACGCGGCAACGGGACACAGAGCGGACATCAAGACTTCTTCAAGATGATGCAGACAGACTCACCAGACACAAGCCTGTGTCAGAGTTGCATCGGCAATTCTGTTCTTCATGGTGGATTGCCAGGCGTCTATGCCTAGCTGCCACGGCCTATTTCCTGCAAGGTCCTACCATGTCCCCCACGGTCCTACACCTGGTCCTGGAAGTCGTTATGACTAATGAGGCTCTGGTCTCTACTGGACCGCTTTGCGTGCCTCCATAGAAAAGTGGTCCGGGCCGCTGCAGAGCTTCTGATACTCAAGTAGATGCAGCACTTGAGTGTGAAGGGACACGGCGTGATGGTGCCCGAGTTTTCCCGCAATTTCCCGTAAGGTCATCTAAGGTTGCTGCTCTAACAGACTTGACAAGGCTGGCCGTACTCGCACTCCTTCCTGTTGCTAAGAAAAACAAGGCTGCTCCAAAGCTGCTCGAGAGCAGCTTCTGGCCAGCTTCATCAACTGAGCATAGAGAGCAACGGCTGGCTTTTCAGAGATCGGCATAAAAACGACAACTGCATGATGATGGGGCAAAAGTTAGGGCGTCATGTAGCAGTCATATGTAGCACTCTTAGACATTTTTTCGGGGAGAGAGACCTCTCGCATCTCAAACAGCTCTCCCATGAATCGGTCCATGACGTCCGTGCTGCCCCTGGATGTCCTTTGCAACTGCCTGGCCTGCTGCTCCCTCAGCGAGCGTCTTCGATGTGCAGTGGCGTCTCGCCGTTGGCAGGAGGTCGGAAGGAGATGGAACATGATGATCATGATGCCCCTGGCATGGAAGGGCGTAGGTCAGTGTAGGTGTAGATCCTGGGCTAGGGTTGCCATTTTCATGCCAATCAAGCTACCCGACGTGCACGCAGGCTGTCTTGGAGCCCTGTCTTTGGGGGAGTCTGACCCCGGATCCAGAAGACTTACTCTTCTTGAATGTTCTTCTGGACAGATTCGGACCCAGTATTCGATGTCTGAAAATCACAGGACACGGTCCCAATCGTCTGGGTTCCAGCGCATTGTCCTTTCCGCAACTGGCCAAGTGTATACATCTGGAGAGCTTATCTCTGAGTGGTTTTCGAGGACGTGATCTTGAGAATTTCTGCCAGTCGAGATGTCAGATGCCTGCGTTACGTTCCTTGGTCATTGAGTGCGACCCGTACTTCAATTTGGGAAGTTTCTCTCACAACACTGGGGCTCATATGGCATCCCTGCCCATATCATGGTTGGCCTGCTTTCCAAACTTGGAGCGGTTGGTCTGCGACTATTTGAAGGTGGAGGCCTCTGACACCGAGGCGGAGGCGTGTGATGCAGAGACCACAGATTCCGAGGATGAGGTTGTGTGGCTGGATCACAATGCCGATCTGCCAGATGCCTCTCGTGCTGCGAGTTTTGGGAGTGCTGCGAGTGCAGATGCCGTGGATGCGGGCGGGGATGGCCCGGAAGCAGAGCATGTGGAGGGTGCGGAGGCTAGCCTACCACGCCGGACCATGTCGACGTTAGAGCTGCCCATTGGAGCATTGTCCCCACACAGGGAATACAGGGAACACAGGGAACAGAGGGAGCCCAGGAAGGAGAGCCAAAAAGTCCAAAGCTCCGAGCCTGAGCAGCCGCAGCTCAAGAAGCTGCGTGACCTGAGTTTTGTCGCCGTGGTACGGGGCAGCGGATCCACGTGGCATTCCTCCCACTGTCGATGCGATCTTTCTGTGCTGGCGCACTTGGCACCCGGTTTGGAGCACTTGTTCGTGCGGGGTCCCAGTGTTGCCCTGGGGCGGATGAGCCGAAGGCCCGGACAGCGCATCGAGGGCCTGATCCGGGTATCGCGGCACTTCTGCAGCACAGGGCTTCGGGACCTTCTGGCTGTGGGCTATCTGCTTCCGTCTCTTCGGTCATTGAAAGTTGAGGTTGCAAAGGATGATACTGGACATTCATGGGATTCCTCAGGCTCTTTGTTGACAGTTCCAGCGGCTTCAGCGGCTTCTTCCAGACCCTTGCACGCATCTCATCTGGCTTTACTGCTCGGGGTGCACGATCGCCCCTTCTTGCTCTCTGTTGGTGCCTCAGACGTTCTGGCATCCAAGCTGCGTCGCACTGGCAATGCTGCAGCGAGTCCAGCTAGTGTCTCCGCATTTCATAGTTTCGCAGTTGCAGAGCAGCATTTGCCACTCTTGCAGTGCTTGCAAAAGTTTTTAGAGCAGAAGGACCAAAAAGAGTCCAAGGATCTTCAGCAAGAATTCGAAGTGGATATTGTCGAAGCAGCATGAGTCATGAGACATGCCGCAGCCAAAGGTGCTCCACGGTGCTTTGATTTTGTTTGCCGTTTTGCTAATGTCAGTCTCCGTTTGAACAGCAAGGTGGGACATTGCTCCATTGCTCTCCCCGTTCGAAGAAATGGGATATTTCATGATATTCCTAGACCATTCCTTGTACATATGAAACGCAGCTTCAGCCGTACAGGGCCGTCCTGGCTTACGCCAGGGGATCGTGCCACGCGAAAAATGCTGTTTCCAGATTTGAACGTGGCTGACTGTGTGCAGATCGCAGGGTGCAGACGCTATTCTTTTGAACAGCAGCAGGCTGGCAGAGAAGCAGCGCAAGAACTGAGCGTTGCCGACAGTCCGAGGTGTCTGACCCGTGCTGACAGCATTTGGCATGCTGTTGGCATCGTTCCCACCTGTTCCCGTTAAGCACTGTGCGCGGGCCATATTCGCGCTTGGGACATCGTACATCCTAGTGCCTTGACGCGAAGCTTGCGGCATGGTTTCTGCGCAGCTTGTTGTCATGATTTGAACTGCCGCTGGCCAGCTCTATAGTTCCAGAGCAGGCATGCTTGGGCTGAAACACAGTTTGCTCGTACCAAGTGTTGGCAAAGACCACAGGAAGAGATCGTCATGCTTGGAGCGGCGCCATTGCAGAATCCGAAAACCAAGCGCTGCTAGTTAGATCTCGGAGTGTACTGGAGGAATGCATTGTGGCTCCTGCCGCGAAGGTTTGAACACACCCGGTGGCTCTTCGGCTGGATGCAAGCATTGTTTTGTAGAGGTGCCATGAATTCATCATGAACGGGTGGGAATTCGGGACCCAGCAGTTTCCGCAGGGCGGGTTTTGTGCTCAGTTGGCTCCGAAAACAAAGTCGGCAGAGTGTGCTTTAAGAACTTTAAGAACTTTAAGTGCCCTGGCCAAGGCGATGGGCTGCCATTTAGCGAAGCCTTGGGGCGTCGCGGTCGGCTGCACACTTCCGTGGGGATCTGAGAGAGGGAAGCCAAAAGAGAGACAAAGAGAGAGGTGCGAAGTTCGACAGGCTGTGCGTTGTGCACCTCCTGCGTCCAGGCTTGTCGAGAAAAGCTTGGATCATGATGAGGAGAACTGGCGCTTCTAGCAAGCTTACTCAGAATACGCAGAGCTAAACTCTCAACACGCAATGATAAGCCTCAGTGTTGCCTGCAGGAGTGTGAGGAGCGGTGGTTCGAACCTCAGTCACAGACTCTGAGCCCTGGTTTGACGTCATGATGTCTTCTCGAGGTGTTGGTGCCTCTTCCCGTATCACCGACACATGCGTGACATGGAGGCAGCTCGGTGAACTCTCGTGATGGGCTTTGTGTGCGTCTTTTGCAGGTGGTGGTGGATCCGAACGCGCCGTCAGATCCAAAGGAGGGAGTCGTTCATGTAGACATCTCCAGGCCATAGAATGCACTTCAAAGCACGGCCGCAGCCCACGCTGAGCTTTGATGATCCCCTTCTCACCTCTGGAATTGTCTGACTCTCCGCCAGATCGCCACCTGGACGTGATGTTCATGTCGGTTTCCCTGCGCCATCAGAGGCCTCCGTGTACAGGTTGAATGTCACGCCTTCGAAGGCAAGATATGGCAAGATGAAAAAGCTTTCAATAATGAAAAAGCTTTCAATACAGGACACGCCAAAGTCCGTGGGTTCCTCGAAAGCTGCTTCAGACTGCTCGGTGCCCAGCAGAGGACTCTCTTCGACCCTATTGAGTTCTCACGCCTGCTGTCGCATCATTGTGCTGAGAACGAGCAAGTCCAGGGTGTGGCTTCGTGCACGGGAGCAGTCAGTATGCATGTGGGGAGGCGCGTCATACAGGCTTGTGCGTGCAATCCCAGATATGGAGTGCTTCCCATCGTTCGCATGCTGGTACTGACTTGTATTGCACTGCAGAAGGCTTTGCGAAGGCTCTGGGTTGCCAATTTCTGTGCTGTAGGGCGCATCGCCTGACAGCCTTAAAGCATGCTCTAGATGCTTTCGAAGAGCTTCCTCGACCTCACCAGTACCTCACCGATCTGTTGTGTTGATGCTGTGGTTCCATGTCAAGTCCCGTATTTGCCAGTTTCGAGTTGCCCAAGCAACATACAGCGGACCTAGGATGCTGAACTCTGGTGCGTGAACTTTCAGGCATGATGAGGCAATCTTCAGTATAATGCTGTGTGATGAGGTTCTTGACTCGTCGATGGGTAGCCGAATGGTCAGGATCTTCTCCAATGAAGACGCCTTTACCAACCGGCCCCACTCGGAAAACGAACCTGTGATGTCACAGTAACATCCACTTCTATGCCCGCCTCGTCCACCTTTATAGTTGTTTGGTTTTTTAGTGATGGTTCGATCGTTCGTGACCCATGCAGTGCCTGCGCTGGCCGTGAAGTTCTTTCTCCAAGTCCGTCCGAGAACTGATATCTCGTGCTCTTCTCCGAAGAATCTGCGACATGTTTCTCAATCTCAGGAAACTGACTCGGCACAAGCCTTCGAAAAAGGCACGAAAAGGGTTGGATATGCAAGCTCAGGGCGACTGGGTTCCGTTCGTTTCCACTCTCCAACTCCTTTTTGTGCTCTCCGGACACAAGACACGTGAAAGGAGCCTAGGCCGTACAGTATGGTGATGTACTTTTCAGCTTTGCTTTCGCCAGCATACATCCGTTGTGATTTTCCTTTGAGTCAAGGACAGAGTGAGGCAATAGACAATGCTCGGCTAGCCGCGCGTGTTGGAGAATCTGGAGAGCTGGCACTCAGGTCTGTCCAATTGTGACGATGTGCGCACACAGCTTGGCGCTAATTCCATTAACGATGCCTGGTGCTCGGAGACTCATCAGGTTGAGAAGGTTGAGCAGTGTTTCACCTGTGGCTGCAGTTCAGACCGTCTGGAATGTGAAGCACTTGCGATCGTCAACAACGAGCGACATGTGTGAAGGTGGGGCACAGGTATGGTGGCCACAAAGGACTGCGGAACCACTCATCACTCATCACAACATCAAGCGCAGTTCTACAAGCAGCTTTTCTCCACTGCGCAAAGAGGTCTGTAAATCAAGTGGCTTCCGCCATGCTTGCGATGCTTGCAAAGGTTCCGGAACTCATTCGAAGCTTGGCTGAGTCAATCTGCTCGGCCGCAGGCGCGGTGTTCCCGGGGCTCGCTAAGACTTGTATCGCCTCGTAGCTCTGGTTCAGCTCTGTCATCATAGCAAGAAGAGTTTGAGTTGAAATCTAATTGTACATTGAAATCTTCCACGCTAGGAGACGACGCCTTGCTGGAAGTGGCTGGCTTGACCGACGCTCAGAATCGGATGCACATGATCATGCCGCTGTTGCTTTCACGCCCCCGAGTTGTTTCTATGATGTTTCATGTCTGTCATGATGTCCTCAGGCCTCTTGCCGAGTTCTGGAGAAAGATGCTGCTGGAATCATCAGGCGGGATGAGTCAGTTCTGAGCTATTCGTCAGGTGTTCATCATGCAGGGCATTGCAGCCAGGCGGAAAGCCTGGAAGTGCGGTGGCCAGAGCAGAGAAACTGCTTCGCTTCAGGTGCCACCATGGCTTTCAGTCCTAGCCGTATGCCCCTCCTGAGCAAGTCTATGTCGTGTTCGATTGAAGCGCTGTGGCACGGCTGTGCTGCTGCAACAGGCAGTGGTACTCATGGCCGTTAAGTATAGGTCCAGTTCTTACTTGCATGCATTTTGTCGATGCAGTCCATCTGAAGCATGGCATGAAAGAGTCAGGCGTCAGCCACGTCGAAACGGCAGCGGGCCTATACGGTAATTTGCCGACTGCTTTACGGAGCTCAGTTTTCCCAACAAAACCGGGGGTTGGATTCTCGTTTGTTGGCATGTCATGGGGCGCAGAAGGTGTTCGGCCTGTTGGTGTCCAATGTGTGGGCTGCAGGCTTAATAGAGGGGCAGGAAAGGTCCAGGGACAGTCCGGAGGCCAAAACCAGTGTCCACGTTGAAGGCGGTAAGCTTCGCGGTTGGGGAGTGCACGGGGGAGCCAGGACGGCCGAAGCTCGACGGCGGCAAATGTGGGTTTTCGAGTGCAACGGCTGACAAGGGGGGTCTGCGAGGGTATGGGCTGAGGGGCAGTAGGGCGTTTGGGGCACTGTAGCGTGGACTGGTGAGAGAATACAGTCACCTGGCTTTTGTGGATCGCAGGGTGTTGTTTTGCTGTGCATTTTTTTCCAAAGGCCCTACGCAGTGGAGCCACCATCTACCTGCCTCCTCGATGGCCAGGCCAGGCAACTTCGACACTTCCATCCCAGCGAGCTGTTCCGATTTCTTTTGGTCAGAGTTTTTGCGGTTTTGACCTCGAGTGAAGCCAGGCGATTCACACCTTCTTGTATTCACAGCGCAGAAGCTGGACACGTGCGCGTCTCAGCTCTGGCTGTGTTTGTGCGTTCCTCCGGACAGTGCCCTCCTTGGCCCACCTTTTTGAATTCTTGGGCAATCTTGGGCGCACACTGCTCGTCTCCATTGCCGCGCCAACAGTCAAGGCGATGACGAGGAACCCGAACAGTCTACCTTGGTGTGCGGATAAAGCCAACGATCTGTGCACAAAGTCAATAAACCTTGCTTGGCCACTCATACTCTTCGTGGAGCTGGATCTGGCAATCGGGCAATACAACATCAAGCCCAGCTCGCCAAGGGTAGTGCTTCAAACTAGAAGATGCACACTCTGCTTTCTTCGGAACATTCTGTGTACATTGGGTCTATGAAAGAGTGGGCACTGTCAAAGCCAGATGCATGTAGTGGCTGGTGGTGCCATGCGGGCTCATGTGCTGCACACCGCATGCGTGAAACGGAGTTTGCTCTCGCCCACCTGCACACCCAACAACGTCGCCTTTCACAGCCGAGGCGATTGTGTACTATGCAGGCTGGCATGTTTTCTTGGTGTCTCGGCTTCCCAGGTGTGTGGAATCATCCTTGTCTGCGGAAGGAATACCAAATGCTGATTATGTTTATGCTGGAGGCGGCCCTGAGAGCGTGCGTCTCGGAAAGTCTTTCTGCTTGAGCCCACGCCTCATGAACGCATGGCAGCAGCCCAAGGATAGTTTTTCCGACCATCGCGGTGTAACTATTGCCTGCCCCTCACTCCGGAGTTCATTTTGAGAAACACTCCTTGTGCAACAAGAATCGCTGCTGACCAACATGGCTCCGGTAGGTGCTGGACGTGAGGCTGCCCTCTTCCGTCATTTGGCAGGTGCTCTCCTAGAGTCGCAAGCGGACTCTTCAACGGCTCAAGTTATCAGGCCTGCATCTCCGGTCTCAGCGACGTGTCCAGAGGAATTGCCATGTGCTCTGCACTTCCCATGAAGGCAGGACTGTGTCTGATGTGAACACGGAGCACGGAGCATTGGCGCTTTTGCCTCCAGGCATCCCACGTACAACTCATCGAAGATGAATCTGGTGTCGGGATCTTTGTGCTTGTTGGCCGGAAATTGCAACTGAACCCCATTTTTGCAATAGTTGCACTGGACCCTTACATTCGTCACCTAGGAATAGCAAAACCCATTAAAGTTGTCATGCGAAGCCTGCTGTACGTCTAGAGTCTAGATCCTAAAGATCTGTGGGTGTGCTGCTATGCAAGTGTCCGTAACAACTCCTGCTGCTTCTCCTGCTGCTGCTGCCGATGACGATCCGTGTGAGAGTGGCGAGTGTCCCTCGTGCGAGTGAGCAAAGGGCTGAACTGCCAACGGGCGTATGCGGGCGTACCATAATCGAGCAAATGGGAAGTCGCATGAAGCTGTGGGAGACCTATGAGCTTGTGACGCGCTTAACAGGAGGTAAGGAGGGCACATGCTTTCTTGGGGCTCAGCAAACTCATCAACTTTCACACCCAACCCGACAAGAACTACACTTGGATCGAAGCATTGGGTTCACGGCTGGCAAAGGCCCGGGTTGCCCACTACGCTGTCGGACTGCTTCTTTCCAGGGTCAGCTCCAAGATGAGGCCGGGCATCACGGGGCACAAAACAGGGCATCACACGGGCTCACGTTTCTTTCATCAGACGCGCCAACGATCCGTTTGATGCCGATGCTTCCGATGCTTGCCTTGGCATCTGCCAGGTCTCGCGTAAACCGGGGTGGGCGGCAGGCAGCAATTGACATGCTGGGACAGGAGATCTTGTCTCGGCCCGAGAGCTCTCGGACCCTTCACGTCTTCCGAAGATCACTCCGTTGCTGAGGCCTGACTTTCTAGGTGGACAGCGAGACTCCGCTGCCGAATTCTCTACCTGGCTCGAGTCTGTGCCCCGAAAATGTGCACGTTTTTTCGCCTTGTGTCATTTGTTCTCCGACTGCCTCAGGAAGCTGCAGCTTGCAAACCCGCTCGAGATTGCTAATGCTTCCGTTCGATCTGTAGCAACTCGGACGCATGTAGCTTGCGGTTTCTTGGGACCGGCCACTGAACGCCGTAAATGTGCTTCATCGACCCGCCTCGGCCGGCTTGAGGTTTTGTTTTTGTTACGGTGCATTCTGTATTGAAACTATAGGGTTTCCGTATGAACCTAATGTTATAAGGGCTCCAGAGAAGAAGGAAGCAAGTCTTCTTCTCATTGACATGATGCTGCTGTTACGGGGTTTTGCGGCAGTTACAGTAAGCTTAGAAGCAGATCAAGACCCAGACGAGCCCGTGAACCATTCCTGAGCTTCGTTCGCGTTTCGAAAAGTGTATCTGAGAGCTCGTGGCCTCGTCATTGCAAATACATGTTGTCTTCGTAGGGCGCGAAATGCAATCAGCCGCTCGCATGATGATAAGTTTACTATGGTTTTTGAACTGGGTACAAAGGCATAGCACCCCATGTGCCAGTTTGAGGACTTCTGAGGCAAGAAGCCGTACCATCATAAGTCTTCTACATGACAAGAGAGTTTCTGACCAGGAACCCACCCTCGGGTGTTTTCACATCAGGCGCTTCAGCTTTCACTGTTTAATCATGAGCCTAAATACCAAGCCAGTTCAGACTCTTAGACAGTTAAGGTGTACGAAAGGAAAGGTAAAGGTTAACCGCTGCCCCGCTGTCACAGCCTCATTCTTGCATCCGATCTGATACGCTCACGGCTCAACCGGTCAACTCCTAAAGACAGAGGTCATGTGGCAAAGGCACGCCAATTGATTAAGGCTTTTGCGCCTGCAATAATATTGTCCAGGTGGCGTGCGTGCTTGATTCCCTACCTGATTTACAAGGTGACGCCACCCACGCGCCATTTTCCTGGATTTGTTCCTTCAAATTTTCATATGTCGCTTGTTAAATTGAGTGAGAAGGAGTGAAGATATGCACGCCGCATGATGAGGTCAACTGAACGACAAGCTTAAAACAAACAAGAACACATGTGTAATGAACCTGCAAGGCCAAGGCAGGGGAAGAATGCACAGCTGCGTAACTTTCTTCACTCTCCAGACATGAAGTTGCATTATTCTGGGGCGCGCCCCAAGAATCTCAAAAAGGCGCGAGAGTCCTTTGTAAACTTGGTTTCTCGGGTAGTGAGAGCACGGCCAAGAAAATGAGCTGTCATGAGTACAGTAGAGTTACACAAGGTGAAGATGGACAAGCGTACGGGGTATCTTTACAAAAGGTAATGAATCAGAACCAAGTAAAATCGAGTCGAGCTAGAATCTGGAAAGGGCGATAGGGCATCTAAAGGGCCCCGGATTCCCGAAAAGGAACGTAGTGTTTCAAGCGCTTAGAAACCCCCGGAAGAGGAAGAGGTGGATCCCCAGGCGGTCCTTCGTGTGTCCCGCGCTAAATTCCTCACGTTCCACCCTGGCGCTGCGAGGATCAGTAAGCGGGCCATCAAGCTCCGGATTTGGCAAAGGGTCCAGAAGGAAGGGGCCCAATCATTGACTGAAGGTTCTTTGTGCTGTGGTTGCAGTTTACAAGTTTCATTGTTTTGAGCCAAGGCTTCGTGAAGGTCGCCTTTTGGCATTCTTTCGCCCCCTTGAGCTTCTTGACCGACATTGCTTCGAGTCCTCGTGAAGGAACGAAGATTCATGTTTCTCCGCCTCCTTTCGCATTTGAATTCGCAGTCGATATTCGCGGAGTGCGACATAACAACCAGAAGGCCTGGCCAGAAGATCCAAGAATAGTCCTCCCTTTTTTTGCAGGTGGTGCATTTTGAACGTGGCGTCAAGCACTCCACACTCCACACACTTGATTCGTTTAGACGGTGCAAGCCGCGCAGGCACTTGCTCTGTGCAGCCTCGATCTAATCTAAGCCGTGGCTCCGCATTAAGGAAGGACTGGATATGCATGACCCAAGGGATAGACCAGCGGAGGCACTTATTTGGGGCGTCGCGGTTTGAACTGAACTCCGGGCAAGCTTGACTCCAGAGCAGATTTGACACTTCCAAGCAGCGGCGAGGAGTCAAGGAGCCCAAATCGTCACTGCAAAAAAAAGAACACTGATAGCAGGCGAAGCCGGGGCGAAGCAAGAGTCTTCCCTCTGGCAGGGCACATCTTCCGCTGAAAAGTTGGAAAAGTTTCGGGAAATGCGGAGTTTGCAGCTCCACTGTTATGCAGCTGATCAGCGGATATGAGCTGAACACGGTGCTGTGAAAGAAGTGGAAGAAGCGCCCTGCGCAGCACTGTACAGCTGTTATGGTATGGGTTTCACTGGTGAAATTCGAGCTTTTAGAAGCAGCGTCTGGAACTCCCAGCCCAGAGTCTGTCTCTCGCTCTGAGAAGTATGTGGATGAAGCATTGTCTTGTTTCATTCTTTGAGGCAAGACTTGCGGTTTCAGAGAGTGTCAACGTGACGACGGTGTTTAAGCGGAAAAGTGATCGGTACGGAGACACCCAGCAAGACGAACCAGACGCAACCGGAACAAGGCCCGGGCCCATGGAAGAAATCAGGGCAGGTCGAAACAGGAACGCTTCAGGAACAGTGACCTACTGAATTCGCACACGTGATTGTTGGAGCCTACATAATGCCACGGCACAGTGAGAGAGGGGAAGAAGGCCACCGACATCACCGACGGCCACCTGCATCAAAAACATCACGCAGACATAGAGACGGTTACCGTGTGCAGATAGCAGCCATTGGCAGCTTTAGACAGAAGAAAGCGAAGTTCAAAGTTCCACATGTGTGCCGAGCGCAGAAAACTAAGTCGCATTGGCGACGCTGCTTGAAGTTTTCAAAGACCCGAGCCCACAAACACTACCTGACTACTTGCAATTGTGCCCTCACGCGATTCTGAATCCCCTTATCTCCACCCCTGGCCCGCAACGTCGCTTTCTCTGCTAGGGTTATCCGACAGCGGCGGTGCGTTGCAGGAACCGCTTGAAAGAGGTTCTTATACACTCGGTTCCTCTCGTGGCTCAGCTTAAGGGAGTGCAGGGATCTGGGCCGCACAGGGGGGGCTTCCCCTCCCCGCTTTTGGCCCTTTGCCCTCTGCTCCAGAGAGACGACCTCAGACTGGAGCATTGCGGTGATGTGCAGTGCCTGGTAGTCATGTTTTTACCCCACCTTTGCCTTAGCCAGCTTTCCACTGTTCGCTGTGAGGCCCATGGCACTCAAAAAGACGGTGCTCGACACCAAGTACATCCGGGAGCCTGCTTCTCAGTATTCGGGACTTCTAATTAAGTTCTGCTTCCAGCAATCGAGCGACATGTCAGGTTTGATGTCGGGCAATGGACGTATGGTTTCATCTCGGTCCATTCCCGCCGAAGTTGCTGCACTTTTGGACAGTTCACATGTGGGTAAGCTCAATGTGCCGGATGTTGCAGAGTGGTGTAGCTTTTGCTGGCTCCAGCGCAGCACACTTTTCCACTTCCTGAGTGCTGTGCCAGGGCCGTTCCATTTGCTTGAAGATACATGGAAGCCATTCGGGACTGATCATGCATTCGAAGGACATAGGAGGCATATTTAAGAGGACAAGAGGCCACTTTGCACTGAAATGTTGCAGGAACACATGAAATAACCCAGACGTGTTGAAAAGCTCTGCTTGTTCTGATACACTCTCTGTGGGCTCTCTGGACTCTGTGGGACTGTGCCAAGTCTTTGACGTCCTGACCCTAGTATTCTTGAGGATGGTTTCAGTGATTTCAGACTATTCCAGGTGTCCTGCATGTACATTCCTGTCCGTGAGGCCATGGCGGTGACCACCTTCGATGGACAGTTCAGCTTCAAGCAGGACAGAAGAAAAGATGGGGACAATGCGGACATTCCCAGCACAGCTTCGTCATCGACCTGTGGAGGGCAGTGTGCTTTGCGCGCTTCGCGCCTGCCGGGGCTTCAAACTGGCAATCTTTTGTCCGACTTTTGCCATCCACAGGACTCCCTCGCGCGGCTCGGTCGGCGAGAGACGCAGAAGATGAATGCGGACCAATATGCGCCACTGGCTCAGGGTACTGCTTCTGCTTTGCTTGTACGTAGCCTTAGCCTTTGCGTATATCTTGGATTGTCTGTGCATGACAACATGGGAAAGTAAGCCGCCGACGTGTTACAACGCAGACACACACACAATATGCTTTCTTCGCTATCCAGGGCCTTCCAGAACAGCCCCTTCATGCAAGGAGTTCGCAAGACTGAGGCCATGGTAATTCGCTCGCCTTGTCAGATCTCGCCTGGCATTTTCTTTGTGCAGGATCTTTGCTGGACCTTCACGTGTGACCGAGATGAGAAGCGCAAGAAGACCGACCCGTCCTTCAAGCCTGTGGACTGCGGGCTTCGACATGATTTCTCAAAAAATATCAAAAAATGCGCGTCTGTCCTTGGCAGGGGTGTCTTTGACTTCTCCGCACTGTCAGGACGAGGACTTCTCGGCTCCTAAGGCTCATGAGTTCGATCGATGTGCCTCGGAACTCTTTGGAGCTTTCCCATGCTTTCCCTGTGAATATGTGTATTGACATGATGTATACATCGCACGTGACATGTCCCCAGAAGTCTGGAACTGAGGCATCAACTACTACAAGGTCTCGGGCTACTCGTGTTCGCTTCTGCTTTGTCTCATGGGGGCATTCCAGCTCACATCTTTGCGCAGAGCAGCGCAGCATGTGCAGGTGCTGGGCATCGACGAGTACTCGACCCTGGAGGAGGTCAAGAAGGCTCTTTGGTCGCGGCAATCTCTGAAATTGAGCATGTTCCATTTCCCGCTGATACCAGGCCTACAAGAAACTTTCCTTAGTGTACCATCCGGACAAGACCTCCGGCCTAAGCACCGATCAGAAAGAGGAGTGCCCCGAATCTCGGTATCATACGACAAGACGATGCCATCACAACATGGGTTTTGCTGTTGCCCTCCTTCTGCGAGGTACGCTGCCATCTTCATCGAGCTGAAGAACGCGTACCTAACACTCGGAGATAATCCCACTCGCCGCCAGCCGCGGCCTTAAACCTCCCCAGTGCGCAGATGTGCACAGTTGCCGCGTGGCTTGCCAGGGTCTTGCTAGTCGGCCCATCCGAAGGTATGATCGGGAACGTGATAGGGACAAGGCATCCTACGAGGCAGAGCTACCAATGTTTGAGATCGTTTAGGAATGCTCACTGATATGGTTGTAGGTCAACGGCTTCAAGCCCAAGACCCGCGCGCAGTTTGATGCAAGTGAAGTCCTGAAGAAGCTGCAGGAGACTGCTGCAGAGGGCAGCCATGCAACAGACCTTGTTAAACTCTTTGGTGGTTAGCGGCAGGTTTCTGACTATGTCTTGCTCTGCAGGAGATGCAAAAGCCTCCGGGAAAGCACATTGATGTGCCACTGGCCGTGAAATTGGAGAAGCCTGCATCTCAGATAATGGTTCGGAGTCCCAAGACAGCCAATCCACAGTCCTTCTTTGTTCTGCTCGACTTGAGTATTCAGCTTGATGCAGGTTCTTCTACGGGGGGCACAAGGGCATAAGGCGAAACAGGCGTGTGAAGGCCGGACGGCGCGCATGCTCATAGATTCTGCTGATGGCGTCTAGCCTTGCGTGCAGGACTTTGGAAGCTTCAAGGACGAGATCCGCGTCTACCGTGTCGGAGTCTTGTGACTGGAAGACGGCAATTTCGTGAAGGAAGCCGTCACATGTCGTCACATGTCGTCACATGTCGTCACATGTCGTCACATTGCAACAGGTCGACATCCCGAGAGGTGCTGCGGAACCTCACGATGTCACCTTCCGATCTGGCGGTGACCATCACGAGGACACTGTCACCCACCGTCATGGATCGGCAGAACCGGGGTCAGAGGTGTTAGAGCGACAGTTTCGTCAGGACACTCGACCGGACACGCTGTGTTTCAAGATGTCGTACCCTGCAAAGCTGTCATTGCGGAAGCCGGGAAGTCGTTTGAGTCCTTGTTTGGATGTTTGTGCACCGAGGTCAAAGCCCCACGCGGTCGTCGAGCGTCAGGGTCAGGACTGACTATCAGAAACATGTGCCACAAGCCTCCTTGTCACGCGTGTGTGTGTGTGTGTGTGTGTGTGTGTGTGTGTGTGTGTGTGTGTGTGTGTGTGTGTGTGTGTGTGTGTGTGTGTGTGTGTGTGTGTGTGTGTGTGTGTGTGTGTGTGAGTGTGGGGGGGTGTGTGTGTGTGTGTGTGTGTGTGTGTGTGTGTGTGGTGTGTGTGTGTGTGTGTGTGTGTGTGTGTGTGTGTGTGTGGTGTGTGTGTGTGTGTGTGTGTGTGTGTGTGTGGTGTGTGTGTGTGTGTGTGGTGTGTGTGTGCGTTGTGCGTGGGCGGTGGGCGTGGGCGTGGGCGTGGGTGCGCGTGCGCGTGCGCGTGCGCGTGCGCGTGCGCGTGCGCGTGCGCGTGCGCGTGCGCGCGCGCGTGCGTGCGTGCGTGCAAGCAGTGCAACTGGAGAGTTGGTGAAGGCCAAGTAATCTCTTGAGACGATGCAACGAAACGAGCTTTCCGAGTCTAAGGAGTTCAGGGGTTCGGGAGTTTATGCCTTCATCATGCGTGGGTTGTGCGAGCACGAGTTTCTGGCTCAGAGCTGTGTGGCCGGGCCCCTTCGGTTGTTGTTGGGGGCTCTTGCTTCGGTGGGGCGGAAGGTGCTGGAGGCGATGGTGCTTCGCTCTTCTTCGCTCTCTCCCTTGGACGTGTGCTCCGTCTGCCCAGTTGAAACCGGTTGTACCGGCTTCTCAACGTCGGTTGCATCCTGAAAGTTTGCCGCTCGGAGCGTCAGGGTGCCTCTACGGCCCTCGGATAGATTTGGTCTACTTGGGGTTTGGAGGGCGATGCATGAGTCGCAGGCTTCCTCGGCACCATCACGATGCCTTTTTTGGGTTTATTGACGGGGGAGAGGACGGGAGCACACGATCCATTTTTGGTTCCTAGCAGGAGAAAAGAAGGCAGGCAAGAAGGGAGGCAATGCCGGGAGCGGGTATTCCGATCCACTTTCGTGGTTTCAGAAGGGAGACGTGGATGAGCTCAGGTCACTTGTGTTCGCCCTCCCGAGACGCAATGACATAGGATGCATCATCCCTCTCCAGCAGTTCCGGCTTGCAAAGGCTTCGGTCGGTCCTGCCTGTCCGTCGCGTCTTTCTTGCTGAAAAAGCTCCGCCGACCTGCCCTTACTCAGCCTCACTCCACCACTCCTTCTTTGAGAAAGGTCGGAATCTTGCAGTGCTTTGCTGTCGCGCTTGCTTTCTTCTTGCTGACTGTCTTCTCTGCCCAGGGACCACCAGCAACCGAGCCGGAAGTCTGCCATCATTGTTTCGAAGCCTCACAGTGTGCGGTGTGCTGGTTGGGGCAAGACACGTTTTGTTGGAAAAGTATTGACTAAGTGCGCTTTTCTCGATCTATAAGTTTCACAAGATTTCAGAAAATACAAGTCTAGAGATGCAGCGTATAGGGAAGTCGAGTGTTGTCGTTTACAGCGGACGCAGGTTGCAACAATCGTTTCACACTCCAGGACTTGGTGCTGCGATCTAGAGTTGGGCTTGGTCTCAACGTGCCAGCCTCGCATTGGTAGAGTCATGCGGAAGCGAGCCTATCTTGAACCGAGGCGAAACATGATCCCGTGTTTCACGTGGAGGCTCCGTGCGCGGACGTGCGACAATGTTGAGCTGTTTCTTTTGCGACCTTGCAGACGCCGAGCGTGGCTGGTCGCCATGTTTTGGTTTGGGGGAAGAATCCGCCGGCACCCAAGTGATAAGCTGTTTGGCTGTTTGCAAACTTGCTTCGAGATGTTGATAGGTCCTTTGCTTTAAGCATTGGCTTGAGCGCCATCTGAGCCCCCGGCACTCGTGGAACAGCTGCATGTTGTCATGACAGCCTCAATTGAGTGCAGTGTCTGGCCTTGACTGATAGTCGTGTGTTGGTGCTTGGAGGCTGTGACATGGTTTTTATATCTGGGAGGGGGGACACCTGGATACTAACCGCTTCCCAGCCACCAACAACATCTTCCAGGGGTTTCCAGAAGCGTCTGAAGTTTCTTCTGAAGAAAACAAAATAAGTATGAGGGCGAGGCAGCGGAGAACGGGGTGAGTGCAAGATGCAAGGGTGCACCGTGCGCACCGCTATATGGAGCATGCTTGCACGCTTCATGCTCGTACACCTGGTTCCGTGCACGTTCGCTTGCTTGCTTGCACGCTCAAGCTTGCTTCTGCACGCACACATGGAGCCCATGAGCCACACATGCGCGGCCAGCACTAGAGTCAATCATTGTACACCGTGTTTTCTGATGATGGGCAGGGGCGGGTCACTGTGAAGTGTGTCCTTCTTCGCATGCAATGATTGCAAGTAGCACCGCCGCGATTTTCAAGTTGACGAGGGCACTGAATCCGGGAATGCCCGCAGGTTCTACAACGATACGCCGTCTGGTCAAGGTGATCTGCGAGTACAGGCAAGACCCTCGGCAACGCTGGGCCGCACCGTGTCAAGCTACCATGCTCATCCAATGAGGTCAAGGGAGAGGGCCTTACAGCAAGCGGCTCCTTGCACTTCGTGTGCCCTCTTCGACATCAGACTGCTTCCAAGCCTTCAGGTATGCTTTGTGCAATTTCAGCTGGCGCTTCAGGTGCCGGGCTGGCATTGCGAACAGCCCTTCTTCCAACGGATACGCCCCAGCCAGGATACGAAATCTGGACTGCCATCATAGGAGCGGCATGTCTGACGACCATGTTTGAGGAGCTCCACTAGGCCAACGGTCGCAGGGGATCAGGCCCCTCTGCATTTGGTTTCGTGTGGTGATCCTTATACATGCCACGCGTCTGAGCCAGGTCCTTGTGACTGTGAAGAACATGCAAACTGATGGCAAGCTCTTCCTTCGAGTGAGCAAGACATCTACGATTGGGGAGGTGTCTTGCCTTAGTTCTCAGGTAAGCTGCTTGGCTTCTTGGATTTTCTCTGCCTTTCTGTGTCTTTTTCGTGTGCTTTCCGAGATCCGCAGCAAGATGATGGATGTCTTGGGATTGCCCCGCAGCGCGCTTGCGGCCGAGTCCTGCACTTGTGGTCAGCTGATCAATGTTCGTGAGTTGGGAAGGGAGCTTTTTGGATTTGTTGGGTTGGCAGGACTGTGAGGATGTTGCAGCACTTCTCTGGCGGGTGTGCCGTGCTTCATTGAAACTTGGCGCTGCCACCACGAGTCGGCACTAACGGTCTGGCTATTGTGACATGCAGGTACACGCCATTTTCTGAGAGGCAGCAGCTGGGTTCCTTGCGTACGCTCAACTGTGCAGGCACCGTGGGGGACTCAGAGCACCCTCAGACTTCAGACATCAGGAGGTTTAATCAAATTTGGTCAGGTTTGCGGAGTTGTGCTAGCAGAGACTCGTGTGAGGCCTGGAGTGCGCCAGAACTAACTGCCGCTCGCTCCAAGCAATTCCTTCAGGACTCTTGTGCTTTCCGTGCTCGGCAGAAGGATCAAAATCTGAAAGTCTGAAAGCAAACCTCAGCTTCTGCCGCTGCCCTCGCGCCCTCGGCTCGTAAATCCCAGTACCAGAATGCCGCGATGCTTTTGCAGCTCAGTGCTACGCCCAAGGGGGCCTCAGGAGTGGTGCTGGCACAAGCTCGCGCGCAGCAGGTTGCGGCATGCTTTGCCGGGAGCAGGTTATGGAGGGCATTTTTGTGGCCATGCAGATCTCGCACTACTTGTTGCCCCCACATGCCTCCGCAACCCTACACCCTACACCCTTTGAGCAGGTTTAACAGCTTGTTCTGTCAGTGTGGATGACTACCGCATTCCGAGAAGGTAGTAGTAGGAGGCTCTCAAATCTGGAAACGCGTCCGGCAGTCGCCATCAGTCGCACACGAAACCGAAGGAAGCCCAGTGTTCGACACAAGGGACCACCATGGCCTGTGTTCTTTTTCGGCCGGTTCACCATCTGGCTGGCAGAGTAGTTCTACTCCACTTGTCTGTTTGCTTGTGCATGCCCGGCGGTGGTTTCCAAACAAGCCTTGCTGGGTTCAGTCTGACTCACATGTCCGCAGTGGACTGAATCCGTCCTCGTGGAAGGATGTGGTTGCCACAAGCGAAAATAAGTCTTTTCAGGCTCCGGCCTCAGTGATTCTGGTCACGCCGTGGTCACGAAGTTTGACACCCAGCAATTTCTAGTTTTCCAGGCCAAGCTGGCGGCAGCCTTGACCTCAGACGATGCGCTCCGAGATGTGTCTGGGGCTACAGGTACTGCGTGTCGCTGTCAAAGAGTCTTAGACTCCGCCCATGTCTGAAGGACCTGGTCTTTGAAAGAGAAACTTTGACAGGTACAGTTAGTGAGCATGCTTCAGAAAAGTGGAGTGATCTATGGTTGTGACCCATGTTTCGGCAAGGTCGAGAAGACCTCGCCTGGCTCCGAGGCCTACTTTCAGAGCTGCGTGGGCAGGAATATCCCAGTCGGAGACGCGATATGAGATATGCCAGTCGGAGACGCGGGTGGCATGTGCTTCCCGCAGATGACAGGTCTGGGCCGCTTTGAGCGATGTACTCCCCGAGCTCCGACCTGAATGTGGGTGTGTCACAAGGGTTCAAAGGGCTCATCTTTCCCAGCATGGCTCTGACCTGAGGTACGGGTTCGAGCCGACTGCAAGCAACACAAAGGATTCCGTCAAGTCTGGGTGCTTGTGTGCCAGAGCTAGAACTCAGCCGTGGCCATACTCAGCCGCGGATCAGTGGCACACTCCAGGAGAAGGTGAGCCTGGCCCTGCAACAGGCTCTTCTATGGATTCCTATGCACGGGCACTCGTGCGGATTTTCCCCCCCGCCCCCGCCCCAGGTGCAAGCAACGCCGGGCTTGGAGGGACTAGTCGAGAAAGTGAAGGCTCTGCCTGGCCCTTACAGTAGCTGCATCTGGAGTTTAGAAAACTTTTCGGAGAATGGCAGCACATGGCAGCGCATGGCCCAGGCCGAGTCTGCGCTCGTCTGCTTCAAAGGCAGGCTTTTGACCTCTCCAAGCCTGACTACTGCAGTGTGCCGACTTTCAAGGCTTCAAGGTTCTTCAAGGTTCTTCAAGGTTGTTGAAGGTTTCTATGGCTTCTTCAGTGCTTCTTCGCCAGACGTCACGAAGCGAGTTTCGAAGCTCATATGGAAAACCTCTGTCGCAGCATCTGCCGCAGCATTTTTGTGCTCCTTCGGGCCCGGTTGGCAGTTTGTTGCGTGTTGCGCTCTGGTTCGAGGACACGGAGGGGAAGTCGAGGGTGGGATCGCAGTCGAGGGTGGGATCGCAGACATGTCTGTATGTCGGCGTTGGATTCGTCCCACGCATGGTGAAACGCTGCAGGAAGCTCAGGCGCGGAAACAACGTGACATGGAAGTCATCACCTTCGATGGCTTGAACAGCCAAGCCATGAGTGACATATTGGTGAAAGTGGCAAAGTCTCGCGGCCTTTGATGAGTTCTCGCCTTCAAGGGATTCTGTCTTCGGCTCCCGAGAATGTGTCACTAGAATAGACCCCTGAGATTCGTGCAGAGTTCTACTAGTAAGGCTGGAAGATCCTGGCTCTGCCACGTCGTCGCTCTTCGTCTGCGTCAGCGGATCCTGCAAGCACGTTGCGAAGGAGGACCGGGATACTTGTTTCCGATGACCCCTTCCCATGATGGACTCGCGTGCATGTGCACACCCCCACCCACCACAGTTATGGAGAGAACGCATGCCAGCACACTTGTACTTGTTCCGGCACAGAGAGTAGAGGAAGTAGAGGTGAAGGCGAAGCATTGATGAAGTCGCGGAGAATGAGTGAAGTGTTATTGTTGTGGGTGTTGTTTAGGCATTGGGTTTGTGATCGAGAGAGGTTGTGTTGAAAGGGTGATGAGGGTGAGATGAAGATTTTGAAAGAAAAATGAGACCAGCTCATTGAGATTGAGGGATTGAGGTAAGACCTTGGGGAGCTTCGTTGAGCACAGCCCCCCCCCCACACCCCGCTTCCAAAACGACCACAGCTTCGCTGTATGTTGGTTCTTTCTGCTCACACACCGCATGCAGAGTGGCTTCCTACACACACCCACTGCACGACTGAGGGGTCAGGGCCGCTGCATATCTACACTGTTGTGGTTTGCTTTTGCTTTCCGCTTTGTGTTATCAAGTGGCCACAAGAGCCTGACTAAGGTGTTCCTGCTTCTAGGAAGCAAAAGTTCTGCAAACTCGTTGGCAGGTCACGACCCATAACGAAGTGCACACAGCAGAAAACAATGAAAGAAAAAGAGCAGTCAGAAGAATCAAGAGCTGATGCCCAGTCCATGGGAATGATTCCTGGAATACCGCAGGTACCAAAAGCAAGCTTCCAATCTGGAGCTTCGTTGGCCCACGCCAGAAAGCAATCCCGTGGGCCCCCTGCCCGACAACAGATCGAATGCACATACTAGATAGCACCATGTTCAGGTGTTTTACACACACACACACAACCAAGCACGAAACCGGTCAGAAGCATCCGAAAGGCCATCACATATCAGTTGTTCGATCTCATTCATCACCTGCCTTTCAGGACGCGGAAGATTTTGTGATCACCTTGCAATCCTTGCTTCAGCCTGTGATCGGCGTTGCCATGGGCAGACTGGACACAAGGGCGATTTACATCGTCTCAGCTTGTGATTACATCTACTCAGATGGAGTTTCACATGTACCAGCTAATGCCGTGTTCAATCAAGCGGAGTTGAACCTGGCATGCGTAGCCACAGCGGAGACGATTGATTCCCGGCAATGCTCATCCACAAGACACAGCACTGGTGGATGTGCGGAATTCTGCGACCGGAGCGCCAAGCTAAGGACAGTATGACGCCATTGCAGCGGGATATGCTTAAGTACAGCATGTTGCAAGCAAAGGCCGAGGCTGGGACAGTGCACGGTGCTTGTAAAAGGCAGGCTTCTCTAGGCGCTTCTTGACGACATGCCAACTGCCGCGGTACGCACAAACCTTGTGCGAGTGACAAGCTTGAAAATATGCGTGGACAGAGGGCGAAGCACCTCACAAAGAGCGCAGCGACGCAAAGCGCTGTGCCCGGCGCTCACTGCACCCAGATTTCCGAAGCATACATGACGGGTTGTCTAGTCGGAAAGCTCGCAATGCTCTTGCCTGGCCCAGGCAAAGAATACTTACAGCCGGTCTGGAAGCATGGGACGCTGGATGAAATTAGAATCTACTGTGCATTCACAGGCTGTCCGAATGTCACGCGGTTTGAGGGCACCTTCGCAGGATCATCCTCCTGCTCAACAGCAGCCCCCGATCATTGTGATCTGTGCTGCTGTCTGCGTTGCGTCTGCGCTGTTTCTGGTATAGAGTCTTGCTTGTGAGAGTTTGTAATGTCACCTGTGCCAGGGAGCCTCCTTCGGATGATGAGGATGTGACAGTTGCTGTAGTTCCGCCGCGGAGGGTAGCATTTGCAGACGAAGTTGAAATCATACCAATCGTCGCAGATCCATTTCAGTGATCGCATCATGCACATGTACGACCAATGTAGGTTGCTGGTTTCACTGACGACGGACGCTCAGACTTTTTCTTCTCATCCATTGGCCTTGAGACCTTGAGACATCCAGTAGCCACATTGGCCTGCTCCTTTTCCGATGGCCAGCCCTCATGTTTTCAAAGTTCTTTTTCTTGTGGTCTTTTCAAAGGTCGATGGTTGAAGATTGCACAGGTAATCGTCTAAGTCTAAAGTCTTTACATCTCCACACGGCATTCAAGCCGAGAGGAATTCAAGCTTCAGTGCATAGGCCGTCTGATAGCACGGGTCAGATTTGCACCTGCATGCTTGTGGTTCGGTTGCGCCTTTGAGATGGCTTGCTTGGAATTGCTTGACCATTTCGCGCAACAATGTTTTCTTGATTTCCTGGATGCCGTTCCCACCTTCTCTGGGTTCTTTTGATGACGACCACGCGTTTCGCGCTCAAAAAAGAGTCTTTTTTTCTGCACGACCGTTGGCGTCTAGTGCCGTGACGTCTTGTTGTTCTTACGGTTACGTGTGGCTGTTGTCATGGTGGTGGCACTGGCGAAGCTGAAAACCCAACAGAATCCTGAGATCTGCTGGAGACTAAACGGTAGTTTGGACATCCTAAGTGGTCAAACCGACAAATCTGTCTTGCACAGGGCCTTGCCAAGAACGGCCTGAATGGTCATGCCCATCGAGGACGGGCCCTTCTGCCAGCTCTCAATGTCCAGGTAGCCGCTTTTGGATGCCTCGCAGGAGGCACTAATGGGAAAGCTGTGGCTGGCAGGCTGGATGTGAGTTGCCTTGGCAAGTGCCTGCAAGGGTTCCTTTGTGAGGAGTGCGCGTGACTTCTTGCACATGCACGGCCTGGGGCCACCCGGCCCGAAAGCGTAAAGAAGTATGAAATGAGAGATTCGCTACATTTGGGTCGCCCATGCGACGCCAAGGCCTGCCGAGGGCTGGCGCCGGCCCTTGCCCAGCTCGCCCGGGTCGCCGCGGCCTTACAAGAGCCCTACAGGGCCTTTTCGACAGTGTCTGGTTCGGGGGAATCGCGAGGAAGCATGGCCATGGTGGCCTGTGTGACGCACCTGCCATGATGAGTGTGCACCTTAGCCACCGACGAGACGCAGACACGACGCGCGCGCGCGCGCGCGCGATGTCCACACAAATGTCCACACGATAGCCGTGATAGCCATGACGACGTTTGCACGATGAGTTCAATGTGCATACTCCCAGGACGCCTTGCTCGGCGGGAGCAGGGAGATCGGACCTGCCAGGCAGGGCGAACGGCCGAGCCGCACGTGAGAACAAGAGGCACTTTGAAAACCTACGCAGCGACCAGGTCGTGCTTGAACCGATCAGCGAGCCCATGGTCCTCTTCACAAAGCCCACGTGTACGGTGACTTTCTACACCAACCTTGGGCAAGCCAGGTATGACTGGTCGGGCAATGCATTGCTTCTGGTTGCCTAGTGTCCCTCGGCTGTGGAGGTCTGGGCATGGGTCGAGCCTGCCTGCCCTGCCCACATTCGCCATCTCAATTTCCTCCCCTCCATGCAGGATACTCAGATTTCAGCAGATCTGTGGAGTGTTTTTGAGGTGGCTCGAGTGCGACCCCGATGTCTAGTTACTGCTAGATTTCCAGACGCCCGCAACAGGAACTTAACGAAGGAATGTGTGTCTTCAGAGAGAAAACTTGCGGCTCGACAGGCGCGCTGGACCTGGTCTGGGAGGGCCAATTTTTTTGGTGTTTTTTTAAAATGTTTTTTTAATTCTTTTTTGGTATTTGTTTTTTTCGTGGTTCCCTGGTTCCCTGGTCCCCTGGTCCCCTGGTCTGCTGGTCTCCCGGTCTGCTGGTCTCCCGAGCATATGAACGATTGAAGCCCATGATGAGAGCATTGTGCTTGCAAACCCCCCCAACCCCCCCCCGCCTTTTTTGGCCGTTAAAGCTTGTTTCAAAGCATATGAATCAACGAATAAAGTCATCATGCGAGCATTGTGCCCCCCAACCCCCCCGCTTCTTTAAGCCGTGCAAGCTTTTCTCAAAGCATATGAAGGATTGAAACCCATCATTCCACGTTTTTCTAAGCATATGAACGATCGAAACCCATGCCGCAAGCATTGTGTTTGCAAATGGGGAGGGGGCCTGCGCCCCCCCTAACCCCCCCGCTTCTTTAAGCCGTGTTCTCCGCCCGCTGGAAAGGGGGCATGCTTGGCACAGAGATGCACAGAGCACAACAGCTCAGGTGCGAAAAAGAAGGCCCAGTCTGAATGGCACCTTTTGAAGGAGAGCTTGCGCCTTGCCCTGCTTTTCCTTGCCTTGGCTGATAGTGGACTGGCGAGGACAGCTTGGTCCCCTTGCTCAAGATGACGGCTTTCCACATGTTCAAGGCCGCATGGGTGTAGCAGACAAAGACCAAGACATTCTTCTGTTCTGGGCATACAGGCATGTCGGAAGATCTGGCCAGGATCTTACGTCCAAGCCTCTCCCGAGGATTTGGTGGGTTCACGGCATTTAAGTGACCGACAGCGGAGCTAGGTACCCTAGCATGATATAGAATTTGATATACGTGACGAGAGGAGCCATCGCAACTTTGGTCTCCGCACGACCTCAGAACCGAGGCCGCGAGCCTTGGCCAATGTCCCAATGTCCCCGATCGACGGCACGCCGGCTGAAGCCACGCGAGCTATGCCATGGAAGCGCCTCGGCGATGAGGCCGGCCATATTGAGAAGTGATCACCGATCGCCGGAATCGCATTGAGTAGCTTTGTGTGCTGAAGGCCTTCAAGCGTGGTGATTTCTACATGGGAGCAAATTTTTACACCAGGCCTTCTGATGCCATATTTTGCAGTTCCTTTGGACAGAGACCGGGTCGAGCAGAGGTGCTTGGAGGACAGACGAGAACTGGATGACTGCAAAGCCGAAGCGGCAGCCCTCTCCTCAAGTCAGCCTCGTGTGAGTGTCGGAGCTCAACCTTGCGTGATGATGTCTACATTTATATATATATATATATATATTTATTTATTTATTTACACAGATATTCATTCTTGCATGCTCATTTTTGTTCTACCATATCACATCATACCATGTCATATTCCTAGATATAGTATCATACACCGTGCATCACATCATATGCCTTGTGTATCTTGCATCGTATATCATTCCATGCACATAAAGAAAGTGTATACATACTAAGTCAATATGTGATATCTGTCTGTATATGCATGACTGATCTATGTCTGATATATATATATATACATATGTGTATGTGCGTGTGTGTGTCTGATGCATGATGCGTGCACTCTCGAGGTGCTGTCGAATCGAGCTGCGTGCTTGGCCAAGGCTGGGAGACGTAAGAGATGAGAGCAGATGCCAAGACATGCCAACTGGGCGCAGGTCGGCCATTTTCAGGCATCCAAAGAAGATGCCCAACTCGCACTCGAGCTGTACCCCAATTGGGGCAGGCGAGATATGACGTGGCTCTGCATTCTCCCTGAACAGCTTCCTGTACCATCATCTAACTAAGAGATGTCTGCTTTTGCGTCCTGCACCTTGAGGGCCTGGAGCAGAATTGGGCTCGCCAATCTTAAGATCGGTCAGGTCCACCGTTCCACCCTGCAGTCTTGGCGCAATCTAGATCTGTCGAAATCTCTTTCCGTTGCCACAGGGAAAAGAGGCCCTCGACGCCTATCGCAAGGCAGTCGCATATGATCCATCCAGCGAACGCCTGAGTTTCATGGAGAATCACAGCTCTTCAGAAAGGGTGTCTGCCAGTGCTTTTCCCCCTTCCCAATTTGGCGCAAGAGAACGGCCCTCCCTGTCAAGTTCTTTTCCAACCAACGCAGCTTTCCAACTACTTACCGGTGAGGCAAAAATTGTCCCCTTCGGAACAATCTCCGAATACACTCGCTTTCATAAACCGCATGTACATCTTCCGAGCTGGAAGGTGCAGGAAGCCGGTTAATGGTTGGAGTCGGAGACGGTCTGAGAGGGCCACAATGCTCCGTGAGGTTCCAACATCGATGCCTTGGCTTCCGTCGCCCATCAGGCTCCGCTTTGCCACATCCCTTTTGTCTGCTTTAGGTGTGCGTTGCGTGCTCCTCGTTGTTGTCTGCTGTTTTGTTCCAAGTTGCACTCGGCGGACACGGATCTGGCACACAAAGAGAAGGAGGAGGGCAACGTGGTCCTTGCCTCTGCTGGACTTTCGTAGCTCATTCGGCTTGTCGTGGAGGTGTCTTCGTGTTTAGTGGTGTTTCTGGAGGATGCCGGGGGTGGGAGATCAGGCAGATAGGAACGACATGATATAACTTGCAGGTGTTGCTATAACGTGGCAATCCTTGCTGGTGAATGAAGTCCGGTGAGTTCTTATCAGCCTCTTTCAACCTTTTCACATCCCACAACTGGATCAAATGGCCTGAAGTATGTTTTGAAACCCACGAATCTTTTGTTGTGAATGCTCTTCTGCATGCAGTGATGGCGGCAATATATTATGTCGAAATCTCCCTGATTTTTCGAGTTGCATGACGCAGTCGAGATCAAAACTCGATTAAGCCTTGTGAAACCCATCCCCTGTTGAACCGTTTAATCTGGTGAAACCCTACGAAATGCCTGAGTATGAGTTACTTCCTTCTGGAGCCCCATGTCGACTTCATGCTTCAGCATGCTATGACATCAAGCAAAGAATGTGTTACGTTGGAAGAAAATTCCTAAACATAGGTGTATGCAGGAACACAACAAAGCAACGACAAAACGTCTACTTCTGAAAGAGATAAAGATTATTCAGAGGTTTCAATTCACAAAGACAACATGACCCCCCCAACCAAGCCACCCTTACTTCACGCAATTAAGCAAACTTTTGACTATGCCTGATGCTGTGATGATTGTGGTGGCTTTGCTGCACGGTTCTGTGCTGATACGTCATGACCTAGTTTGGCTCAGGCGATGCGCGGGAATGAGTTCGGCTTGGCCGTGGCACATTACACCGCAGGCCTCGCTATGGTCCCTGCGGAGGTGCGCTGCTTGCAGGGTGTCTGTGTGCCGATATTTGTATGACTGGTATGAGCCTGGGGCGAAGGTGAAGGCATCAGTTCCTGACGGCGTGCCGCCTGAGGATGAGCACGCCCTGCTGCGGCCGGCACCTCGGAGACTCGATCTTCTCCTCTACGGTGCTATAGCCACGGGCGGGGGGGCGTCTTCCTCACAGAGAGTGCCCTACCCTGTAGTTTTTGGACCTTGTCGTTTTTGGACATTGTGAGGGGGAAAAGCATCCAGGAAGGAAGTGAGGAAGGGGCAGCAAGGGGAAGGGAGGCAAAGCAAGGAGAAGGAAGGGGAAGGCAGGGGAAGGGGGAGGAAGGGGGAGGAAGGGGAAGGGAAGGGGAAGGGAAGGGGAAGGGCAGGGGAAGGGAAGGGGAACGAAAGGGGAAGGAAAGGGCAGGAAGGGGTCATGGAAGGGGCTATGGAAGAGGGACATGGAAGGGGCTATGGAAGGGGGAGTCTGTTGTTGAAAGTCACGGAAGCTGAGGCCCCCCAAGACCGACTCACTCCCTCCCCCACCCCGCCAAAACAACAAACCAGCAGCTGAGCGACAAGCTCATCTCCACCCTCACGTCCACCAGGTCAGTTCTTTTTTCCAATCGAGCGTCGGCGTTCAGTACGTGCCTCAGCCAGTCAGGGCCAAGAGATGTATGATTCTCCGTAGATGTTGTGGACTCCGTGTGTTTCGAAACATGCGACCCTTCCGTAACGAGGCCAGCTCAAGAACTGGCGTCAGGCATCGGATGATGCCCAGTCCGGCACACAGAATACGAGCAAGAAGCCGCGCAAAGCTGTGCCGATTCGTGCTGTTCTCAACGCTGTGTTTTTGCGCGAGATTCGAGACTTTCTCGAGGAGTGCTGTCGAGAAAAAGGATGACTTCGTGAAGGCTCTTCTGTGCTACAAGCAGTATCGAGAAGTGCTTCGCGCTGCTATGCAGTGCTCTTCATCCCTTTTACGCGAGGCACGAACGCGCTTTGGGACGGCCCTCCTGGCGTGTGGCCACGTGGAGAAGGCCTGCCCTCTTTCCATGTCGCTCTACCTATTCTGATCACATGCGCTTGCATCTGCTGGAATCCGCTCGAAAGTAACGAGCAAGGTACAGCAGGCCCTAGTAGGCAAAACATGGCACAACTGTTTTCAGCTGAAGAGCGGAGGCCTATGTACAGTTTGCCCACGCCTTGAAGCTGGAGTCCAACAATGTCGCGGCGCTGAAGGGCCGTCAGGCAGGTGAGTCTCGAACTCCGGCGCTTTGACGCCGCACTCTGCACCGAATTTCGCTCTGAATGCAGCGCTTGGAAAAACGTGCTTTCAGAAATGTGGCGAATGCGCTTCAATGATTCCCATGGCAAGGCGTGTATCAGCCTCTTGCCCCTCTGGCGTACCGTGCCAGCCAGACAGCGCTTCCGTCGGCGGCCTTGTCCAGCCGGTGTTGGAATGCTGTGGAGCACAGAAGAAGGAGCCCTTTGATCTTTTTATCGACCTGTTGGATGAGTCAGCAGTTAGGTGTTTCGTGGTAACCTATCCATAGGGTCACCGCGCCCGTTTTGGGCTAGCTGTCTTTGTCTGATTCCACGTGACTTCTTCTCCCTCTACCGGTCCTCTGCTGCATCTCTCCATATCTCTCCCGGCTTTCTCTCTCTGCCTCTCTGCCTCTCTGCCTCTCTGCCAAGGTGAGCGATTCGGAGTCGACCTTTGGCGTCCAAAGGGTACCACGAAGGTGACTCTACTGCATGATGGCAAAATGAAGTTTGTTCACTGAATTTCACTGACATTGGTGCATCTCGCGAGGGGCATCTCCCATTTTCTCCTTCTTGCATCTGTATGTCCTAGCTATCCAGCTGACTGCAGCATTGACTCTCCTGCCATCGCATTATTCTCGCGGAACACGTCGGACGTTGTTGGACGCACCCTGAAACTTGGCCTTAAAACCTTCCGCGCTTGCCTTCGCCGCCGCCTGCCACGAATTCACAAGGAGTGATTCTTGAAACCCCTCACTCATGTGGTTGGGGATTGGGGCAAGACCTACTGTTCTGGGGTTCTATGCCCGTTTCCGAGGGTAGCCGCAAGCCAGTGCAGACTCGTGGCCTCCAGACACCCCCAGCCGTGCCGCAGAAAACATGTGTGGGCAAAGCACTCGACACTGCTTCCTGAGGTTTACGCCATCTCCGACGTCCACTTTGACCACAAGTGCAACGAGGAGCGATTCGCCGGTGCTCTAAGCTGCGACGCCGGGTGTAGAGAGCGTCAGCGTTTTGATTGGAGCCCCGCCGCAAAGAGCCAGAATGTGGAGAATTGGAGTTCTGGACTTCGCTTCGCTAGGAGTGGGCGCACCGAATCGATGACTTCGATTTCCAAGAGGTGCCAGTTGTTGTGCTGTCGTTGAGAAGCAGGCCTCGCTGGTGCCCTTACTTTTCCTACTTGCAGGATGTGCTGATAGTGGCAGGAAACCTGTGCGACACGAGGCCGCCGTGCCATGATGTGACATGTGGTGGCACCTTGTGACACCTTGTGGCACATGGCAGAGCGACACAGAGTAGCACAGAACGGAACTGTCAGGAATGCGCTTGTCCGAGCGTTGACGACACTCAAGGCTCTTTCGCTCATTTTCGCTTTTTGGGATGCCCGTGCTGTCATCTCTGCTGTCGGGTGCAACTCGGTTGGGGAGGCCAAATTCCGCCGCGTCTTCTATGTCCCTGGAAATCATGAGCTTTGGTTGAATCCGACAGAGGCACGGAGTATGTCGTCCCTTCCACACGTTTGTCCTGTGGTATGACAAGTGCGGGCTTGACGGTGCTCTTGTACATAGTTGCAGGCCGCGAAGTACCCGGATTCGCTGGCAAAACTGCTTGGAATCATGGAAACATGTGATGAGCGCCACGCTGAGATGCTGCGCAAAATGCAACAGCACTCGGCAAACTCCCATGGGTTCGAACGCCTGAGGCTGGGTGTGGACTGCTTCCCGTCAGCGGTGTGTGAGGACAGTGGAAAAGGGCCATGACAGCGCTGTTGCTGTGACACCGTGTGACACCGTGTGACACCGTGTGACACCGTGTGACCTCTGGGCTCTGTCAGGACGTCTTTGTGGTGCCACTGCTGTCCTGGTACACGGCAGAGTTTGATGAGAAGGCAGGGCAGACAGGCAGAGAATGCGAGAGATCGGTCGCAGCAGGCCTGATCTCCCATCACATGCTGCGCTGGAGGATCCCTTCCCGGATCCGAATGCTAACTTCGACCACCAATGTCGATGGCCCCTGGACCCTGACACGCAGGCCGGACGTAGTGCCATTGGTGCCGCACTTCGACCTTTGCACCTTGGCGCGGAGGGTTACGAAGGCTCTTCCTGCGTGAGGTTTGGAAGTACATGCTGAAGCTCAACGAAGCGCACCTTCAGATCCGGACTTAGCAGACTTAGCTCGTTCTGCTTGGCGCTGCCAGGGTTTGCAGGTGTTTTTGCCTTTCGTTGCGCTCTCCAAAGGCATCCATACCATGGCTCCGTCATTACCTTCTCGTCGGCCACCTGATGCCAGCTTCGTGATTTTTGCGTTGACGACTGCGCTTAAGGTTGTCTACTGTTGAGGCACTTCCTACCGTCGCGGAGCTTGCCATTCGCTTCATTCGGACGTGCTGCGAAGGACCAACACCCCACTAAGGAAAACATGTCTTGTACCTTGTTGTACACCTTGTTGTACACCTTGTTGTACACCTTGTTGTACACCTTGTTGCATGTGGTCTGCATCCAGCCATGAAAGGCCATGGGCTGCGAAGATCTCAATGATCAGGCCAGGCGTTAACAGTTCGCAGGAATCAGGGCCTTCGTGGTTTTTCCGAAGCTCCGATCTGTGAGGTCAAGTCCATCCGCCTGCGAAACCGGGTGCATGCCCAGCCTTCAGATGGTGACAGGGCGAAGAGAGGTTTGCCAAGTCATTTTTGGGGCTCGTCGCAGCTACTGGCAAGATCGGCGTTGTGAATGCACTGCCAAGGTTTACGGCCACTCGAGCAGACACTTCTCACAGTTCGAGGATGGAATCCTGCATTTATCTCAGAGCCACTCCACCGTTCTGCGATCCATGGACCTAGATGCTTTGCCGGCACCTTGCTGTGGTTTTGCTGCCGCCGTACACTCAGGTATGTGAACCATTACCATGGTACCGAAGGTGGACAAGCTGAGCGATCACCGCTGTTCTTAATTCACGATGGGAAGGCCATTGGTGACCAGAAGCCTTGCGGTCCGCGGTGCACATGCCTTCGCCCTACAGGCCATCGTGAAGCGAGAAGTTGACATTTACTCTGGGCCGATGAGATTGTGAGGCTGGGTGCTTGGCATACCATGTGATGTCACTGTGAGTCATACAGACCCCAAAGAAGCCACGCCGGAACCATCCCTGAGCTCTGCGGAGCTTCCCCTTTGTGCATTGCTCGACAGGCGCCTCCAACTTCGCTGAGCGAGTTGGTTTCTGCGTGCTGCGCAGCAAAGAACACAACAGCGCCACAGATCCAGAATGTCTGCCGAAGCCCAGAGCAAAGGGTCATCACTGGCGCCACGAATGAACGGCTCCTGTTCTGGATCTGAAAAACTGCATGCTCGACATCTCGACATGATGCTTTAGTGCCAGGCTGCGCGCAGAACGATGGTGTGCGCATGCAGCTGCATGGTGCTCAGACATGCAACGCATGTTCTAGCACCCAGAAGAAGGCACCTTTTTCGAAAGCAGCTTGTTCGACTGCAAGCTGCTTCTCTGCCGAAGCCAGGCAGATCTGTTAGCTACCTTAACCTCCTCTCGCTCTGTTTGCTTCCTCTTCTGTCCTGTCGCAATGCGGTTGGCAACCATTTTGCATCTTGCGCTCACGCGCTCACACACCTACATACACAAGCTCGCTCTCTTTCTCTCTCTCTCTCTGTCCCTCTCTCTCTGTCTCTCTCTCTGTCTGCCTCCCTGCGGTGCCTCCCGGCCCTGTGCCTCTTCCCATGCAGCTCGTGCTGTTCGCCCATTCTCTCAAAAGAAATCAGTTTGCGCGACAATTGCTGATGTGCTGGAGCATCTGCGAGTTTGCCGTCTGGCGATAGCTGTCTTGCCATGTGCGCAAGCAAGACTGCAAGACTAGACGAGGAGTTTGTGCAGATACTTTGTTCCCGACTATCTGGCAAGGTCATTGTTATTGGTCGTTGCACGAGATCAGGCAGCATAAAGAGGGGCAGCCCCCAGCATGTAGGAGTGTTTTTCGCGAGCTGGATGGAGCAATACGTGAGGGTTGCAGATGCCATGGCCTCAGGGTGAACGGAGACGCGGTTTGAGGAGAACTCGAAAATTTGCGAGTTGCTGGCTCACAAAATTTGAGACATCCGGTTCACCGAGGCGAAGGCTTGGCTCCAGGTGCATCCTTTCTCCCAGTCCCCTCCGTCCAGTCGGCTTCAGAGGCCGGCATGGCCTCGGTACAAGCATGTCTGGGCCTTTCCTGCTCTCTTCAAGTTGTACGAAGGAGCAGCCGAAGTCCAAAGCGGCCATTGCATGCCTGAACCTGGGTTGACCGTACTCCCGCGTGCCACATTTGCTTCCACGGCCCTAAGATCTGAGGGGAAGCTTCGCTGCGAGCTTGAATCGACCATATCGACCCTGCCACGGCCTAAGGAAGTGTTTAAGGCATTTTAAAGCAACCAGGGATGTGCAGGATATCGGCTTTGAACATCCGATGTTCGGTTGTACTGGCCGCGACATGCGAGGCCGCCTGACCTGCCTGAATCCGAGGAGCTCATAAAGCCGCATGCTGAGCGTTGCCGACATCACCGGGTAAACTTGCAGATCCTGGTGCGCGCATTTTTGTCCCCACCAGCCCCACAAACTTGCAAGACTTTACGCGTGAACTGGATGCTGCGACACTGGTACGAGCTCCGCGAGCAACAGATTGAGTTTTGAAGATGTTCCGTGATCCAGTCGAGCGGTTTTTTTCAGGCCGCATCGATCTGCGAAGCTCAGACTTCTCGAGGCCGGTGTATCTGGTGAAGCCATGTGTACCCCGCTGACACCTGCTGCCTCTATATCCTCGCGCTCAGAGCAAAGGATGGAGAAGACGACGCAGAGAAAGGTTCCTCACTCAGGAAGGCACTACCCCATTGTTTTCAGAGTTTCGGGTGCGCTCGCTTAGGCGATCCTCCCTTGAAGCCGCAGGTTCAAGATGCAGGGAGACCAGCCAGATGCACAGCTTGAGGGGGAGAGAGAGGAAGAAGGTGATGGGAGATCCGGCCGGGTTAGATTCGCAGATCCCTGGCAGGTTGCAAGACACACATCTGGCAAGGACCTGCGCAACCCTTTCGTCCCGGCCCCCGGCCTTGTAGCCGTGGCCATGATAGGCATAGTGCTCTCCACGTAATCCTTCTCAGTGTCCTGCTCCTGAGCTTGAGGCAGAGTTGCTGGACCAGCAGAGGCTTCAAGAGGCCAAGGTGCCCGAGGCCTCTGAGAAGGTCACCGTGGTCACCCAGAAGCCGGCAAAGCCAGCAGATCGCCGTGCGCTGGGGCCTCTGCATGAGCCGGTGGAGCCGGTGGAGCCTGCGGAGCCTGCGGAGTTGGGCGACTTGGGCCACTTGTGCCACTTGGGGGCCAGCTCACCCGACCTTTCAAGAGCCTTGCCGCGGACCCAACTTTTACGAGCGCTCATTTACGCCAACGCTGAGTGAGAGAATGTGACCATGTGCGAATGAGAATGTGAGTGAGAGGTCCAAAGAAAGACGCAAAGATCTGGCACTGTCGCCTTCCCACCGCAGGCCAGCACCTCGGGCCAGGGTTTGCTGCCATGTGCTGCCACATGCCGCCGCTTTTGGAGGGTAGAACATCAACAAGAGAAGCGCTTGTGGAGTCATCGAGGAGCCCTCTTGTGGAAGTTGCGTACAGTCGCGTAGCCCTCTGAGGACGCTGCACTCGATGCATGCGCAGGCCGCGCAGGTCTCAAGGTGCTCAGATCATGGAGAAAGCACTTTCGGGGAACGTTCGGGGAACATTCGGAACATGACCCGGGCCGACTGCTTTGGAGAGAGGCAGACTCTCTCGCAAGCGCCAAAACCTGCACCCAAAGCTGCAGCCAGTGCCAGGCCAGGCCAGATCTTCTCCCAAGTGCCATGTGAGTCATATGAGTGTCGGAGATGCTCTCGAGGATGTCGCCAACGCGCTTTGCGTGTGGATCGGCTGTGGTGCCGTGAGCTTGGCAAAGCAAGAAAGATCAAGAAAGCGTGACGTTGGGAGTAAAGCCGTTCATGTACAGATGTCGCAGTCACAGCGAGTCCCAGGCCCGTTGCCAGGGCAACACTAGCCACGCCATTGGCTGGTGGCGCCAGGGCAGCACCAGCCCCACCGTTGGCCCTGGTCTCCCCAATCCTGGGAAACAGGCGCGGATGATTGTCAGAATACAGGGCAACTGCATCTCAGAATATACGGGGGCTGCCATGGGGGTGAAGTCTTCCATCGCGGTTGAAGGAGTCTGGAGTCGACTTCCGATAGGCTGTCGCCTCAGGGAGGGGCGTGGCCACAGTGGGAGCGCGGTGGCGCGTAGTGGAATGCCGGCTTGCCGGCAAGGCCCTCAGAAGTGGCGAGGGCGTCCCTCGTTGCGGCTTTTCTGTCGCCTCCTTGTGCCTACAGGACTTGACGGGAACACCTGTCGTATTAAATCAATCAGTGTATGCAAATAGAATCTGGAATGCCGATTTTTTTTGCCTGAAGCTGAGAACCAAAGCACCGAAGGAACACACTGGCAGATCTGCCGAAGCGTGTGCACAGGCAGGCTGTTGAATTTAGGAGCATTCCGGAGCTATCTGAGCGTTGCTGCCGAGCTGTGATAGTCAGGCCCACCCCGTTGCCCAACGATGTCGGAGCATATTCTTGGCCGGCATCTTGGGCCTATTGCCATGTAGATTGCCATAAAAACACCTGGCACACTTGTCAAGGCAGCCTGGAATTGCTGAGGGCTTTGGGGACATTGTGCCGTGCACCCAGACTCTCGTTGTCACATGACATGTTGCTACTAGCGTTCCTCTTGCTTGACATCGGGTCTTGGGGGCTTGCCACATCGTGTCACCTTTTTCCGCGTAATGCAGATGTCATGCAACGCACCATCACCAGATGTACTTTCCAAGTTTGGACGGGTGTGACTCTCGGGAAACCAATGAAATACACCGTGTGGATTTGACAGTCACCAAATCACGGGCAGGGGTCCAGCGCTGAAGTGTTTTTTTTCTGATACCACTCTTGCACCCAAGTCACGAAAGCTAGCGCTCGCAAAAGGTGCCAGGTCTTGATCGTGTCGATCCCTGAACATCTGAATGCATCCATGCAAGAAATCACTTCCACCTCTCTCTTTCGGGTCCGCGCGTTCACTTCCGGACAGTTCCGCCTAGGCTATAAAATTTTGTCCAAGAGTTGTATGAGATGTTACCTGGCGTTTCGTGACGTGGTGCCCTGTGTTTTATGAATTCCAGAGCAGAAAGTCCACATGCGATTCATTAGCGAGCTCCGGTTGGCACACTTAAAGGAGTTCCCGGTCCGTAAAATGTCCCACATAGTCCTTGAATTATTGGGGTTCCTTAAACGGGTTCTTTTGCTTTGCGGGCGAGAAGGATTAGGTGGTGGCGCCGGAGACACTTCCAGACACCTTAGGCCTCGCGGCAGCGGCGGATCAATGATGTTGTCAATTCAACGCCCCTTCCCCTTTCCCCCCTCCCCCCTTCCCCCCTCCCCCCTTCACCCTCCACCCTCCCCCCTCTCCCCCTCCCCGTCGGGGCACGGTTGCAGTTCACTTACGCAGTTTTTGTTAGAAACAACTCACTCCGCTCTCCCTGGCAACGCCCTCTATCAGGGATCAGTCATGAGTCAAGTCCCTGGCCTTGTCCCCGTGCTTCTGCTAGATTTCGTCGCCCCGGTTTCAGGTAAGTTTGGGATACACGCTTGTTCGAAATGTTTACTGACCGGACAGGCATGGTTGTCGAAGGAGCAGCATGCTCTTTTTCAGTTGCACGCAGGAGACTGGCGGACGAACCTGCGCCAACATCCTAGTTTGACATGTTTGACATGTTTGGCATGTTTGGCATGTTTGATTGCAACGTGGGTGGCCTGAGAGCGCCTGGTCCAGGCGAGATCCGTTCAGCACTGCCAGGCAGCCGCGCAGCACGGGGAAGATCGTGCAATCTGTGCGATTAGAGATCCGGACTGTCACGGCATGTCTCGAAGAGCACAGGGAGCAGCAGCCCAGTTCGCCGCTGGTGACCAAAGGGAGGGCTCCGCCGCAGCCCAGCCTGGGGTGCTCTATTGCAATGCCATTGCTATGCCGTCCAGTGCCGTGCGCATCTGTGCGCATCTGTGTGCATCGGTGCGCTCTACTCCTTCGCCCCATATCGATCGCTATCTCCCTCCCTCTCTCTCTCTCTCTCGCTGTCTCTCTTTCTCTCTCTCTCTCCCTCGCTTTCTTGCGCCCGAGAGGCATGAGTTGATGTGTGCCGAGGCCTGTCCTTTTGGGCTCGGCGCCCCTGTCTTCTGGCACAGTGAGGTGGACCGCAAGGGTGTGTCTTTCAGTGAATGTTTTAAACCCAAGAGTGTAAGAAGAGTTTAATGGCTAATGGCAGAGAAATGGAGCGCAAGGCGGGTGACGTGTCGGCTTGCTTTTGCAGGTTGCGTGCAACCCTTGGGTCTTGCACGGCCCCCGCCCATCGGCATCCGCCGCTACCCTGCCCAGTTAACAGGCCGCCACATGAATTTGAGTGGCAAGTTGCTGAAATCTACCGGTGTGATGCAGGTCCTCCTTTGTGTACAAGGCAGAAGCAAGAAGAGTCTTGTAGCGGCTCTAGACTCAAAGGGCTTCCGCTGGATAACAAGGTGCCTGGCAAGGAACGCCCGGCTGAAGCAATGAGGCCGGGCTTGGAAAGCCACGAACACTTTAGACTCAGGCCTTCTGGGACCTATTGCGTACTCAGACACGGTGGATTTTTCTGCTGTGCAGGGTGCAAAACCCTCCTACATGCTGGGTCGGTTGCCTCAGATGGGATGCACTTGGATGACTGTCTCTTTCAGAGATAGCATCGTTCTCTGCGGACCAGGGAAGCAAGGGGTCTGGATTCGATAATCGAGCTCGAGCGTCTCTTCTCTGAACCTCCAAACGTTCGCGCATCCCGACTTTGAAAAAGATCAAGGTTAGAAGCTTTGGAGTTAGAATGGAAGCTCGACAGTTTGCCTCTCGAACTCGAAAGTTTGGGCGGGGTCGAGTTCGAGAGTTCCAAAATGTTTCACAGTTTGAAAGTTTGAAGGCTTCGAGTTTGGAGTTTAACGCGTACGTCGGTGTTTAACAGCTCAACAGGTTCCAGGTTCGAGAAATAATATTTGACGCCCATTTAAGGTCGCGAGTTCAAAAGTTTGACAGATTTCGAGACGAGACGAGTTAGAAAGTTTGAGCACTCCGAGTTGACCTCTCAAACTCCGAAGCTCTGCATTCCTCGAACTCGAGAAGGTCTCGAACTCCAAACTGGGCACCCTTGAAACTTTCGAGCTCGAACGCCGGCGCGCCATTTTTGTCGCTCATGCAGCTTTCAACCCCCCATCTCGCCTCAACATCTCGAACCTCAGAACGAACTCCGAATCTTCCGAACTTCGGCTCGATCGTCGTTTTCATTCTTCAATTTGTTTCAATTTTTCAACCTCTCGAACTCCAAAGTCTCAATTGTCTTTTTCAGCTTTTCTAGCTTGCTACGGTCCAAAGTTCGAAGAAAGTATTTGTGACACCTATGATTTAGGCATCAGAGCCCTGGCTGGGCCAGGGCTTCCTTGAGACAAATCGGGCTGAATCGGGATGGTCTCGGAGAATGCTGGCCAAGAGTTGCGCACGCTCCGCCACCACTCAGGTGCAGGTCACCCCGCATGCCACCGCGCAGGTGTCTGAGCAAAGTCTCAGATGGAAGGCACCAGGACAAAGCGGCCTGTTGCCTTTTAGTGCTGGCCATCCGCGCATGGATGGTGCAGTGAATGCACGATGCACATATCCGTCGCCCATTGGGGCAGTTGTGGGTCCCGACGCAGTGCAGAGGTTGTAAAAACCGTGAGTAACTGAAATTCTGCACCACAACAGGAGCTAATGTAATCCTTCTGTGCTCACTTTAAGGCGCGAGGCTTTGCGAAGCCCGATCTGCTGGTTTTCTGTGCTCAAGACTTTACTTCACCTTACCTGCTTACCTTACTGCACCAGGCTGCATGTAACACACATGCTGCTGGTGCTGGTGCTTGTTAGCGTGGCGGCATCTGAGCCCTCCGTATTGTGGAGTTCATGTGAGGCAGGGGACCGGAATGAGAACTGCCCGAGCTGCGCCCGATCTGCGAGTCTTCTTCAGCGAGCCCACCAGATGCTAATGGAGCTCCCAAGAAACCGCACGAACTCCCAGACATTTGGAGACATTTTTGGGTTGCCGACTCAGGGTGTTGGACCCGTGCGCCATTGGCCAAGTCCACGTGCTTTGTCGCACCTTCAGATGGGAGTTCTGCTTAGTGCTCTAGCTGTGTCTGTTGTACTCAGCCATGTCTCTACAGCAGAAGTCACTACCTCGATCACCTCCTGGATCTCCGCAAGTGTTTGCACAAATCTCTTGAACAAGGAGGCTGCAAGCACATTTCAGGCCACGTGCCTGCTCGTCATTTTGCAAATGTTCATCGCCAACATCGTCGTCATCTTAGCCCGCTTCAGAGACCTGGCCTGCCCGAGCTTTCGAGACTTTTGGAGATGGCTCCCGGTCTCGTTTCTGGTGTCTGGCATGCTGGGGACATCGATTTTTGCTTTGGAGGGTACAACTGTAAGCACTGTCAGCATCATCCGGAACGTTCTGCCCATCATCACCTTTGTTCTTGAGAAATTCTTGTTCAACAGCCCCAAGACTGTACGACCAGGTCACGTGCTCTCCATGTTCCTGACTTTGTTTGGAACCACTTTGTACGGGATCTACAACTTCTCCGTCACAACTTATAGCCTTGTTATGATCTTATTGGGTTGCCTCTTGACAGTCGTGGACAAGTTGCTTCAACGGCACTTGCTCATGAGCCCTGACTTCAAGCAGCCTCTGGCAGTTTGCATGGTCATGAACAACACCTTTGGTATGATCCCACTCCTCCTCGTGTCGATTCTAATGCACGAGGCGCCGAGCTGGGGTAAGGTGATATCTGAGACACCTTGGGATGGCTGGCTGCTGGTACTTACCTCTGGGCTCTCGGGATGCTGCTTGGGCTTCTATGGCCTTGCAGTATCGAAGTTGGTCTCGGCGGCCTCGGTTCTCATGCTGCAGAACACCAGCAAGGTTCTGGTGATCCTACTCTCTGTGATGCTGCTGGGGGATGATATCTCCGGCTTGTCTGCTCTGGGGTGCTTCTTGTCTGTTCTTGGTTCCGCTTGGTACGGGTACATGACCTTGAGTCCAGGGCCTACAAATTCACAGGAGTCGGGCTTGGCAAAAGACGAGTGCAGGGCAAAGGGATGACAGTTCTACGCCTCCCAAGGAGGAGCTTTCGCGCCACGAGGGTGCAAGAGAAAAGCAAAAGCTTGGGCGAAGTTGTGCTTCAACGCTCCCGTGTGGGCTTAGAGGAGAGTTTGGCTCAATTGCTGGTCCCCGCGTCAGGTCATGAAAGAGAAAGACTCCCAGAAGCTCAAGATGTGTAAGACGGTCCCCAAGGCCGTCTTCCAAGAATTGCTTTGGGGGGGTGATTGAAAGGCAGCAGGCCCAGCATTATGTACGTGCAGGCGATGGTGCGAACGGCCTCCAACGTGATGGAAAAGCTCCGCGCCCTGCAGGCGGCACTGACTTGTCAGTCGCTGCGCAGAAGTGAGACCTTGCCACTCAGCTCAGCTTCGGAATGGTTGTGCGACTCGTTGCGACCAGGAGCTGCAGCACCCGCACATCTCAAGCATCACGGACCTCATGGAGGAGAGTCTCGGGTCTCGTCCAGCAACTTTGAACCGGCTGGCGCAAGTCCTTGTCGCAGGATGACAAGAACTACTACATCATCAGCGACTACTACATGGGCGGTGATGTACAGGCCGGTAGCGTGGTACTCTTGAGTCGAGTCCAAGTGAGAGTTTGTGTTAGGATTGGTTGGAGAAGATGGACGAGGGCAACTGGTTGCAGGCATGTGCGTGTTCTCTCCATCGGCATCATGCAATCCATGGCCATCCCTTCACAATCATTCTCATAGCTTTCATGTGAAGGAATCGACTTGTGCAGCCTACGTGCGTCAGGCAGGTGAACAGCTTGGGTCAGAGCTTCGCTCCAGTGATCTTTTCTTTCGATTTTGTCAGAACTCAAAGCAAGCCGTTCAGGCACTCCTCGCCCTGTGCCATAGCCATTCGGCCCAGGCCATTCTGAACCTCTCGCAGTGCGCACGTGCAACTCGAGCATCCACGAACGTAGCGGAAGAGGTCTTTCATCGTGACTTGAAGCCCAGCAACCTTCTGCTGACCACCAAGTTGCCAGATGCTGTCATCAAGGACCTAATCGCCAAGCATGTTCAGCAGTGCCATCCTGTGCCATGACATCCAATCATCTGCCCCTTAACACGTGGCAGGTGGTGGATTTCGGCCTTGCCAACATCCTGGATCCTGATAATGCGTGTGTTCCTCGGAGATAACCCCCTTTCAATCACTGCGCCCATAAGAGAAGCGGCATGTCGATTGCAGGATTATTCAAAAGAACCCCAATGAGTACACAGTGCCAGAGGCAGGTGCAACCAAGGGCAACCTTGCACACTGGAAGCTCTGGCTAGTGTGTGTGTGTGTGTGTGACGTGCAACAGATCTTGAAAAGCTCCGAGCCGACCAAGCATGGCGGTGCCGACATGTGGAGGCCCGGGCGAGTCGCTGTGCCTGTGCCGGAAGCCATGAGAAGCACACACAGCTGTGTTCATGCCAGTGTGGGTGCCATCGCCCATGCACTCCTGGTGGGAAGCGGTGCCAGCGTCAGCTCCAGGCCATTTTAGAAGCTGCCGATGATTGATGTCAATAGCTGGACGTTGCCTCTCCAGGAGAGGCTGGGGCTTCGGCAGAGATGATGAAGGCACGAGTGCTTGATCAGAGTGGAGTCAGAGTCTATCCAGCCCATGTCCGGAGTAGGATGGAGTGAGAGAAGTCCCTTGGCACGGGATTTTGCCCTGCGGCTGCTGAGGCCAGGGGAGGTTAGATGCAAAGTGAAGACACAAGCAAGATGCAAAGCAAAGTAAAGCCCAATACAAAAGGAGCACCTGTCTCCCGATGCTCGGACGGTCGAGGCCTGCTGGAGAGCGGCCGACTGCTGCCAAGGCCTTGCACCATCCCTGGCTGAAGGTGGGGGAAACAGCACCGCACCGTACTTTTGAGAACGTGGTGACGGTGCGGGCATGTCTGCAATCCTGCGTCTTCCCAGACCATCATGCCGATCAGCACCATCAATACAAACCACAGCAACACCAAAGAAGCCAGGGCGAAGCGCTCAGGGATTGTCACAGCTCTTCGTGGTGAATCAAGACTCGTCTTCGTTTGTCATCGTTTGTCGTTCTGAGGAGCTTCGATACAAGATGCTTTGCTATTCGTTGAGCCTAATAATGTTGCCAGCGGTGGGTCCGGGTCTTAGCAGAGCCTGGCGGAACGTGTTGAGTTGCTGCTCGAACTCGGTGGAGTTGTTGTGCTGCAGTTCCGCATCGGGATTTCGATCAGCTTCGGACGGCCTTCCAGCAGGTGCAGCACGTGACATGCGCTGATGTTTTTTTTGGTGGGGGCTGTTCATGGCTACCGATGGTCTGTCTTGTGTTGAGCAAACTGTGCGCAGAGCGATCTGGACCGCGATGGCTTCATCCCGAAATCGATCGGATTAAGGCCTTAGAGACGCAAGTATAGGACGCTAAAGATCGCCATGTGGGCAGTCGGCTCATTTCCGAGGCTGCTGTTGGGCCGGTGCAACCTCAAGGAGGTGGGATAGGCCTGCTCACTGCCCCTTATGCAACGTTGGCCATGACATAAGGCGGTGGTGCCAGCCATGAGCATTGTCGATTTGGGCCGCACAGACACGCTCCCCGGCTTTGATACCGCGGAAATGGATTCCGGCAGTCCCGTAACGCAAAGCATGCGTAATGACGTAATGGTTGCTCTAAAAGTCTCAAGAAGTGCAAGCTTTCCCAGGTGCGACCTTGCTGCGGTTGCAGCGGCAGACTTGATTGCCAGAGAGTGAGCCCTCCCTCTCTGCCATTTTGTGGATGGTTGCAGGACCCACAGTGTTTTGTCGCAGGTTCTTCGCCGCGGGACCTACTTCGGCTCCTTTGGACTGATTCTTAGACGGGCAAGGCAATGTCATTTTGGATGTCTTTGGGATCTTTGTGGGTGTGTGTGATGAGATCGTAGCTACGGCTTTGCTTAGGTGGGGCCGTTTGGCGCCACTGATCTCGCGCCTAGACTTATCAAGCGCTTCTTCGAGGCACACAGAACACAGCGACGCAGTGGGCGCTATCAAGCAATCTCTAAGCATTGCTAAGTCGCCGACATGGATGCAGGGCCTGTCGCTATCCTTGGAAACAGGTCTTTGCCGACAGGCACAACGGTGCCCCTGTCGCCACACTGCCTCGCTTCAGACGCTCGTTCCAAGCACCTTGCAACATCTTGGAGTCATGTGCCAGGCTGCTGTCCATCTTGGAGCCATAAGGACCAAGACACGCACTGCCACAGCAAGAGACGTGGAGGTGGCTTAATCTACCTTGCCGGCTCCTTCCCAGATAAGACTGAAGCACCGCTGAAACTCCAGGCTTTCGGCAACATCAACTACGAGGAGCTGCTGACATGCCTCCCGGAGGACAGCGGCCCCACTCAGATCCGATGGCAAGGGCTTTCAGTGAGTGCTTTGTAGCTATACAGTATTACTAGAAAATGGCCGCGAAATACATACATATACATATATATATGTGTGTGTGTATACAATTATGTGTACACTGCAGATTGGGGGGCAGCAAATGGCTGGACCTAAGTTCCTGCTACTTGTAAAGGTGCCGATGCCGATACACAGATGGGCGTGGCTTGTTGCAGCATGCAGGTTCCAGTTTACATCCGAAGCAGAGTTGTCAAAGAAAGAGCTTTAACTTTACCGGTTTTCTCCTTGCTTCGTCACTCTGTGCCTTTGCCTTGCTCTCATTGAACCAGCCGTCTCAGCTGCATGCTGAGCAATTGTCGGTCTTGCTTGCCGTATGAGGACACCATGATTGATAGCCAGCTCCTCATGACGCAGGCGAGACGGCATGAGAGAACAAAGCGAACAGTTCCATACCATCAGATGTCACCATGCCGTCATTATGCAAAATTTCCGTGTTCGCATCTCCAGCTCTCTGCAAGCGCCGGGCGCGGAACGCCCGGCACCCGTGGCTGCCGTGGTCATTTTCAAGCCAAGGAGGGAAAAGAGCATTACAACACACATGGCATCTGAGGCCCCTGGGCGTAGACCAAGAGCTGTCACCTTTGAGAGCAGAGTCGCCTTGGGAGTATGCCCGCCTGATTCAACGTGCTCAACGTGTTTGCAGCTGTACTTTTTTCGTTTTTTTGTTGCGTCCTTCGTTAACTGCCAGGTCGGCGTTCCTCGACTTCTTCGGTATTTTTTACACATGTAGTGCGTTTGGGCCTCTGTGACACTCACAATCATCCCTGGAAGGGTCACCATTCTCCCGAATCATACAGCACCAAGGTCCAAGCGCGATGAGTCGCCTGGTTCCATCCGAATGTATTGATGAGAAAGGATAGCTGACGGCGCATTGAATCTCACAGAAGTCAAGAGTTCAGTATCCTGCAAGGACGTGAGCGAGTAACCTTGAGCAAAAGCATGCAGACGACGTGTCCTTTTCTCCGCAGGACGACGTCATCGCAGAGATCCTGAGATCACAGAAGCAAACTGCTTGTGTGCATGCAATGGGTCAGGTCTCTGTCGTTCCGTGGGTATTTCACACATCAACATGTCAACATTCATACCTCGTCATGACCCAGACATTACCTCAAGAACACTTGCGTAGCCCTGCAATAATGCTCTTGCGCAGGGACACTTGTAGCGCCCCTTCGCGGCACAGTCATGAAATGTATGCCGTGCGCCGTGCGCTGTTCCCGTATTCGATGCATGGGAGCGCAAGTCTCCATGGGGATATCGCGGGATGTCTCCCAGGCCGTCTCAGGCCGTCTCAGACCCGTTGCTCTGGGTCTCGCGTCAGCTCAGAACGCCAGAAATACGGTCTCTGTTTATGATTGCTTTTGTGGATCCATGCGCCGCTTGCATGGCAGACTGCAGTGACGACATTGACGGTTGTGCCGCGACACTGACAGCTTCATTGGAGTTTGCAACCAACACCGATGACACTCCACTACTTCATGGCAAAACAGCCAAGCAGACTCCGACCAGGGCAAGGCACCAGGGAAAGGGGAAGGTGATGTTTTTTTTTGCCGTGTGCCGCATCTGTTGTGTGCCTGTTGCATGGCTGCCGACTGGCCATGGCTTCCCCCAAGCAGTGGGCGGCGTGGCTCCTCATTGGCCTGGCAACAGCGGGTGCCTTGCTGCCACTGGTGATCATCCTGGTGGTCCGGCCGAAATCAACGGAAAAGGTCGCAGGACTGATATCAGCTTGGTTCAAGCATGTTAAATAAATTTTTGACAAGGCTCCTCTGTTTTTCTGTTCAGCGACCAGGTCTACGAAGTAGTACATGCTACAGCCCCGCTGGACATCTACTTGGTCCTTGATGCTAGTGGCTCTGTCTCTGATAGCGACTGGCGGCAAAGCTTGCTCTTCGCGAGAGACCTGGCGGTGCAACTGAACGCTTCGGTCCCTCAGTTCCGTGCCGGCCTGGGGCAGTTCTCAAGCGACTTTCGAGCCATCTTCCCGGTCAGAGAGGATATTTCTCCACTTGCAGCGCTGCCTCAGGGTGTCACGGCGTCGAGGGGCGGCACGGACATGGCCAAAGCATTGTGTGGGAATGCTTTTGGCGGACGCGCGCGGCCGGAGGCCGCTTCAACACCAAGGCTTCCCAAGGCTTCCCAAGGCTTCCCAAGGCTTCCCAAGGCTTCCCAAGGCTTCCCAAGGCTTCCCAAGGCTTCCCAACAAGGCTTCCCAAGGCTTCCAAGCGGCCATGGCGGCTGTGGCTTTTTGAGAAATTTAGAGATAAACATAACCGTCGGCTGGAGTTTCTGCCACTTTCATGCGGTGACTGCATTGCGAGGAGGCCCGAACCCTCTGCGTCGGAGGCGCTTACGGCCACCTGACAGCAGCGCTACCTCAGTCACCCGAGAATCTGCCGCCGAATTGCGAGGAGCTATCGAGCGCGACTCTGAGGGTCGATCTAGGGGCGGTGCATGGCGGTGCATGATCCCGTCCACGGTGGTGCGTGTTCGTGCGCTGTCAAGGTTCGCACATGATCATCTTGGTCACTGACGGAAGGCCTAACACTATCACAGATCATCTCGATTTCTTAAGCAGGGCGTAGCAGGGCGTTGCTCAATGCGATGCGTTCAGGCCGCCACCGGGCAAGATGGACACACCCTCTAAGCTAGCCTCCGCGTACCTGAAGTCGGAAACAAACGTCACCCTGGTGGGTATCCTGGTCAAGCATGAGGCCAAGGCAGGGGACGTGGCAATTTGCAGCCAATTTGCACTGCCTTTGCACTGCCTTTGTGCAGCAGTCTGAGTAGACTAACCTTCGCTGAAGAACGTGCCCCGAATGATCTCAGGCCATTGAGGGAGAAATTCTCTACGCGCTATCTTCCTGCTGCCCAGCGGAGTCCATGAAGGTCACTGGCACCACAGACGTCCATGTGGCTTGCGAGCTGCCCATGAACGAGAGCTGCCCGTACATGGCAAGCATGAAGGACACGCATACACACGCGCACAGGCACGCGCACAGGCACGTACGCATGCACACACGCGTGCGCGCACAGCAGCAACCTGTTCACAGTGTCTCGCCATGTGCGAGAGGATTATGCGGCACTTCGGCGCAGTATTGATGGAATTGTCCAAAATCTCGGTGATGAGCTCCAATGTGAAGGACAGTACAGTGCATGAGGCATGCGGCATGCGTAAAGCAAGGCTTAATCGAGGTGCTAGCAAGGGTGTGCTGCTACCTGTTGAACCTGTTGCATCCTTAAAAATAAAGATTTTGAAGGAAGGCGAGAATCCGTGTCTCTACTGCCGGACTCACGGAGCTTGTGGTTTCTGGTGCTGCTGTTGCTCGCCTGCCTTTTGTCCGTCAACCCGACATCAGACCTGCTAGCTTGCTTCTGCTTTTAGCGATACTGTACTTGCATTGAGGTTGCCAGTGCTGCTTCATCAGGTCTGGCAGCGTTGTTTGCAGACAGCTTAGTCTTTCGCAGCACACTGACGTTTGGACCTTGTGCTCTTGCCAGCTGAGGCTGCATATCGGCGACTCCTACACGTCCAAAGCGGTTCAGGGCTCAGCGTTCGGTTCGTTCGTTTCGCGGGCAGCCATGGAGCCCCATACAAGAGGCAAGAATGCTATATTGAGGCTAGAGACTTGCAGCCCCCAGTAGATGTGGAGATGACAACGGGCGTCACATCCAGAGCACCTGGGCGGCTGAACTCGATGCCAGCAAAGTGGCGAGACTTTCATTCAAAGTTGTGCCGAGGAGGAGGTGGAGACGCAGCCGGCTGAGAGTCAGGCAAAGACAAAGAGTGGTGCGGGTGTGAGTTTTTTTTTCTCCAAAGTCCTTGGAGTCTGTGGAGTCATGGAGGCGAGATCCTCACAGGCTGCAGCAGCAGAGGCCAGCGGTGTCGGGTCTGGACTTCACTTTCGCTCGACTGGACTTGATGGCAGCGGGCAACATCTTAATGTCTTTCAAGTTGGCAAGCAGCCTTGCAACACACGTCAAGGCAACGAGCCGATCTCATTCCTTTCATGCTTGGCCAGGCAGATGCAGCTGCAACCACAAAGGGCAAGAAATGGGCCCCAGTTCGCAGCTTCGCCTGCAGTGTGCGATCTGAAGGGTCGCCGTAGAAAATGTGAAGACCTTCGCTCTCTGGCTGAGGCACGGCTTACATCATCAACGGCAGCTTGTCTTCCAGACTCCTTGAGGGATGCCACGCCACAGAGCGGCCGTGCAAAGATCGTCTGCCCAGCCGAGGCGCAAGGGTGGACGTGGATTACGGTAGATCTTCCACAACCCCGCCCCCGATGGCACCTAATGCGGCGCGACGTGGGAACTCCTTTGCGAGTGTCAATGATTTCCCAGCCGCATCCTCAGCCATAGAGCTCGGCTCTGACCAGAGCAAAGGAGGAGAAAGAGGGGGGCGATTCCGATGACGAAGTTAGCTTCCGAAGGCCGTGACTCTCTGTTCACTACAATTCATTCTCCCATTGAGTTTTCTTCTACCGTTCTGACATTCAGCAAAGGAAACAGCACAAAAAGGGAGGTTTGAAGGACTTAAAGAGCAGGACAGCGAATATGGGAGAGACGTTGTGCAGGCTAACCTATAACACATACTTTTTGGACTAACAAGAATGTATTGGTGAATGGCTTGAGTCCCACTTCTTGAATTGCGGTGTATTCGTTGCTCCTCGCCCACAGTGTCGCACTGTGTTGCTTTCCACCCAGTTTCCGACCTGGAAGTGCCGCGCCACAGCGATCTCTGGAGGGTCTGATCCCCCCCTGATCGTTTGAGTTCCGAAGTGTTCCGAGAAACCGGGGGGGCCGACCCATATGATACTAGGAAGCCCGAGTGCTGGAGCCGAGACAAGCGCGAGAGAGTTCGAGAGAAATGCATGACGTTCAGCTTATACAGTGTGGTGCCTGAGGAAACCGCGATGCAGTCCATTCAAAGCGACGTGCCTTGGCAACAACGCGCGTTGCTTGTGGCGACTGCTTTTTGCCAGCTGGTGTATGCTACTGGTCAAGGTCGACACGAGCAGCGTTGTGGGCGTCATGAGCGTCGTCAGCCCCGAAAGTTTGCCTCCAGAGGTGAGGCGATTCAACTGTCACATCTTCGTGCCTTTGCTCATGACGTGCGCAGCTTAGCACCTGCAACCTGTAGACAGCAGACAGCAGTAGACAGGCTCGTTTCAACATCCTGGGAGCAGTTTCAGTGCAGTCGTTTCTCAGGTTGTTGTTGCTGCCGGTTGTGATCATGAAGAGTGGTATCTTGTCTATGCTACACCTCGAATCTCCTCAGCTGGCCATGGCTGCTACTCGTAGCTCTTGGGGCACATCTTCCATTACCTGGTAGTCGCCGCGCTATGCTTTGCAGCCCTATGCATGGTCTTGCAAATGGGTTCGCGGCGTTGCAACGGACACCTGCAGACCTTCAGCTTGGGACATTCTGGACACTATGAAGCAACCAGACCAACGGCATGAAGTAGCACGAAGCGATCGGAAAGCCCGCTTGGCGAACCTCCTCTGAGCTGCATCTTGCAGTCGAGCAGTATGGTCTGAACGGTGCCAAGAAGCCAACAACCGGTACCAATGCCTCTCTGCTCACGATCGATCGCGACCTTCCCTGAGAGTGGGGCCACGATTCTGGCAGAGCGCGCAGTGGCAAAACCGATCCGGCTCAAAACTGCATATATCCACCTGCGTGTAGCCTGCGTGACTCCATATAGGCTCTATTCCATCAAAAGAACACTAGATGGAGATGCCGGTACAGAAGTACTGGATTTCTCAGAAGTCTTGAATGCCTTGAGCAGGGGGCCAGAAGTTGAAAGCTTTTGGCCAGATGCATGTTCTGCAACTATGGACTTCGTAGGGTGTGCAAGCATGTTGTGCCTGCCTTGGGCCGTGGCATGCGGTTGGGTGTGCCGCGGTGGCTGGAAGGGAAAGTAGGGGGCATGGGAACCTAAACGGAACTTGCCGTTCTGCGCCTGCACCTTAAAGTTGCATTTTTTTTTGCGAAGCCTTTTGTTGCACTTTTGGCAGCATGTAATGTCATGTCTGCAAGGCCCAGTATGAGGAGGAGCTGCCTCACTCTGTTGACGTTGCTGGTCGGTGCCTCACTCGCCCCGAAACCTGCAGAAACCTCCGCCACCGGTGTGGATACTGAATCGCGGAAGAAGGTTGTACGTGCAAACGAGGGTGTAGAGGTTTCATGGCATTCCGCAGGCCGTGGCTGATGCATCTTTCGAAGACGATGCTGAAATTCAAGTTAGCCGTCGGCTTATCGCACAGTGAACGCTGATCTCTGATGTCGGCGACTGCGCATGCACCCGGCTTTCTTAGGCATGAACAAAGCCTGGCCATACTCAAACCCCACGGAGACGTACTCTGGCCTCAGCTGAACTGTGTGGGTTAGAAATGTTGTCGTAGCCAATGGCAGGTATGAGTACTATGACTTCCCGTTTTGCAAGCCTAAAATCGTGATGCCGCACTTCATGACCCTCGGTCAGGCCAGTGTCTCAGCGATTCGGGCAAACTTTTGGAATGGTTGAATCCCGTGCTGAGCTCCCATCGCATGTCCACAGGTCCTGCGTGGAGATCGATTAGCGGGGCCCCGTTCGTGTCAGTCAGACCTGGCTGTAGAGCACTTGCGCCGAGGTGAATTCGCTTTACCCAATGCACATGAAGCGCCAAGTCCCAAGGACGGTAATCTGCTCAAGGACCGGCCGCTGTTGTGACTATTGTGTTCCCACATGAATCATACTAAGCACCATATTGATATGCCAAATACAGGCCATCGTCTGTCGCTTTGCAGGAGAATGAGTGAGTCGGATATCCATATGCTCAAAGTGCTGCTGGCTATGTTGCGTCGAGAAGGGTTTGGGCGATGTTGGCTGCTGTACCACAGCATGATTCGCCATGTCAGGAAGCCATAGATCAGAACTACATGTTCGAGCTGTTCGTTGGCGAGCTGCCAATTGATCGTTGCCCAGAATCTCTCCGGGTTCATGGCGCTGACAATCACAAGCCGTGTACTTCAGGACAGACCATTCGGCGTAGTGTCGACAATGGGGAACGAAAAAGACGAGCAGGTCACAGACAGGCCGTTCTACCAGTGCGACTGTCACGTGCTTCCAGCTCAGTTGCAAACACTGCAGGTACTTCCTCGTCAACTACCTAGACTTCATTATAGGCTACAACGAGAAGGAGGCACTGTCATCTTGCACGCCGAATTCGCGGTCTCGTTCCTTGGTATTTGCGTGCCCGGCCGTGCTGGGAGAAGCCTTGCCTTGCTGTGCCGTGCCGTGCTCCCATGTGCTCCCTTGGGTTTTGCGCGCGCAGTGCCGTTCCGCGCTGTGCTGGGGATGTAGCAGTCTCATTCCTTGGTTTTTCGCGTGCCTGGGGGAGTCTCTGCAAGGTTTGTGGAGGGGTTTCTGGGGGTCCCTACAGCAGCGTCCACGCCCAGAAGCCCGTGTGCCAGAGAAAATACCCAACTCAGGCCAAAAGCGGAAAGAATGCCTCGGGAGGGCACCTGAGAAGACACTTTGAAATGCCTCTTGGGCCTGAGGCCTCGCCGGACTAAGCCCTGCTGCCTCGACCACCCTTTGGAGTGTTTACGTGCTCGTGCCCTAAACCCTAAACCCTCAGCCCTAAGCCCTAAGCCCTAAGCCTTAAACCCTAAACCCTAAACCCTAAACCCTGAACCCTGAACCCTGAACCCTGAACCCTGAACCCTGAACCCTGAACCCTGATCCTGGATGAGGTGGTCTCCGCCAACGTGACAAGGGAGTGCGGGACTTGGGTGAGAGCCAACGATCCGGGTGCAGCCTTTCTCCTGCCGTTCGATGTCGGTTCAGGGTTTAGGGTTTAGGGTTTAGGGTTCGATGGAAGCCTCCAGGCTGAACCTAGAGCACCTGGTGGACATCACCGAGTGGAAAGAGGGAATGGCGCGCGGCTCGAGAGCATGACCTTTCTTCGGTTTTGCTTATGTGCTCCCTGTGCAAGGTGATCCAGTTCTCCTATTCCGTTCAGTGGACTCCGCTGCCTCAAACCCAGAAGAAGTTCGTTTGCGTGTTTTGTGTGTTTTCTCTTGGCCCGTATGTCTCCTTTCATTCTTTCATTCTGTGGGGTTTTTTTAGGCCGCACATCCTTCCCTCCCAAGCCTTGGAGCTGCAGCTGAAGTCCACGATGCCTCACGGGCAGCGCGCTCGGAGCAAGCGAAGCTCTCTGCCTGCTCTGGTTTTTCTTTCACAGGTGAGTTTCGCATAGAAGACTCATAGAAGCGTGTGCGGAAGAAGAGTACGAAGAAAAACTTGAGAGAGAAGATCGCCTGGGCGCTGAAGGGTGGATGGGTTGGGCCTTCCGAGCTAGGTTGAGGTTTTGTTGCAGCTTAAAGTGAGGCACCAGAACATGGACATTCATTGGCTCGCAATCATCAACTCCTTTGTGTTGATGTTGCTCATCTTGTGGGCCTCTCAGACAGCTTTTGGGCCTCGGCCCTGCTGCGAGATGCTCTGCGAATTTGGATTCGCCACGGCCTTCGGAGCTTGCCATTGGCAAAGGTCGCTCTTTCTGCTGATCATCATCCGTGTGGTGCGGTCAGCGCGGCTTCTCAGAAGATGCCCGAGGAAACTTTGAAGCACTGCTTGCCGTTTTCGCCGGAGGACTTGTCGCGATATCTACAGATTCCAGACGAAGAGCTCAACGCGGTGGAGGAGGAAACAGGTGGGGGTGCAGATCTGGATGCAGATCGGTGCACAGCCGACCTGGGGATACTGTCCAAGCACCGGCCAAGCTTGCTTAGACTCTCTCATATCAGCAGCTTTTCAGATTTTTAAAGTTGCAGGCTGGAAGTTGCTCCATGCCGATGTCTTCCGAGCACCCAAGCATCGACTCTTCTTCTGCTCCGCAGCAAGCTTGGACTATCAACTGCCAGATGCTGCTAGCCTGTGGTGGTGATGCCCACCTTCATCTTGTGTACTGCAGAAGTTGGCACTCTCAGGCGATAGGTGCCGGGGCGCAGATGACAAGGCCTGCTCAGAGATGCGAGAGCCGTGTGACACGAGACCAGTAGAATCTTGTATGCCGTCCAGTATGATGATCATGGTCGTGCTCGTCGGATGCATCGGAGCCTACTACCAGCGCGGAGCAGTGGCATCTGCTGCCGTGATCTCTTACATGGCCGCACCCTTGAGCACGATGTGATGGGTGCAGTGAGTCTGGCCTTTTTGAGCTCGGGTGGACCTCTACAAACCTGCAAGGTCACCGCGCTGCTAGGTGGATTTGTGAGCGCCAACCTCTACCAGAAGCTCGGGGGCGAGAAGTGGGCCTGGACCGCTTTTCGTGGCTTGTGGCCTCCTGAAGTCGGAGCTTTTGCCACGCTTTTGCCACGTCTCCTTTCATCCTGAAAGGAACATCTTCATGACGGCCCTCTGCTTCATGGGTCCGGCCTTCTTGATTTGGCCAGGGCCCCCATATCGCATAATGAAAGGGCATGGCCTGAGCTGCGCTGGGGCGACGTGCAGGTCATTCTTGAACACGGTTGCCATCTTTTACGGCTCCACCGCCGCCTTCCCGTTTCCAACCATGTGCGCCTGCAGGGTTGCTGCAGGGTTGTACTGGGTTTTCGGGAGGAGAGGTTTGTTTCTGGGATGTTTTTGTTTTTTTTTTTTTAGGGTTCGGCTCTTGCCGCGATTGCTAATTCTCTATATTTCAGGTTCTCTGATAAGGTATAGATAAACTAGAGGTTTTCCGATTAAATATAGAGAAATAGAGAGAAAACAGAGGTTTTCCGATTAACAAATAGCGAGAATAGAGGTTTCTTATTGAAATATGGAGAGTTAGCTTACGGGGCAAGGGCGAAACTCTAAAAGACATATTCCCCCCGCCGCCGCCCCCCCCCTCCCGCCCCCCCCCCAAAAAAAAAAATTATAGATATATATATATATATATATATAAGAAAAACATGGGGGGAAATAGGTGGTCGACTTCCAAAATAGTTTTCCAGCCTTTGGGGATCCTGACAGGTCATAGTGGGCAGTGTGCTCGGGCCCCTGGCCGAGTGCTTTGGTTCATACGTTTTCGATCGGCCGATTTCGTCTATTGTTGCGGTCCCTATCGTCTCCTGAGAGAAGCAACATTCGGAAAACAGGGGCAACAGTCAGCAAAACAGGCGTCGAAAACAGGGACGCAACAGTCGCAAACGACCACGGCCAAAGTCAACAACACCCAGGCAACAATTCAAAAACACCAGCGCAACAGTCAGCAAACCCAGAGCAGACCAGAACCGCTGGTAAACACGAGCCCGTGCGTCAGAAAGCACGAAACAGCTCAGAGTCGCAAACACGAAAGCCGCAAGTCAACAAACATGGCTTGTTCTTTCAGTCAGTCAATCTCATTACTCTGCATAGCTGAGTGAAGTCTACACTCATAAGAATCCAGCCTTTTCTCTATAGGAAAACCCCTACTTTCCTTACGTTTTGGACGGATGTTCTGTCATTGTCCTTCGGTTTTCGTTGGTTTTTCATAGGGAAAGCCCTATTTTCTTTACATTTTGGACGGATTTCCTGTCATTTCCCTTAGGTTTTCCTTGGTTTTTCCTAGAAAAAACCCTATTTTCCTTACATTTTGGACAGATATCCTGTCATTTCCTTGAGGTTTTCGTTGGTTTTTTCTAAGGAAACCCTATTCTGCTTACATTTTGGACGGATTTCGTCAAACGTAAAAGCCACCCTGCTCGCATGATGGGTGCCAACAAGTTTCTTGGGCTTTGAAGCGCGCTTTGCACGGCGCCCCCCCCCCCCCCCCATTTGCAATAAACACAATGCTCACACGATGTTTTTCAACTAGTTTCTTGGGCTTTGAAGCACGCTTGGTACGGCTTAAAAGAAGCGGGAAGGGGGGGGGGTTGGGGGGGGGGGGCTGCGCCCACTTGCAAACACCCTGCTCACAGGATTGGTCAACTAGTTTCTTGGGCTTTGAAGCACGCTCTGCACGGCTTTAAAAAAAGCGGGGGGTTGGGGGGGGCGCAGCCCCCCCCCCCCCCCTTGCAAACACAATGCTCACACGATGTTTGTTCAACTAGTTTCTTAGGCTTGGAAGCACGCTTGGTACGGTCGAAAAGAAGCGGGGGGGGGGGGTTGGGGGGGGCGCAGTCCCCCCCCACTTGCAAACACCCTGCTCACATGATGGGTGTCAACAAGTTTCTTGGGCTTTGAAGCACGCTCTGCACGGTTTAAAAAAAGCGGGGGGGTTGGGGTGTGAACTTGGGCTTTGAAGCACGCTGCACGGCTTAAAAAAAGCGGGGGGGTTGGGGGGGGCGCAGCCCCCCCCATTTGCAAACACAATGCTCACACGATGTTCTCCAACTAGTTTCTTGGGCTTTGAAGCACGCTTGGTACGGCTTAAAAGAAGCGGGAGGGTATGGGGGGGGGGCGCAGCCCCCCCTTCCCCCCCACTTGCAAACACCCTGCTCACATGATGGGTGCCAACTAGTTTCTTGGGCTTTGAAGCACGCTCTGCACGGCTAAAAAAAAGGGGGGGTTGGGGGGGGGAGCAACCCCCCCCTTTGCAAACACAATGCTCACACGATGTTTTTTCAACTAGTTTCTTGGGCTTTGAAGCACGCTTCCTTTCTTCCTTCCTTGCTTCCTTCCTTCCTTCCTTTCTTCCTTCCTTGCTTCCTTCCTTTCTTCCTTCCTTCCTTTCTTCTTTCCTTCCTTCCTTGGTTTCTTCCATTCTTTCTTCCTTCCTTCCTTGCTTTCTTTCCTTCTTTCCTTCTAAAACCTACAAGAAATAACGCCTTCCTATGAAAATACAGAGGGAATTACGGTTTTTCGTACGAACAACCACGAAAATGCATCAAATCCTTTAAACATATACAGGAATTGTGGTTTTCTTAGGAAAAAACAAGAAAATCGACCAAAAAAAAGACCCCCCCCCCCCCCCCCCCCCCCCCCAAAAAAAAAAAAAAGACCCCCAAAAATAGGCCCTCCTTTTCTAATTGCGGCTTACGGAGCGCTTACTTGATCTGGCGTGTTTTCTGTTGTGGCGGTTTGCTTGCTGACTGCGGCTTCGTGTTTGCTGACCCGTGGCTTTTTCTAATGGTGACTTTTCTAATTGCGGCTTACGGAGCGCTTACTTGACCTGGCGTGTTTTGTTGTGGCGGTTCGCTTGCTCGCTGCGGCTTCGTGTTTGCTGACCCGTGGCTTTTTCCAACGCTGACTTTTCTAATGTGGGAGCCTCTGAAGACTCAAGGGATCATCGCGTCAATGCATTACAACGACCGTACGTTTTCCCTTTCGGATTGCTTGCTTCCGATGGTGGCTTTTGCGTTTTGCGACTGTGGCTTTTTCTAATTCTGAATTTTCTAACTGGGGCAGCGGAGGCGGGCGGCGTATATTTTTTCTTGCTTCCTGCTAGCGGCTTTTTGTTTTTCGACTGCGGCCGTCATGCTTTTTGATTTTTGCCTTGCTGTTGTCCGACAGTGGCCCTCATGTTTCCGACTCCACGTCCTCGTTTTTCGACTGCGGCCTCCATGTTTTCGACTTTGTTTGCTGAATTCGGCGTTGCCCCTAAATTGCCCGGCACCTACGCCCCCACAGACTGCCCACACCACAACTCCACAACGCCACACCAAAACCACAAATCCAGGCCTCCCATACATCCTCTCCCTCACTCCATGACTCCGCGCACCGCACGAACACGCACACCGTAGGACGGGGCGGCTTTTGGGTGATGCCTCGCCGCTGTTTAGAAGAGTGGGCGCCCTCTTTGCGCGGGAGGGGGACCCAAACTTGAGCCCGGTGTAAGAAAAAGAACAGGAGGAGAGAGAGAGAGAGAGAGCGTGCCCGTGTCCTGGGCAGATTGCTGATGTTTGCGATGTGGGCATGCGTGACCTTCCCGCTGACGGTGCTTGGCGGGATTATCGGCGAGACGCTTACCTCAGATCCATGTGGCTGTCTGCAAAGATCGGGGGTTTTGACAGAGCATCCATCGAGGGCGGCATCGGTCACTCAAGCAGGCGCAGGCCATTGGTCATCACAAGTCTTCATGGCTTGTGCACTACTTTCATCATCGTTAGTCTGATTGTGTGAATATGCCAGGCGGAGGGAAGTCCGTTCCCTTGCAAGACGAACAAGCTAGCACGTGAGATTCCGTCATGCCGATGGTGAGCCAACTATTCTCCAACGTTCTGCCCTCTTTTGTACAATTTAGTTCAGCCATGTCCAGGTATCAGAGTCCTGTGACCCAGTTCTTTGCATCCGGCTTTCTGCCTTTCAGTAGCGGCCTGAGCATGCCTGCCAAACTTGGTTAGAGTGTGAAGCACATGTGTGGAGAAGCTGAAGGTATGTGTGTGTGTGTGCGCATGCAAAGGTGCCATTTATATTGAGCTGCACTACATCTTTAACTCTGTCTGCGGCTCAGCTCTGCCTGGAGGTCTCTGCTTTGCTGCTGTGCATTGAGCTGCGCGCTCTTGCATCGAGCATTCGACCGCAAGGTCTGGGGCCCTCGGATATACTTCCTCTATGGCCTTGACCCTACACACAAGGGGAAGGGCTTCTGGGCCCGTGCCAGCATAAATCCTCTAGTTGCCATCGGAAGATGTGCGACGGGTGGGAATGTTTGGATTGTATTCTCAGGGATCCTGCTCCTGGCCTTTACCATGCTGCTGCTAGTGGCGGGGACAGCCTGAGCCTCAACACCCGTCTGCCAGAGCGTCCCGAACGAGATCGAACGTGAGGTGACAGTGCTGTTCACCTACTTCCACCTCAATGCAGAGGTCGGGGCATCCCCCCGATTCCCCCGCATGCCCCTGTTGACGGCCGAAGAGCAAGAGCCAGTGCAGAACCCGAAGAGTGGAGAGATGCGAAGAGTCTGGCGCGGCGGTGCTCGCAAGACGATCTTGCATGTATGTACATAAAGATGTCTGAAGGACCACCGCTGGTGGTGGAGATCGTTTGGTATGGCGCCGAGACAGTACTCCTGCGTTGTAGCGGTAGACCTTGGCCTAAACTCAATCTTGAAGGTTCTGGTGTGGCAGTCTCGGTGTTCTTCTACCTGTGCCTCCTTGTTGTTGGGACTGGGCATGACCGCAAAGTCCCGTTCGCATTCTTACAGCCACTGGCAACTCTGGTGTGAGGTACTGCGTGTACTTCTTCCTGCAGACAGGGATGAATGGCTTCCTTCAGTGCGGCGCTTGGTGAGCACTCGTTGTCAAGTTCCTGAAGCTTTGTCGCGGAGTTCTCTGCTTCTGCTTTTTTGAAGCGCTTTGTGACTCAGGTGTTCTTTCTTCTTTCTATACTCGCTCCTGGCAGCCCATGGCATTGCACTGATGCTTGGCTGTGCCCGGGCCCTGGTGCACGTTTGCTGTGAGCGTAGGCGAGAACTGTTACACACACTGCTCTGCTGTTGACAGGTCTCCTTTTACTGTTCGTACTTCTTTGTGATCTACATCTACTCTAGGATTAAGGCGACTGCATGCATCAGCTTTGTTCTTGTGGTAGAGCCTCGGCATCAAGTACACGTCCAAAAAGCAGTTGCTCACCTTGGTTCTCTTACTTCCTGGCTCAAGCTGCATTGCAGCTGCGTTGCGCACCAGAGCAAAAGCTTTGAAGTGCTCGATCGTATGGTCCGGGCAAGAGACATTGACGTTCGCGAAGCTTGGCACATCTGTACCAGGGTGCTCTGCGATCCAAACTTGGCCTGCATTGGACCTGATCAGCTCAGGATTTGGAGCTCCAGAGCGAAGGGCAAGCTCTCTGTGCATTGGATCACGGCGGCATCGCGGCTGCCGTAGAGAGGCTTAAGTTCTCCAACAATCACGTGGCATCTCGTTTTGCGCTGGCTTGTGTCTAAGTGCTGTTGTCTGAGCAGGCTGACGCACAACGTGCTGCGGGCAGTCTTCGACGTGGTTGCGAGTGCAAACTCCGAGGAGGCCTGCCAGAAGGCACGTTGTGTCTAGAGTGGACTTGCAGACAGCAAGCCAAAACGCAACTGCACCGCTTGTGTACTGTCTGTTGAATCTGTTGAAATGCAGGCAGGGCGACATATCGACCCCAAGGCACGGCTGCCTGCGGCAATCCTGCTGACGGAGCCCTGCCATTCGTTGATCCAGGCTGGACTCAGGGATCACACGAGCCCTCAAGCGCCTCGTGTTCCTTTGTCACCAGGAAGATGGCGACTTCAACGCAGCGACTGACCGCAAGCATCGTTTGACCTTGGCGCCTCGCAACCTTCGACGCGTAGCCCGCTTGTTTGCTGCTCTGGACAATGTGCACAGGCTGAACAAAGTGGGAAACCCAGCTTGCGGCGGGGCGTCAGATCACACGTGTCGGATGGTAAACCAGGGCTGTGCCCAACAGATGGTCCCCTACCCATAGAGCTCCCACATTCTCATGCAGCCAAAACTGCCCTCTTGCTAGCTGCTAGTACTACTGTTGTTCGGCAGCCAAAGCTTTACAGCACCCCTCTCTCCATGGGCCTTTGCAACAGAGCCTCTTCTCAAGATCACTCCTCAAGGTCTGGTCAGCTCTTGCCCTCTCATCGAAAGTTCGCTCTAAATCCCCTTGGGTCTATCATGGCTTGGCTTCAAACGTTTGATGTTAAGGCCTTTTTAAAGGTTTGCTTATGTGACCCCCTAAGGCTGGTCGAACAGCTACTCAGCGCGAGCTCTTCTACCGTGTTGTAGCAGAGGGCAGTGGCTTGTTCAGTTCCCAGCAAATCATGGACCGAGCGATGCGCGATGCAGTTGGGGCATTACGAATTGGACGACCCCATTTAGGTATTCTGACGACGGAAAAGGGTCTCTTGGCCGGCGAAATTTCCTTCAGCCACGACAATTGCATTTCCGTGGCAGCGCAGGGATCTACAGGAACGTCCATCGGAGAGTCGATGCTGGATCACCAGACGAATTTTCATGTTGGCGAGCGTGCGCAGATTGTCTTAGTTGTTGAGAAGGACACTGTTTTTCAGCACTTGCTGCAAAGCAAACTGCTTGCAGCTCTTCCGCTCGTCCTAGTGACTGGAAGGGGCTATCCCGATGTGCTCACGAGACGCTTCCTTCAGAAGCTCTACAGGGTGGCTCCTCATTTGACACAGGTATACCTCGGCGACTTTGATCCCGATGGTGTGGCAATCTTCTTACTTTACCGCAGAAGCTGCAGTCATCTGCGCTGGTTGGGGCTTCACGAGCCAGATGTGAGCAAGCTGCCATCAGAAGCGTGCATTCCGCTCACAAAGCGCGACAAAGCACTGCAGCAGTCGCTGCTCAGGAAGCCAGAGGTGCAAGCCGTTGCGGGGCTTGTTGAACAAATCGTGTCCATGAAGTGCAAGGCTGGTGATCTTTCTTTGAGCAGAGCTGCACATGTACAGTAGTATTTAGTAGGGTGCAAGATGCACTTCGTGGCAGCGTCCTGACCAGGCAGAGATTGAAGCCTTGCATGCTGCCGCTGCAGGGGATGGGATGGCGCTGGACTACGTTGCAGTGAAGATTCGCGAGCAAGCCTGGATCTAGTCCAAGCTTGACGATGTGCTGGACACATCGATAATGGCATGATTGCATCTAGTCTGACATGTTTGGAGTCGCTTCTTTGCTGGGTTGGGGCCTGAAGCGCAGAAAAAACAGCCTGTTGCTTTGCTTTGCTTTTGGTTCTGTTGTCATGCTCTACTGTGCCTCGGCACCCGCACTGCATTGGCAATTGCGGCATGCAGGCTGAATGAAGTCACGGCCTTGGGATTTGGTGTCTGCAGATGGTCTGCGGATCGGTGCAGCGACGGCTCATGCCAAGGCCACACGTGCAGCAATCCTGAGTTTCTAGCCGGCGCGGCTAGATACCTGCAATTGCGAGCTGCATCCAACTGCCAACGAAAGACCTAACACAAGGACATGCACAAACTAGTCACTAACCATTCTTGAAGTTCATTACAGCCTCGTTGCGTTGGCAGCGCTGCAGCTGGCGAGAGCCTAGAGTGACGTGCAGAACTCTGTGTGTCGCTCGGCTCAGGTGTTTTCCAGAACACTGTGCAGCAAATGTCACGGAAATGTATCGGCCCGTGCTTCTAGAGTGAGTCAGGCCTGTGCCATATGTTGGCTTTGGCGGTCGCTGAAACGCGGAGTCCTGGACTGTCCGCCTAAAAAGGCTTGTCAAAGCCGCAGAACGCGTCAGCTCAGAACCTGGGCTGAACCGCGGATAACCGCAGTATGTCGCCAAGAGTCACTAGCCACACAAGTGGCGCCCCGGAAATTTCATCCAGTGCAACCACGGCGCAGTTGCAGGGATGTCTCGAGCACTTCGTTGAAGTGACGGCGCTTGAGTGATTCGGTTGGCAAAAGAAGCGTGACGAGCCATGCATAACCCGAGAGCAACTTGTGGTTAGTTAGTTTGTTTGTTGTGGTCTGATTCAACCAATGGCGGCCGTAGCGCTGCACTATACCGAACAAGGCATCGAAGCAACAAGCACGCGAATGCTTGTCAACAAAGGCTTCAGTACGCGCCATCAACGTGACAGCATTGGTTCTGGATCTAGTGCGGCATCGGTTAGCAAACCTTTTCGACGCATTCAGATTGAGATGGATGCCACTGCTGAAAGCGCCAATGAGGCCAGTGCTGCAGAGCATTGGGCGGTGTCATTTTTTTGTGGCGGTTCTTTGACTACCTTTCTTGAGGTGACAGATTCCGAGCAGTGGCTGCAAACCCAGATCTTCCCCAACACCGGTCAGCACCAGTTTTGATAAGTTATGCAGAGCAAGCCTCACGAAGGTGCAGCAACTTCGTGTTCAAGGGTCGTTGCTGTCGTGCCAACTGCCGCTTTGCTCACGACGAGTCTGGAAGGCCAGGCATCGAGAATTGATGTTTTGCAACATGGAAGACCGGGTCATAGGCTCGCAGTCTGAGCGGGCAGTTGCCCGAACCCCTCCATATCCAGCGTGACACAGGAGAGAACACGACTCCAAAGATAGAAATCAGGCCGCCCCCTCGGTTTGGCCCCCCGGATTCGCTATCTACCCCCCCTGATCCCAAATGTTAAGCAAGAACAAGTGGTTTGTTTAAGGCCAAGAGATGCCAAGAGGGAAGACAAACCAGGATACGCCAGGGTCAGAATCGGAGTGCAGTGCGGCCGCTGAAGCGCGCCTGGGGGAATCGGGATGGAGTGGGGTGAAGTTGGGTGAAGGAGCTGGGAGGTTGAGGGGGTGGAGATACTTGCAAAATTCTCTTGTCCGCATCCCTGTGGTGACAGGCAGAAGGTCTTGGCAGACAGGGCGCGCGCAGCGCAGATGAGACAGGTCTCCAGATCTTCGGCCAGCAGTGTGAGGCGAGGTCGGTTACTGTCTCCATCATTTGGCTTGAGGCTGTTTTGATTTAGCATCCTGCTGCTTTCTTTGTGCCTGCAGGCCCTCAGATGTTCCATCTGCTCCTCAGGCGTCGGTGATATCTGACTAAGCTTCTTGTGCTTCTCCGCAAGGGTCACATGGGTGTTGGTCTAAGGTGATCCTTGCTTGGGAATTCCTCAAACGTTCCGCCACTACGCAAACGCGCGCCGAAGAGAACCCTGCACAGCTGGGAAGGGCAAATTACGTGGCAGGGGCAGTATTTCGAAGGTCTGAGTTTATTTGCATGGCTGATCGGACCGAAATCCAAGGAAAAATTGACTAAATTGCGCTGGGGCCTAGGTTTGGGCGACGTTAGGGCGGTCATGAACCGAGGTTTTGACATGTACGTAATCATCGTGCGGCCATGGAAGTTCTGGGAAATCGCACGCAGTGGTGACATGTACGTAATCATCGTGCGGCCATGGATGCTCTGGCCAATCACGCGCACTGGTAACACGGACGTAATTATGGTGCGGGCATGGATGCTCTGGCCAATCGCACGTCGTGCGGCCATGGATGCTCTGGGCAAGCCCGGTGAGTGGCGAAAAACGCGACAGGCGTGTGGTTTCTGTGTGCAAAGCACCGAAAACACTGTAAATACCGATGCGGCCAGGGCGTCCTCCGCGCGCGTTTACGTAGCGGTGGAGCCTCAAACAACATGGTAACATGGTCATTTGCAAGCTTGTGTGGTACGAAAGTCCGCGACGGCCTTCGCGAAAGTAGAATTCGATTTCGTTAAAGTGTGACGTCGTGACCCGTGCTTTCCGTAGGCTTTGTTGTGTTGCTAGATGCTTTGCATGCTCAAACATATGCCTGCCGAGTTTTGAACCCTCCTGAATAAGATGAAGCTAACACAGTACGTGTGAACGGATCGCACCCACGTGAGGATCCGTTTCAACCGATATCAGTAGTTGCATCGCTTGAAGATGCCCTTGCAAAAGTCCCGCGATGGTTCTGCGAAAGTTACGCACGGGTCCACGAAGGAAGCCTGGCTTCCGCGCGAAACTGCATGTAAGCCTAGTGAGACTGCGATTGCAAAGCAGCTTCTGCTAGGGATGAAAGTTTTCGTTTTGGGCAGGGACACTGTTTGTGACATTAATCAGACCTAAGCGCGGCTTTCTGACAGAAGCAGCATTGTGCAGAGACATATACATGGGTACGCGACTTCTTGTTGCTTCAGTTCTTGAGTGGCTACGGTCGGAATTTTGCTTCGGACAGGGAATGCCAGCCAGCATGCGCTTCTTATTGGGGGGCGAGCTATGCCCCCAGCACGCGCCAGGGCATGGAAATGGATACGAATTACTTTCAACTCTTTTGCATTTCTGCTTCAGAGTCTTTGGGAGCTGTTGTGACAGGTCGGTTCGCTCCCATCCGTACCTGAAGAAGGCGTGGGCTCGGAGGCATCATGATGACATGTCGATGAGGCATGCAGACATGTAGCAGGCTTTGCAAGACAACTCCAAACTTTGTGAGAGCACGATGCAAAGGACTCTCGCATCCAATCGGGCCATGTTGGAACGTAGCGCCAAAACATGATCAGTGGACATATATTCTTGCAGACGCAGACACAGCAAATCGAAAAGATCCCCCGGTCGCAAAGACACACTGTTGAAACAGGGGACTCTGCAAAGTCCATCCCGACACGCAAAAGCTGCTGGAAGAGATCTCCGGGTTCCGGGTCAAATCTTGGAAGACCGAAGAATCCACAGAGGCTAAGGGCTACGCCAAAGTCCCGAAGTCTAAGGCCCTCCGGCCGTATAGGTATATACATATATGTATACACCCACATAAGTATATCTTATGTGCATCAGTGCACACGCACACACATATGCACGCCAGTGCGAGTAGCGAGAGGGTGCAGATCCATGGCAGTTTGCGGCAATGCCCTGGCTTCAGCAGCTGTTGGCCTCGCCGGGTGCCCAGCCGGCTTTGGCCAGCACGTGCTTGCGACGGTTGCGACGGGCCACGCAGAGGCCCGCCTGCCACAAGCTCTTCCATGTCCAGGGCAAGCGCTTACGGAAGGAGCTCACGGAGGCCCCGCAGCGGAGTTGGGGAGACGAGATGAGTCGAGAGATGAGTCGAGAGCCGCAATTGAAAGCCCGCGGAGCCGCTGAGCTGCTGAGAGGCCATGGGCCTTCTGCATGCGTGTGAGCGCGCCTTGAAGAAGCTTGCGAAGGCAACTCTGCAACGCTGTCTCATTCAGTGTCGCAATTTCGTGTCACACGTTTTTGGCGGTGCCAGGATGCTGTGTGCGAAGGCAGTGAAGGCAAGCTATGCTGGAAGCGCGAAAGACATTGCTTGTGCCATACGTGGGGTGAGTTGGTGACGCCCCAGGCCACTCAGGCCACCCGGCCACTATCGTCGATTTGTGTTCCGGAAAGGGCTTTGGCAGTTTGGCAACGCCCTCAGTTGACAGAATGGGAAATCGAAAGCAAGCCATCGGCGTTTTTGCGGCATCGTCTGAAACTGGCTTCGACGCCATTGTGGCATCAAACGGCACCATCAACAACACGCGTTGATGTCAATCCAGGGTGGGACAGCCGCTCAGCCGCTCATGCTCAGGTGCTGGCATGCTCGTTCCCCGACTCGCAAGTCATTGCCGTTGACCAGAATCCAAACATGGACTCGCTTCGATGTTTGGTCCTATAGAATCTATAGATTCCTGGAGCTTTCTGATCTTGGTCTTAAGCTCCGGGAGAGGACCTGGCGCACTTCAGCATCTGCTCCAACCTTGCCTTCCGAGAGATGAACCTGGAGTTGGCCCCAGAAGGGTTTCGGCACAGTTTCCGCCTTCGAATTCTTACGTAAGCTTAGATACTTCGGGGGGGGCTTAGCCGGTTTTCCTTCCCTGGATTCGTTGAGGAATCGGCCAGCATGACCAGCGGACTGGCGCAGATCTCAGCTGTTTCAAGTGTAGACTTAAGAGACTTAAGAGGAAGAGAGGATACAAAGCCCAAGGTAGCTGCTTTGCAACGTAGGTTGACATGCTGGCATCACGCCCTTCCGGGCCGGAACCCCGCTCCAGGGGCTTCGGGAGAATTGTGGAATGCAAAGAATGCAAATGGCTGCTGTGGAATGTGCCCCCCCCCCCCCCTCCCAGGCTAGTGCTGCTCGTGGGTGTCCACCTTTGCGGCATGCTGTCCATCCATGCTGCGCGGCTGTTCCGGCAGGCCATGCGATCACAAGGGTGTCAGGAAGATCGGATTCAAGGGATCCTTACGGTCTTGGCAGGTTCCTGGGCCCGCTGCTTTCGTCCTTGCGCCCTGCTGCTTGGACAAGCGACTTCCAGGCCTGCTAAATCCGATTAACTCCTGCTAACCATCGGGCAGCCTTCAGCGGACAGATCTGATACAGCGGATGAGAGCTGCATCGAGACATCGGTAGATGACAGATTACATGATCACCAGGCATCAAGCAGCGCGCAAAGCAACTGGGTATAGACCCCTATGTCTACTGGTGCTTGAAGTTGCTCATCGAGGAGACTTTAGACGACCTTGCCATTCATGGACATGTAAGAGGTGAATCGAGGCGAGAGAACCCTGGCAATCAGTTCTCTAAGCAGTTTGCAGTCCCGACATGTCGAATCTAATATGGGCCACATTGATGGCAACTCAGAAGCATATTGGAAGCCAGAAGGCATCAGAAGGCTATCCAATCCTACCATGTCCTGTAGGGTGCAGCTCCGGCCTCACACAGCACTAGATCACCCAGAATCCTCACAGCCGTATGTAAGTTTAGGGTTTGGGCTGACGTGGACTGCTGCCCAAACTCGAAGTTGAAACATTTGTTTTTGGACTTTGTGTGGCGTTTTCGAAGTAGTTTCCTGGTGATATGCTGGGCGGATAAGAGCCAGGAGTCTGTTAACTCCCTTGCGAGGAGGTGCCTGCTACCTGCAGCGGGGAGCTGAGCATCGGGGTCCCCTGAACCCTCAAGGTGGGGGGGGTGGGGGGGGGGGCAGGGTTTCTGCACGGCTCTTGAGGACGCGAGCTGTTCCAGGACGATGACATGCAGACGACATGCAATTCCTTCGTGCTGGGCCTGAAGCCCTGATCTTCCCCACGACCTCCCTCCTGGGCAACATGCGACACATGGCTGGGGTCCGAGAACGTCTTGGCTGCTGTTCCAATCCATTGGCGGAGCATTGTGGAACCATGAGAGGCCATGTGGAGCCACCTTGCGACTTTGCAGAAACGGCGCTCGCCTGGCAGATCCTGGTGTGAAGAGTGCACTGGCAACACGGCATCTGACTGACTGTGAAGATGCTTGGACGAGCTCTCTCTGCCCTCTTTCGGCTGCTCTCCGCTCCATTCGGGCCTTCCCTGCAGCTGCATCTGGGAAAGGCTGGTCAGAGCCTTCTCACAGCGGCAGTGTCTTTGGTTGTCGCATGCTGGGTTTTCCGTGCTCAAGAAAATGGTGGAGGAAGCTTTGGTCGACCTATTTTGTTTGGCATCTTGGTCGATGGACGTTGATCCTGTTGATCAGGTTGGCAAAATGCCGTGTCCAAGGCCAATTCAGCACCCTCAATGCAGCCAGGTGAGGTGAGGCAATGCGCTTGTCGGGAAGAGCTGACCGAAGCTACCTTGGGCAACTGGCAGGCCGCGCGCCAAAAACTGTGTTGTCGACATTTTCGTTTCCATTGCGCTGCCGGCTGACAGGCAGCATGGCTGAATGTGTCTGAATGTGCCAGCACTTGCGGACTCAGCCTCGTCAGCCCGAGCATTGCCTCAACAGTGTGTGACGTGACATTACTATTACACACCATAAGTTGATGCATCTTGTATTCATCCATATTGGTGGCACGAGGAGGCTAGCACACACGCACATGTTCTACAAAGGGTTGGCTTGGAGCTTCTTAGGACAGAGCGCATAGTGCATGAGGTTGATGGCCAAAAGAACCATTATGGGTAGCCATGCCGTCGGGAGAAGAAGGCAAGCAGTGGATATCTGGGCCCAGGATTAGTGGCAGTTGTTGGCATGCAGAATTCGTTGTGCAGTGCAGAGGCTGGGCTGCGGATCCTGCAGATGCGCTTCTTACTGTGGAAGGAGCGAAGGTCAACCCCGAAGGGGCACTGGAGAAGAGCTCCTATGCTACTCGGCACTGCTTTTTGGCCTTGGGAAGCTTCGGCTTGTTCTCGGTCGGCTTGTTCTCGGCTCGTTTCTGACACAAAGGTGGGTGAGTGTCGGTTTTGCAACATTGCTTCACACGTTCCCTGAGCAGGGACTCTGCATCTAGAAGACTTGTAGTTGAGGCCAATGTTAGTCCATAAAGTTGTACCATACATCAGCCAGGCCCAGTTTGTGGCCGTTTACAGCGGTGAGCCGGTGGACAGGCCATGACATGGCGCTCGTACAGTAGAGTGCGGGGTTATACAGCACCACTCACGCTTGTCGTTCCTCCGTGTGGCTTCTGCGAGGAGTTTGCAGCCGCTGCCAAAGCAGCCTGGCCTTCGCAGCGAAAGTGAGGCGTGAGGGAGGTTTAGGCGTAGCAGAAGGCTCTTTGAAAATTTCAAGTTTCACATGCTATCCTGGTATTACGCGTCTTGTTTGCGTCTTATGTGCGAGGTGTCCAGCCTGAAGGACCTGCGCTTCTGGGTGGACGAGCCGCTTTGCATAATGTGCCTGAGGGGCCATACAGTACGTATCCTTTCTTGCACCCTTTGCTCCTGCAAAGCTTCTTGCTACAGGGCAGGTAGTGGTTGACTTGAGCAACCATGTTCAGTCTCCGTCCTTCAGAAGCTGCCAGTGTAGCGATGACTCCAAGGAGAGGAGCCGGGTGGGTTGCAAACATGGGAGGCCTCGGAGTCTGCCCGTGCGATGTCTTGGTAGAACAGCAGCAGTCGCAAACAATCTGTTGGCGCTTGTCAAGCCCTCCGCGGGGATGTGTTTGGTCTGTAGTGCTGGCGTGGGCAAGCCTCTTGTGGGAGAGGTAAAAGTGCTTGGTTCAGCATCAAAAAGTGGCCGGCTGAGTTGCAGAAGATGGTCAGCCGTTCTTTTGCGATGGGTATGTGCCAAGCGTGCACATGAAGAGCACATCAGCCATCCTTCCTTTGGCTGTGGTGTGGTGCTGTGACCTGTGGCTGTCACTATACGGTGAAGCCAGTGAAGCACTGTACGGTGAAGCCGAGGTGGGGATCGTGGCGACTCGCCCACCTGCTTGCACGACTACAACGTGACGTATGGGCCAGTCGGGATCTCAGACCCAGCGTTGACACGGAGAGCAAGCACACCCATGAGTTGATGTTGCTCCGTGAAATACTGCGGAGCTTTGAGCAAAGACCGACGCGCTGTGCCAGCGCCCGCCGGGTCTGCAGTCAAGACCTCAGATGCCTCACACGTAATCTCATGGTATCTCATGTACTGCACGGTCCAAGGACGTACGTATCCTCTTTCTGCCAGGACCCCAAGCCCAAAGGAGTTGGCCGAGGAAGTGGCAGGCCAAAGAAATGCCTGGAACCCACAGCGAAGGCCGGAAAACGCTGCTTGCATCTCGGTACTCAGATGGATCGCCTTAAAGAGAACCTGACTCCGACTGACTCCCCTAATCTCGGCTACCCTCTGAAGCAGGGACTGCTGAGGGCTCGGCACCTGTCGGGCTCAAGGTCACTGAGGGCCGTCCATTTAAACTGCATTACATTATGAATTATGACGCAGCAAAAGGAGAGTCGGCCTCATGACCTGATTGGGACACAACCATACAGGAATCGACATCCCCAAATTACTTGTAGGGCTTAAGCGGCTATTGTTGCCGGTCTGGGAGCTCTTGAATTCGCCTTTGTGCTAATGGCAGATGGCAGTGCTGTAGAACGCAGGAGCTGCGACTGCGAATATATCCGCAGTCTGCAGACCACCTTCGCTGGCAGCTGATGCCCAAGCTCATCGCAGCTGCTTCAGAGTCTGCTTTCTTCGAGGAAACCTGTGCGTTGCCGACGGCTGCCGCAGGCTGGCGTTCGACGGGGCCACGCCGATCCGGAGACTTTCTCACGAGCTTCAAGGACTCCAAGGACACTCCAGACTGGTTCAAGGATCCAGACAAGTTCTCGCCATGGACCTGGCGGAAGCAGCACAACTATTTTCTCGACCGCGGCGCAAAGTTTATGATGGTGTACAAGACGCCCACTATCGTAAGCACGGATTTGTTTGACTTGGAGAAGTATGGCTGCTTTCAAGTTCGCGGATTCCAAGGCGGAGAAGGCCTCGGCTACTTTGCCAAAGCTGCCGCGAGTGCAGTAGGCATGAAGCAGGAACACTTGAAAAAGTGGTGGATCCATCCACGGATAGAGTTCTCATCTCCGGTGTCGCGCATTGGCGTGCGTCTTCAAGATATGACCACTGGCGAGCTGAGGTGGGACGCAATCTACGACTTGGGCAAAGCTGCCTGGAAAAGGCAGCAGCCTGGGGAGAAGGCGAGCTGCTCCAAAGACGGGTGGCACCTGTGTGAGGATGAGGAACCGGTGGGCGGTGAACACCCCTTCTTCCTACCGGACTGGTGTCCTGGCCCGAACGATGGCATGTCCCACAAGTACCTTCTCACTGTGAGCAATCTGAGTTCACGCGATTCGCCCGAGCAGCCCTTGGTCGGAGAGATGCTCTTCACACAGTATGGGATCAACCAGTTGGACAACACGTATGCCTTCGAAATGCATGCGCCGCTGAATGCGAAGGATCAAGCTCGTTTCAACGAGATCCAAGGCTCACGCAAGAAGGACGCCATCTCCAGGATAACTGGCCGCACAGGCATGCCCGAGGGCATGGCGATGGATCTGGCTCGTGGCAAGGTCCCGAAGAAGCTGGACACACTGAAAAAGGCCAAGAACTTCAAGCCACCCAAAGATGCAAGCGCTGCAGGCTTCGCAAAGAGCAAGATGGGCAACAGCTCGTATGGCAAGATGCTGGACAACAAAGACTTTGCCAAAACTTTGGCTTGAGGGGCTGGGGCGCCCGGCGCCACTGCTCTCTTGACCGGAAACCAGAACCCAAACCATTCCAAACCTGTCAGACGTGTAACAAGAAAGGGTGCTCTGCTGCGCCCAAGTGGCAAAAAACAGGCCGACTGCATGCCAGCATGCCAACACTGGAAGGACATGCTTCCTGCTTGCCTGACTGACAAGATGAGATCGAAGGTCCAAAACCCCACCAATAGCCTCCAAAGGCCCTCTGTGGTCTGATCTCTCGCGCATTTTTCCGTTCAGGACGCCAAGGCCAAGGGAATGGCTCGAGGACGGCCAAAGAAATGCCTGGAGCCCGCCAAAAAGGCCGGAAGCGCTGCGTACTTGTAGCTAACTTCTGCCTCAGCTCTGGCAACCAGATGTTGGCATACTGTAAGAGGTGCCCGAGAAGAAGGCATGGTTACCTCGTACTGCGAGTTGCGGACTTACGCGCCTCTTTCATTGATGCTTCTGAGGCTGAGGCGTCCGAGAGTGTACCTCCTGAAAAGTCCGTCAATGGTTCCACATCAGATGCCACGGTGCTGCACCCAGTATGCAAGAGCACGTGCATGGTGCATCACTCTGACAATCATGAGTTCAGACTAGCATAGCGGTGCATGCGGTGGCTGGCTTGTGCAGATGCGCACAGAGCCCTTGCTCAGTGCCGGGCGCTTGGCCTTCAAAACGTAGCAGCTGTGACGGCAGCTGTGTTTTGGGACATGCATGCTCGTCTCGATGGTCATACATAGTGTGCCAACATGGCAAGGGCCAGTCAAAGAGAAGCGCTGAGGCTAGTCACTTCCTGCGAGTTTTTGGCAGCACTTTTGCGACACTCTTCGCAGTGTTTTCGTTTACTCGTCCAGGCTGCCTTTGGAAGCAAGAGGCCAGGGCATGCTTCCGCTGGGGCCTTGGCTGTGGGCTTTCCTTGCAGTCGCCAGCAGCACATACGAGGCAGTGTGAGCAACAGTCCTTCAAGTGTGCTGTGTGTGGGTTTCTACCAACTGGGGGTGGGAATTGTCTACCTCGTCCCTCTCTTGTGTGAACTTACACGGAAGTGATGCCGACCGGAACAAAAGGCAACCTGCAGCCTAGATCAGCTGCATACCGTATCACGCCTCACTCTGACTCTGCGCGCCACCTTGGGAATCCCTGCCACTGAGCCTTTCCATATTGTCAATATCCAAGGCAGCTTCGACCACGGCTGGCGCAGCCAATGGCGCAGCCAATGGCGCAGCCAATGGCGCAGCCAATGGCGCAGCCAGGCGCAGCCACGGCTCCCTCACCAGCTCGGCAGTGACAGTTCTGCGACGGAGGACGCCGACTCGTGCAGAGCTCCATGAGATGGCTGCCTCCAACCGTTTGGCGGACTTCGCGCCTGGGCGTGGACATGCGTGGACACATTTGTAGCAAGAAACATTTGAGGACGATCGGTGTGATTGCAGACTTCTAGTATTTCCGTGCGAACTTGGCACGGGAGACTACGAGCCGCAGAAGTCGCAGCCATGGTGCGTCAGAGGTTTTTGCGCCGTTCAGGTTCGTGCAAAGAAGTGGCCCTTCATCTTGTCCCCGGCTTGGGAGGCGCTGGCTGTTGCTGCGTCCACGCTGCGTCTTTCTCGTATTTTCTGCCACTGATCTTCGGCACAGGGCCAGCGCTGGACGAAGCTGCTGGAAGATGTTGCCAAGGGCGAGCTGTCGCCAACAAGATTGGCCGACGAGGTGGCGCAAAAGCTGCAGAGGCAGCTCGGAAGCGCTCTAGCGACCACTGAATGGGTCTCTACCACATGGATGCGCGAGGCAGGCATCGGGAGAGAAGCTCTCGACAAGTCGGAGTTTGCCTCAGATCTTGATGGTCAGCCGCATCTGACACGAGCAGCCAAGCAGCTCCGACGGTCTTGACATCTGTGCTGAAGTTGCTAGGCTTCAAAGGAAACAGCGGCTGGCTGACGAGAAAGACCGCTCCCGTCGCGAGGCAAATTCGGCAAGCAAGCATGCAACGGCTGTTAATGTGTCAAGCGTGTCTGGATGGAGACCCACAGGCAGAACGCATCGAGTCGCTCAAGTCTGATACATCTCGATCTCACGCAGCGTGGCAGGCGGATGTAGTTTGTCAGACGAAGTTTCAATTTGCGCAGAAGGGGGGTCATCCTCTGCCAATGCTTAGTATTGAGTACGAGAACTAACTCTTTTGCAGCTTAAGAGGAGCTTCGTCACTTCTTGACGAATGCCTTTTTGTTTGCTCCATGGAGGTTCCTGGCTGCACTTGCGGGCATCCCATACACACGGAAAGGTGCTCTGGCTTGCAGCAGTGACAGCATCAGAGCCCTTGAAAAGCATAAGGGCACTGCTAGACTGGACACAATCTTGTTACGTGCAATCACCCTCACTTAGCTTTAACCTCAGGTGCAAGCTCTTTCGCCCGCATGCAGCTGCTGAGGCTCTTTGGACAGATTCGCATGAACGGAATCATCACGTGTTTCCCGAAGGGGGTCACCAGGTTTCTTTCCTCTGCGTTGTTCTTATTGTGTATGTTCGAATGTTCGGCTAACTTTTTTAACAGCTCCCTTGCACTTGGCCGTTGACAGTTTTGCGAAGTGCTCCAGATATGTCAATGTGGACCGGGAATACTGTCTGTCCTCGTCAGAGATTGCATGCCCGGATGTTACTTCCAGTATCGATGGATGTATCGCACCGACAGAAGAAGCAAGTTGAAGATTGAAGGGGATCTAGAGCCTTCGAGTGGATTATTCGTTGTCAGCTGAACCCTAGTCAGAATTAAGTTTGCAAGCGCTGTTAAGTTGAATTCCGGGCCAGCCGAATAAGCCCAATGCATGCAACACGGGAAAGGGATTAGGCATAGGGCCATGCCCACTACACGCCGGGCTCGGTTTTTGCGTCTCGCTGTGACTCCGAATCGTGATCAAATCCCATGGCCTGGATCCTGTTGCATTTAGGGTTTAGGGTTTAAAGTTTAGGGTTCAGGGTCAGGGTTTAGGGTTTAGGGTATGCCGTTTGCGCGTGGGGCAGTGGCTCGAGGCTTTTGCGCATGTTCTGCTCGATGTTGCGCTCCTGAATGCACGCAGTGCGTCTTGTTTGCTTCTCGAAACTCATGGTAGCAAATCCCCGGGGTCTTACCCGCTGTTTTCGGTAGAGTTCAGAGAGTGACTTAAGTATTGAAAGTTGGATCAAGGCGGAGTATGGTTAGTAGAACTATAGGCAAGCTGCCAGATTTCTCTATGGAGCGTTCTGATTAAGTGTTGGGTACATGTAAGGACGTAAGTGCGCAAACTTTACTCGAGTCACAATGCTAAGCGGGAGAGCGACTGAGAGGTGGGTGCGCGTGTGCGTTTTCTGAGATGTCTCTTCTTGCACCATGCCAAGCATCTTTGCTACGATGGAAGCTCTTAGGTTTGCAATGTTGGGCAAAGATGCAAGTAACCGCAAGTAACCCCCTGGCCCTGCCAGAAGCACACTCCGCGTCATCCAGGCAAGAGTCTGTCTCCCACGAGATGCATTTGCACCGCAAGATGAGAGACAGATGAGACACTTGTGCATGAGCATGTCGATGGTGACTTGTGCAGTTCACATGTCGCATGCTGCCCACAAGAGCAGAACATGGAGAGCAGCCCTCGCATCTACGCGCCTTTCGAATGCATCAGCGCGCAGGCCAGCATGAGCATCAGCAGCGGGAGCAGAGGGAGCCGAAGCGGGAGCCGCAGCCGCTGCGAATGTCGCAGTGGGCAGCAAACGAGGCGCACGGGAGCCAACTAACTACACCGCCCTGTTTGGCGGCTTCCAAACCTAGAAGCTCGTGGCCAGGTTTCTATGTTAGCAGCCGAGATTGCCTCGCAACCGCCTGCTGAGCACAAAGTGCTTTGGAAGAAGGCAATGCTGAGGCCGTGCTGAAGACTTCTGAAGCAAAGGGTTTCGTGGTGCTTGAATGGCGTCCCTTTCAAGCACCATCTGGAGACAACTTGCTGGTGCAGGGCAGTCACGAACGTCGTTTAGTTACAATTTACTATCAGACCCCTCCTGGTCTCTCTCTTCCTCTTTTGTTTTTGTCATCTTTTGTGTGTTTTTTTTTCTCTCGCTCGTCGCAGCAGCGATGTCCGGGTCGTCTTGAGTGTCGCCAGGGAGCATCCTACCAGGTATTTGGTATTTCAATTTTCAAGCGCAGGCTGTGGGCGGTTTTTAGTCAAAGCCGGTACCCGGTAGCCGCTTTCTGGTATGCTGCGCCCGGAGGTACCATCCAGACAAGCGGCACGACGCCCAGGGCCCGGCCACGGACGGGCAGCTCGCAGAGGCCAGTTCACATCGGTGCGATGGCACTCAGTTCATATATATATATATACATAATACGTATATATATATATATATATATATGGTACCCACCCCCCAGTTATCCACACATTTTCTGCTTGTTTTGTGTTTTTTCTTGTTCTGGCACTGCGTATTCCTTGCTTTTTGTTCGTGATTTGTTTTCTTTGTCCCAGCGTGTTGATTTATGTTTTTTTCTTTCTTTATATCTGGTTGCTTATCTATATGTTTATATTGCACCAGTAGAGACCGGTACAAACCGGTACAAATCGGTACAAGTTATACCGGCCCTAGCCACTGGAACCAAGAACCAAGAACCAAGATTGCAGGCAGGTCTTGCCCTGCAATCTTGGTTCTTGGTTCCATGGGGCCGGTACAAACTTGTACCGATTTGTACCGGTTTGTACCGCTCTCTATATTGTCACAACATACGGGCCGGTACAAACCGGTACAAATCGGTACAAGTTGTACCAGCCCCATAGAACCAAGAACCAAGAACCAAGATTGCAGGGCAAGACCTCCCTGCAATCTTGGTTCTTGGTTGTACAACTTGTACCGTTTTGTACCGGCTTGTACCGGCCCGTGTGTCTCGACAGGTGAAGGATTTCAAGGGCTTTAGAAAATTTAACTGGGCCGGGCCTTTTCCCAAAACAATTATTTTGTTTCAAAATGTCAAGGATTTAAGG